CAAATGGCTCCTGCACCGGTCCCTGGCCTCTCACCTTGTAATTACCTTACAGCATTTATGCTGCCTGACCTAATACATCCCGTGTGGTTTTGACTTTTTTGTCTGTCTCCTTCCAGCAGGATAAAAACTCTGCAAAGACATCATGAATGTGATGTTGGGTCCAGAATAGGCCTGGCACATAGTAGGCCCTCAATGAATAGTTGCTAAAGAACACCAGCAAGAACAAGAGGGCCAGACCTAGATTTACCTCCAAATGTCTGCAAACCTCTTGCTGCTGCAAGGAATGCTGGGTGAGGACACAGCCGAGGGTATGAGTATATCGGTCCCTCTGTCATCACTGTAATGAGATACCTGAGGTAGGACACTTAACAAAGTGAGGTTGGCCAGGAATGGTGGCACACACCTGTAATCCTACCACTTGGGAGGCTGAGGCAGGAGGACTGCCTTGAGTTCCAGGCCAGCCTGGGCTACATAGCCAGACCCTATTTCCAAAAAGAGACAGAAAGGAAAGAGGTTGCTGAGTGAGGAGGGCAGGTGCGCTCTGCGCTGACAGAGCCCTGAGGTGGCATGTGGAACCGCACATGTGCACTCCTGTGTCTGCGTGAGGTCCGTTTACTCTGTCTCTCGCTCTCGTAAAGCCACCAGGATTTGATCATGGGGCTCCAGCATAATGATTTCAACTAATCCAATCCCTCTCCAACGTCCCCACCCTTAAGTTTCCGCCCCCAGAATGCCACTAGTTTATGACATGGGAGATTAACGTCCCGCAGGCGTTCAGGAACAAACCACAGCAGGGACTCCTCGGCCCCAGTGGCTGTGCATGACACCCCACATCAGGGCTCCAAGCCTGACAGAAGAGCATTCTGGGGGGCACCCAGCCCCGCCCCGGCCTCCTGCCAGGCATCTGGCCCTGGCAAGGGTGCAGCTCAGCCCACCATCCCAGGGAGGGGAACACAGCCGAAGACCAGGAGGAGGCTGCAGGGTCAGCACCCACGCCAGAGAAGTGGGAGACACACACCAGGGTTTCAAAGGAAAAAATAAAAGGCGAGGGACATAGATCCGTGCAAAGCCTTGGGTTAAATCCCCAGTACCCTACCCTCCAAAGAAGCCCACAATATAAACTGGAATTGCGGGAGTTTCAGGACCACAACAAGCCACTGATACTCGACGAGGCACCTGGGCAACAGGCACACCATGCACACACGGGGGCAGCCCAGGACACAGGCGGTTCCCAGCATGGATGTCACCAGTCCCCGCCAGCACCTCGGGCCTCCGTGTCTAGAAGGGACACCAGCCAGGGCCCAGGAGACGGATCAGTCACTAGAAGCCCTTCCCCGTCCCATGACCTGGAGTCCCTGCTCTCAAGGAGCCCAGCGTGCAGGCAGGAGGAAGACAAAGGACAAACGGGCCAATGGCCCTGCCAGGAAGAGGAAATGTTCTGCACAAAAATAAAGCAGAGGGCCGGGGATGTAGCTCCGTGGCATAAGCATGTGCCTGGCAAGCCTGAGGTCATGAGTTCGATTCCCAGTACCAAAAATAAATACATAAACAGGGTGACAGTGACAGGAGAGAGCGACAGGAGTGGAGGGGGAGAATGATATTCGGGCAGACCTGGAAGAGCAAGTGAGAGCGCAAACAAAGGAAGAGGTCAACTGGCAGAGAGCAGCACAAGCCTGCAGACCATGTGCAAAGGCCCTGCGGGAGCACCCACAACACAAAGGCGGAGTGCCCTCCTGTGTTCCCATAGCTGCCTCCGGTCCTCCCCTTGGAAAGCGACCTCTTCAGCCCTTCCCCGCTCCTGTCTTTTCTGCCAGGCTCTAGAACCAAAGTCCCATTCACCACGGTGCAGCTGGACGGAAGCCAGGCAATGCAGTGGCAGCTGTGTTTCTCACCTGCCAAGTGCAACGCTGCTACCAGCACCTGGAAGCACGTCTGGCCTGGAGTAACTCGAACTCTCTGAGCCATTTCTTCTTGCCTAGGGCAGGGCCTCAAAGGGGCGCCTACAGGGTTATAGGACATGAGGTCTGCCGCCACCAAGGACTGTGCCTGGTAGACAGGAAGCGCTCAAAACATGGGATAGGTTCACATGTCACTACGGGCCCCTTAGAGAAGTCTGAGAGGCTGGGTTGGGTGCCCTCTCTTCACATAGGGTAAAGGAGCTGCGCAGGGGACGCCCCACTTCTGATGCCAGGAACCCACACCTACGCTGGAGCCTCGGCCTGGCCCACAGCGCCACCTAGTGGCCAGCGCTTCCTCGCGGTTTCCGGAGGCGAGGAACCCCCGCGGAAGAAGCCGGGCAGAGGAGAGACGGGAAAGCGCGAAAGAAAATACGAAAGGATGGACGGTAGAACCATCAACATATGTATGGGACAAATTAAAAAAAGAAAAGCTAAGAAAAAAACGGAGGGGAAAGACGCAAAAATCAAGAAACGGACCCCCCGGCCCTCCCAATAAAAGGGCTGAGTCCAATCCAGGAGAGACCAGGGCTCATTGTCTACCCAGCACCTGCCTCACGGCTGGCTCCATCCCCAGCGTGGGCACCCGGAACCAGCTCTAAGTCTGAGGTCCAGGCGGCTGATCCCAAGGACTTGAGCCCTGGTGACCACAACCTAGGGTAACTGCACGGTCCGTCGCGCCTCCTGCTGGACACGCTGGGTACTGCATGTCTGCCGGAAAGTTGCTCTAGGGCCGGGGTGGCTGGTCGGTGTCAGGGTCTCAGCCAGGTGGTGTAAAGGCTCCACTGCTTGAAGAAGGAAACTGAGGCTCTGAGAAATGGTGACACCTAAGAGACGGCCGCTCAGCAAGTACAGAAGGCTGCCAGATCCGGGGACAGGCAAGGGTGTCTGACATCAAAGGTCTCGGGCCAGGCTCTCCCAGTCCTGCCCACCACACATCAAGTCAGGCAGCAGAGCATCTGGCTAGCAGTGTGCATTCCAGCCAAGAACACGTGTGACTTGTGTTCCATGCTCTAGTGGTTGTGACTCAGTTTTCTGGTTTTGGAACTGAGGACTGAACCCAGGAAACACGGAGAAACACGCCCAGCCCTTCTGATTTTTGAGATAGGCTTGCCTAAACAAGGCTTGAATTCGCAGTCCTCCTGCCTCAGCCTCCCACATAGCTGGGACGACCTGTGTGTGCCACCACACCCAGCCTCTTTCTTTTAATTTAGCCATGATTCACTGGTGCGTGGCACTGGCTGACACTGGAGACAGGCACGGACCCTCTCCTCAGGGTGCTTGGGGAGGCTGCTAAATACACAGTTAAGTTTTGATGGAATAAAGTAGCCAGCACACCCTGTCCACCTATGGCTTCCTGAGCAGCCCCGCACGGTCCTCATGTTTGTGTCGAGGAAAGGGAGGCTCCTTACTGTCGCCCTGGCGGAGCAGAGAGCCAGAGGTGCTGAGCGCCACGGCACAGGCCTACCCCTGCCGCTCGCCTTGCCTTTGACTGACCTCGTGATCCCTGTCACCAGGTCCTCCCAGCGCTGACGTCGAAGCGGCCACTCTAGAGCTGTGGATCTGGAGGGTAGGAGCCAGCAGACCCCGTGACAAGCATACAGGCCACGTGGGCTGTGGGGAATTGGAGACCTGCGTCCCGCCTGAAGGTGGCCACCACTCCTCAGCACCAGTGCTGCACGGCCAGCTGGGACTGTGGACCCGTGACCAGAACTTCTGATTTTCAGGAGACGCTAAACATCTGAATTCAGAAGTGAAACCTGCCAGATTTTAAGTCAAAATTATAGAAATGTTCACAGGAACAGGGGGGAGGGACCCAGCTCTTCCTGTCTCCTGTGTGCTGAGGGAAGTCGGCCTGGCCCTCCCTCCCACCTGGCCCACACGTGATCCACTCATTCCGGACAGACCCCGCTTCTCACCCCTGAACCAAAGCTGCCCCAGCTGTCGCTTCCCAGGAAGTCGCTCTTCTCTCCACAGGCCCCCAGGGAAGAAGACGGAGCCCTCTGAAAGCATCTGCCGCAGAAAGACGTCAAACCCTCCCTGCTGACCCCAAACACAGGTAGAGGTGACAGCTCTTGGCTTGGAGCAATTTTGCCTGGATCCAGACGCTGGCTTCAGATAACTCCAAATAATCAGTCTGCCACGCACCCCAAATCCCCCCAGGGTCCCCCAGAGTGTGTACAGAACAGAGTCTTTGGGATGCAGCTGAGACAAGGACATCTCTCAGGACGGCCTCTGAGAACCGGACCTGACAGGCTCCCTGGTGGAGAAGGAGGCTGCGGCGAAGGGCTGTGGTGTGAGATGGCCGGGCCGGGCAGGGCAGCGTGGCTCGTGGGGAAAGAGGAAGGCCAGGAGGGAGGCACAGGGCCAGTGAAGCCCAAAGGTCTGCAGGTCAGTCTCAGCCCAGACGAACCCAACCAGGCAGGTGAGGGCAGCAGCTGTGACCCACACAGGCTGTTCTGATTGGCCTGTTGCACATCTGTTTTGATTGGCCCAGTTACACCAGCCTGGATTCTGATTGGCTGGAACCAAGCCCCTTCTTGAGTACTTTGAACTCCAACCCCCTTCCTATGCAATGAGCCTCATAGGCCTGGGCAGAGGGCAACTCAGGGGCACCCCTTGGGCCCACCTTGACCTCTTGGCACACTTAGGATGCCCAGAAGGGGCGGGGAACTGGCGGGAAAATAACAGCCAGGTTTTTCTACCATCACGTGAAATAGCTCAGCATCCACAGTGAAGTTGAACAGGACATAAAATCCCTTAGTCAGTCTATAGCTGCAGTCACAGGGAGTCCTCACCCAGCCCCCTGTGACTGCAACTATAGACTAAGGGATTTTAAGGGAAGCTGAACTGTTCCAACTATTAAAGAGCAAACTGAGGCACAAAGTGGGGACATCCCTGGTTTAGGGGCCACTGGTTCAAGGACCCTGACCGTAGAGACCCAAACCACTGGGACCACTGGAACCGCAGGAACCGTCCTCCGCATGGCTTTCTGAGCTCGTCCGCCCACACCACTCACCACAGACTAAGCAGATCGTAGCCTCCTTCTTTGTATTATAAACTGACTTTAATAATAATAAAAATCTATCATGTATTTAACGAGAAGAATCTGTACACTTTAAAGTAAACCAGTGCACGGCACCCTGGCCCTCAGGGCCCTTCTCCGTGTCCCTTGGCAGGGCTAAAGTGGGTCCTTGGTTTTCTAACCACAGCAAGAAACAGCGACAAAGCCGCCTCTTACAATCTTGTGTGTGGTGGCGACAGGGGATCCTGGGGTCCGAAGGGACCAAGATACCTCAGCAGGAGTCCCACATCCATGTCCCCAGCCAGCCTGAGTGACCAGACATCCTTTGCCTTCCTCCTCTGCCACCCTTCCCTGGAGATGTAGAGGCTGGGGAACAAAGTGAAGAGGGGTCCCTCTGCCCAGGAGGGCAGGGCCACTGCCTGTCTCTCTCTTTGACTGAGGTGCCCCAAATGCCCTGCTCTGCAAAGTTAACATCAAAAAAATAAATTACAAAGTCCACCACCACTGGGCGTCCCAGGGCCCTGACCTGCACGTGACGCTTTTCAGGCAAGAGGCTCAGCACCCCTGGTCCCCAGCCTTGGCCAGACCACCTCTCAAACCCTTCCTGCCACTGTCCAGAGCGAAGTCTTGAACCCGCACAAGTGCTGGAGACCGAGGGGTGGGCAGAGAAGGAAGGAGTCAACACCTGTGAGGGGCACTGTATGACCCTAATATTAAAAAAGAGGAAATACCAACATTTTAAAATTTTTCAATAATTTAGTTCTTTTTCTTTTTTTTTTTCTTTTTTTTCTTTTTTTTTTTAGTAGAACTGGGTAAAGTTGTCAATACTACGTTATGTTGGTCCTGTTAGACAATATACCTCTCTCTGAAATTTAAAATGTCAAATATATAATCATACAACCTTAGAAAAAAATCTCAACAACAACAACAAAAAAAAACCCCAAAATATAAACCGCAGAGATGTCACGCCATATAAATAAAGTCAGAGCAAATCTTGTGCCCAGGGCTGGCAGTGAGCGACGCTGGGGCCTGGCGTGGGCGCGGTGCCGGGCCCTATGCCTCCGTCTCTCCTGCCAACGCCCCAGCCTCCCCGTGTCTGCCGAGTGGGTCCGTGCAGGGCTGGTGCGTCTGGAAGCTAAGGACGGGGAGACGAGCGTGGCCTCCTGGAATGTGGACCTGGGGGTTTCGAAAGTGCAGGTGCGCCCCATGACCTCCTCTCTGTCCCCTGTGGGACCTGCCAGGCTGAAGTCCAGGCCTTCACCGCACCCATGAGCTCTGGGTCCCTGGACCCCTCGGGCTTCTGGCGGGAGGATGGAGGTCGTGCCACCCGGGCAGATGAGCCAGTCGTGAGAGCGCAGGGTCACGGGTGCATCCTCGAAGGAGGCAGTGGAAGAGGCCAGGCACACCCGGGCAGGAGCGGCCAGCGCCAAAGCTGCAGGAGGCTCTGCCGGAGAGCATGGCTCCACTGTGTCCTCCCACATCCCACACGCGGCACAGTGCGTCTGTCTGTGGTCAGAGGTCGCCGTCCACAGGAGGCTGGCACAGGCGGTAGAGCCTAGAGGTGGAGGCAAAGAGTGAGGGGTCTGGGCAGCAGAGGCGCTTAGCACTACTGTTTCCACTTTTATTTAAACAGGTACGCCGGGCGTGGTGGCGCATGCCTGTAACCCCAGCACTCGGGAGGCTGAGGCAGGAGGATCGTTGCCAGTTGAGGCCAGCCTGGGCTACAAAGTGAGCTCAAGGCCAGCCTGAACTGCATAGCGAGACCCTGTCTCAAAAAGACAAAAAAAAAAAAAAAAATAGGTAATTCACACCCAGAAAACAAACACTCCCTAGGTATGAAAAGAGAGGAAAGGAAAACTATGGACACTGCCACGCCTTCCCCCGGTGCCCAGTCTCCTGCCCCAGGTGGTCTCCTCCCCTGCAGGGCAAGCAGGGCCACGAGGCGACACAGTGGTTAGAGCTGGGTTGTTTGGCTCAAATGGATGCCTGTGAGCAGAGACTGACACAGCATCCCAGCGGGGTACCAGTGTTTGAGACAGTCTCATGGTCCTCCTGCGTGCTGGGGTCGCAGGCGTCTGCCACTGCGCCTGGCTCTGAATCTGGTGATGTTCCCACGTCAGATTTGCTCCTAAAGGACAAAGCGGGCCTCGCGGAGTACAGCCCGCCCTTGAACGCTCCTCACTTACCGCATTGTTTCTGCAGCTTCCTGTGAGTTAAACTATTTCAAAATAAAAAGTTACTTGAAACTTGCAATCACATGCTGAGGGCAAATTCGGTATGAGAAAAGGGACCGACGGAAAGGGGTCAAGGTCCCCATCGGAGCTGCAATGGCGCTGAAACAGCACACGGCGGTGGCAGGACAGAGGGTGGGGCTTCCGCCGTGGCCGTGCGGTCAGGCGGAGGGGACCCACCAAGCGGCCACCCCATGGCTGGCAGTGGAGATGCTGCCTGGTCCTCCCAGGAACCACTGACGCCCCTTGGGAGGGTGGGTAACGACTGAGCCTTATCTGTGGGTTCCGCAAGGCAGACGCAGGGCCCCATCAGAGCACCAGAGGGCCCCTGGGTAAGACCCGGAGTCCGACGCCCAACCCAGGCCTGGTCCTGGCTTCCTGGAGGGAAGGGACAGGGCAGCCACTCACCGAGGTGCACCCTGGGGCATCTGATCCTTCACTCGGAGGTTTTTGGCCAGAATCTCCACCCTGGGGCCCTGGAAAGGAAAAGCCGTCTGGCCCGGGGCCTCCACGACACTGGGGCACCTGAGAGGCGTGGGGAGGGGGCTCCAGGATGCCCACACCGCCCAGCACCCGCCCTCGGCCCCGGGGACGGCCGGGCCTCACCTGCTTCCGCATGATGTCCGTGGCCTGCATGATGCACTTGGGCAGCAGCCCGTGGCTCCGCGCCAGGATGGCCGCCTGCTCCAGGGACACACTCAGGGTGCTCCTGCGGGTGTGAAGGACCAGGGGCAAGAGAGTGAAGTGGGGTGGAGCGGCTTCGGGCCCGCCAAGGCCTCCCGCCCTCCCATCCTCTCCGGGGAGGGGCCCACCGGCTCCCCGGACCCCGGCATCCTTGTTCAGTCAGGGAGGCCATGCTGGCCTGTCCCTCCTCGTCCCTGCCCGCTCTCTCCTCCGGGCAGCCATGAGGCCCACGGCCGAGCCGTGCGCACCCCGTGAGGCGGCACCACGAGGCCCCAGCGCCTCGGTGGGCGAGGATAAGGGAAACATTCACTGAGCGGCCACGGTGGGCTTCCCGGGAGCCTCGCCACGCTCGGCAGGGTCTGACACGGACACGCGGGACCCAGGCTCACGTCTGCTCTCAACGGTTCCAGGCCCCAGGCCTCCTGGGTGCTACCCACCCCTGCCCCTCGCTGCTCTGTGACCCTGGACAGACTCATCCGTCCCTCTGCGCCTTGGTTTCCCTCACTGTGAAACAGGGACGACTGTGAAGGTGGCCAGTGTGGGCCGACAGAGACCGCGGTCCTGTGCTCCGCGGGACACGAGCAGCAGCCCTGGGCTCCCTCTCCCCGGTGTGGCGCCCATGCGCATCTCCCAACACCGCCCACAGCGCAGGAGCAGAGCTGCGCCCTGGCTGAGCGCCCCGGGGCAGGCGCTTGCTCCCTGCGAGGTAGAAGGGCGCTGTTGCCGTGGACACAGACACAGGGTCTCCACGCCCACGAGAACAAGGATCTGCTGAAATGGCTACTCCGCAGGTGCTAGGTGCTAGGTGCTAGGTGCCCGCGTGCGACAATGGGGTCGAACAGGTTCCTGCCCCGGGGCGGGGAACACCCAGCCCCTAGATGAGCCTGGTAGCTGTGTGGCAAGGGCTCCGGGGACAGTGGGGGAGGGAGCTGCTTCAAACAGGGAAGGCTTCGCGGGAAAGGCGGCCTCTCTCTCCAGGGACAAGCAGCAAGGCAGAGGGCGGAAGGCGCGGGGCGGCCAGGTCTCCAGCTCTGCACTACGGAGCTGACCCGTCTGCCGCCCACGGTACACAAAGGGGCCGCACGGCACAGCTGCCCCACAGTGACTGCAGCACCCTGGGCGGACCATCCCTGCTGGACCACTGCACAGACCAACTGCATCCAGAGGGCCAAGGCCTTGTCTGGGTCCGGCAGGCAGTGGCCGGGCCAGGATCTGAATGCAGTCTTCCCACCTCCTTGTCCCGTGCACCCGAGCTTCCCAGAAGCCTGCGCAGCCCCAGCCCGCCCCCCCACGGGGCCCAGGCTCACCTCTGCATGCCTGTGCCGCACATGGCAATCTGGCAGGCCCCCAGGCGGTAGCAGAGCTCTGAGGACACAGGGACGAGGCCTGCTCCCAGGCTCCCAGCCGCACCAGGTTTGGGGTGAACGAAGGACTTCATGAGGCGGCACAGCTCATCCAAGGCGTTGATGGGGCGTATGAGCTGCAAGGCGCCCGGGCGGTCAGGGGGCCCCACAACCCTAAGGAACCCCAACCTTCCTCCCTTTCATCCTTCTCACTCAGCTCTGCCATTGTATCTGTCCTCCCAGCTCCCCTCCCTGAGCTTACAACCCAATTAACTGCTACAACCTCTGCTCAAGAACCATCTGTGGCTCCCCACTGCTCTACCAGCTGGTGTTCGGTATCCACCATGTGTTTTAGGTCCAGCCTTCTGATTTATCCCTTCACCTGCAGATGTGTTCCCACCAAAGCCTGAGCAGGGCCCTCTCGCCTCTCCAAACCACACCTGTCGCAATCGGCTCAAGCTGCACCTCCCCAGGACGAGCCTTCCCTCAGCCCCCAACTTTCCCCGACCACCATGTGGAGGTGGGAGACACCGGCTCACTGTGCACAGTGACGTGCCGGCCAGCCAGACCACAACGTCCCCAACGACTAAAGCTGCCACCTTTTTCAGAGCCCCAGCCACGAGCCCCAAGGCGGGCACACGGAAACCCATGTCCCAGTCAGGAGGCCCGGGGTGTGGGGAGCCCCATGGTCCCAAAGGGCATCGGGGGTCCTTGGAAGAGGCAGCCACCCTGCAAGGCCTGGGAACGTGGCCCCCACATCCCGATCTTTCCGTTTCCCAAGGAAAACTGAACCTTCCAGGAACGCTTTTCACTTCTCAGTGCTGGCAGCACATCTGAAGCAAACACGAAGGACGTGGTGTGGACCCCGCCCGGCAGAGGTTTGTGACTCCACCCAAGAAACGCTGACGCCAGAAAGGGTTAAGGAGAGAGGCATAGTGGGAGTTGGGAGTAAGTCCCCTAATGAGGCAGTCCCAGGACGAAGAGCCATCCTGGGAGACTTCCTGGAGGAAGGACCCTCGGACTTCTGCCCTGACAGCCCTGCCCCGCCCACGCCGGCACAGGACGCACCTGGTCTATCTTCACTGCAGTGGTGCTGGAGTCCGTGGGCAGGTTAGACCGTTCCAGGTAAAATGCCCTGAGAGACAAAGCCGGGGCTGGGCGGGTGCACACCCGCTGCTCTCCGCCCCTACCCATGGGGCAGCCTCTTCAGCCACAACCCTGCGCCCTCAGAAGGAACCGTGGAGAATGTTGGCAGGGCTGTGGGTGCCACGGTCACCTGCTCCTCCACCCCGCCCCACCCCAACCCTCCGAGCAGCGGCACCGCCTGGGCGGATGTGGCTGTGTGTCAGGTCGGCAAGCTGCTGCTGTACAGGGCCAACCAGTGAGTCCTGGAGGCCTGAGACCAGAGTCTGCAACCCACTCAACCCAGCCAGATGGTGCCCATGAAGGTGCTTGTGTGCTAATAAAACTTTATTTACAAGACCAGGTGTCAGCCAGATAAAGAACAGAGCTGGTTTTCCTGCGTGCTGATTCCCACACAAGTATCCAGCCAGCGTGGGGCCCCCAGAAGACCCCGTGGATGTATGCAAATGAATGAGGGGGTCAGTGAGCGATCATTCAAGCGAACGGCACAGAACAGATCCATGGTGTTGGTCAAACAGGTGCCAGTTTTAAGTTGTGTGGCCAAATGCTCTTGCTGGCACTTGGACATAAGCATCTTTCTCCCGTTTTCAAGCGGTAAGGTCGGCCCTCCCCACACCAATCCTCAGCCTCCCTGGGTCCCAGAAGCAGGAGGGCTGTGGCAGAGGGTCCTGGTGGCAGGAGCTGCAGAACTCACCAGCTGCCCCCCTAGGCCTGCCCTCCCTCGGGGACAAGGCCCTAGGAGCCTCACCTCTTTCTCAAGACCAAGAACCCCAGGCCCTCACCTCCCTCCCAGCTCCAACCCCGACTTGGACTGAGAGAAGCAGCTGGGCTCCGCAGAGGAGCAGCTTGGAAGCCAGGGGACTGGGAGCCAAAGATCAGCCGCTTTTGGCTGTGTGGGCTCGGGCAGGCTGGATGTTCTCTGGGAATCGCTTTCCCACCTGTAAATGGGTTAGCACGGCCTCCCATGCACACTGCCGTGACACTCCCGTGCAGGCCAAAGGCCTGGCACACAGTAGGTGCCCAGAAAAGAGTCACTGCCCACTGGCCTGTGGTGCTGCCATGCACGCCCGAGCCTGGCCTTGGCTTCCTGACTCCCGTGCCCGCCGAGGCCCAGGCAGGTACCTGAGCTTGCGGTAGTACTGCTGGACCTTCTCCAGGGACTGCGTGTTGATCTCCTGCTGCAGGTCCTCCGCCGTCTGGCTGCCTGGAAGGGGCGGCCCTTCCACACTCTCCAGAGCTGAGGGAGGAGGGGTGAGGGCAGGTGACTAGGTCGCCAAGTGCCCCGTGGCCCTGGCCAGACGCCGTGGCCCCCCAGCCGCCCGCAGCTCACCTTTCGTGAAGAGCACAGTGTGCAGGCGGAGGCTGGCCCCACTCTCCAGGCGGGACGGCAGCTTGGAGAAGTGGTAGCTGTCCAGGTAGAAGACCACTTTCAGCGCCTGCCGGCTGCCCTCGATGTGGTAGAAGACGTTGGTGTCTGTGAGGGGACCGGGGGACAGTGCTCAGCACGGTGGCTCAAGGGGAGCCCGCCCTTCCACAGCGTCCGGGGCCCTCCCTGTCACCCCACTCAAGAGGGCGGACTCCCAGCCGGGTCTTCCCAGCCTCAAGGCACACCCTGGGGCTCCCATGTCCATGCGCCCCGAGATCTCTTTGTTCGCCTATCCCAGCGGGTAGCTTCAGACAGTCCCACACCGGAAGAGCAGCCTCTGCCCTCCCTCCGCCTCCTCCAACAGGTCCTGTTCCCACTGCCCTTCTCTGCTCAGCAGGACAGCCAGCAGCCTGTGTCTGCAGAGTCCCCTGCTGCTTCTTCGCCTCAGGCCCCCACCTAACAGAAGCCACATTCAGGGGACCTGCATCTTATCTGCTCCCTCCAGGATGGGCTTCTGGCAGGGCCAGCAACTGCAGCACTCAGACCCCATCCTGTACCCTGCCAGGCATTACTAATGGATCGGTGTTTCTCCCTGGGCCCAGGTCAGCCCACAGTCAAGCAGCCCCCGCCTTCAGCTCAATGGGGACCTGAAAAGGAACCTGCCTCCCTCTAGGCTGCAGTCTGCACATTCTCACGAGGGTGACAACACCCTGAGGAGGTGAAAGTTGGTTTTTGAGAGGGAAGGCAGGGAAAAAACCTCACTCTTTCTACGGAAAAAGCACAGATGCAAGGCACATAAACAGAATACACTGGTAGCATTAACATTTCAAGGCAATGTAGCAATTACTAAAAAATGGCTTTGGGGGTTTGTGTGTGTGTGTGTGTGTGTGTGTGTGTGTGTGTGTGTGTATGGTGCTGAGGATTGAAGCCAGGGCCTTGGCACTGAGCTACACCCCCAGCCCTTTTTTTATCATATTTGAGAAAGGGTCTTGCTAAATCAGTATACTCAAAACCCTCCTGCCTCAGTCTCTCAGAGTGCTGGGATTTCTGGGTGTTTCACCATACCCAGCTTCTAAAAGGGTTCTGGCGAAGTGAAACAAAGCTGGCATGTGCTGCAGCAGGGGCCCTGAGGGGAGCTGTGACACACAGATGCCCAGCCTCTGCCCTGGAGTTTTTCACCTGAAGAGCTCTGGGTGGAAGTCTGAGAAGAAGTCTTTCCAGCCAGTTCCCAGGTGCTGCTGGTCCAGAGACCACACCTGGAGCAACACTGCTTAGGAAACCAGCCCAGGTTCTCGTCCCCAGATGGCCAGGACCCAGGGCCCAGTCCCACCCCACGCTGACTCAGCCTGGCTAGGGACAGGGGCTCAGCATCCTTGAACAGCTCCCCCAGTGATTCTGGGGTATAACCAGGGTGAGACCCACTGGGCTAAAGTGGAGCTCCAGGAGGGCAGAGCCACAGGGGCCAGAACCCAAAATTCTGCTGGACGCAAACCATGTGTTTCTTGTTATGGATGCACAGGTAGATGGGTGGTCAAATGGACACGTGGAGGGATGGATGAGTGCATGGGTAGGTTGGTGGGGGGATGGGTGGGAGGATGGGTAGATCGTGGGGGGATGGGGAAGCAAGTGAATGGATGGAGAGATGGATGGATGGGTGGGTGGATGGGTGGGTAGATTGGTGGGAGGACGGGTGGGAGGATGGGTAGGTGGATGGATGGGTGGGCAGGGGGTGGGAGGATGTGTGGGAGGGAAGAAGAAAGGACTAAAGAATCTTAGCTAACTATGGTATAAGTCCTTAAAAATCCAAACAAGGCTTCACCCCAAAGAAGGACATCTCTGGGCAGAAAGTCTGTGAGAATAAGCTATGGTTCTTCTATGATATGGACCCTGAAGGTCAGCTTTGACTCGTGGTGGGTGCTGATTCTGGTCAACCCTGGGGCGGGAGGCACGGCAGGGACAGACAGCCCCTGTCCTCGAGACCCCAAATGCAGGGCTGAGAGGCATCACTCACTGGCCACGTAGTTCTCGTCCAGCTGCTTAAAGGAGAAAGTGACATTGTCCAGCTCCGACAGGGTCACCCAGATGTCCTCCAGCATGGTCCGTTCCTCTTTCTATAGGAAGAAGACACAGTGGTTCAGATGCAGCCCTGCCCTGGAGTTTTGCTTCAACATGAGTGACCCAGCTCTGGACCCTGGCTGTGGGCCACGAGGTGCCAGCCCTGAGTGTGGTTCCGCATGTGCCATCACGGCTGGCTCCACGGCTGTCCTGCGCCTCACAAGGGCCCAAACCTACCTGCGCTCTAACTTGCTGAGCGGTCCCAGGAAAACCACTTCCTGCCTTGCTGAGACCACCACAGCTGACTACTAAAGCAACCGCTTCCAACCCAGCCCACCCAAAGACAAGTCTCCACTTCCTCCCTTACTGCCCTCCCTCCGTCCTAGCTCAAAATCTCAGGGCTTTTCAGGTTCTCTTTTCCCTTACCGTGTATGTGAGCCCCGACCTGTGTCGCAGGTGGGCCCACAGGATGTCCTCCGGCCCCACCCACCAGCCTCCAACTCCAACACCCAAATTCAGGGCTCCCACCAGGCCCACACTGGAGCCCCACCCCCACCCCCGCCATCCTTTCCCTCCAACCCCCACCCCCAGCTCTAAGCTATCTCTGAAAAACTCAGCCCAAGTCACATTACTGCCCACCTCAGGCCTCCGAGCCCTCCTCAGGCACAGAATGGAGCCCCAGCCCTACAGCTCTGGCCCCACTGACCTCATCTCCCACCCCTTGCTGAGCCCTCTGCCCCAGCATCCTGCGCCAGACCATTTACCTGGCTAGCTGAGGTCTGGGCTGAGAAGTGGACATCAAGGGTTTAGGGTCTGATAGCCTTTCTCCGCCCAGACAAGCACTCGCCTGTCACAGCAGTGGCCAGCAGAGGGCGCTGTGAGGCCACACTTCCCTCTAGCCCATGCTTGAGCCTCCAGATTCCCTAGGAACCCTAGGCCCCAGTACTGGGGCACCTCATGGGATGTGCTGGGGCCTCCCTGGCCTCTACATACTGGGTACCAGTTACAGTCCCTCTGCTCCCCCGGCTCCCTCAGCTGCCACAACCGAAAACCCCTCCAGATATGCCCAAGGTCGCCGGAGGGTAAAGCGGCCCCTGCCTGTGAGTCACTCATCTACTTGCCTGTTCAGGTCTCCCCCAGGACGTAAGTCCTGGATGTAGGACCCCGTCCTACCCAGGACTCCTGCTCCGATTTTCGTTTCCCAACCGCTCCTGATTTTACTAACAGCAGCACATAGGTGCTCAGCAAACAGCTGCCACATGAAAGACGGGGCCAGGGAGGCTGAGACAGGAGCACCCCTCTGCCCGCAGCGACAGCAGGTGGCTCATGCACCCTGGTTCACTCACCAGGGCAGCTGGCGAGAGCAGGGACTGGCAGTGCAGCAGGACGCCCGTGGCCGCCACCTGCTCCAGCCACTTGCGGCTGGCGTCGCGGCTGCTCTCCTCGTACTCGCCGTTATTGTTGTAGCGGTAGCTGAGGGCGGCCAGCAGCTGCTCCGAGAAGGTGCACACGGCGGCCACCAGGGCCTGGCAGAAGATGGCGTCCCGGCGCGGCTGCAGCTCGGCGTCTGGGGGTGCAGGGAGCCTCGGGTGGGCGGTGCTCCTTGGTGTGAGCAGGACACACCCCACACCCAGGCCCACAGCTCTACCACCCCGCCAAGGGCCCTAGCTGTAGTGGACAGCCCAGCTACCTAGACAGTTCTTTGTCCAGCTACCTAGACAAAACCAATGCTCCACCAGCAAGCCAGCGGGCCCCAGGCCACACCCCTCACCAGCTCAGCCATCCATATCTCAGGAAATAACGGCCTTCCCCGGGCCTCCATGGACGCCCAGCCCACTGGATGCCAGCAAAGCTACGCTACAGACGCACATGGCCATCTCTCCCCTGGAAACTGCGGCCTCTCCGCCCAGCCTCATCCCAACCCGTCCCTGACTTGGACTCGGACTGAAGAATCGGCCAGTCTCGGGCAATTCATCATGCAGAGTCCCGGTCTTCTCAGGTTATTGACAACAAAATAAAGGCTCTGGCCAAGTGGTTTTCAGTAATCTATACTGTGACCTGAGTCCTACTGCAGCTCCCTTGGCTGGGGACTTCCGGGAGGACAGAAGGATAGGACCCCCAGTTCTCTGCAGCGCCATCCTCCACTGCCCGCCAGGCCCAGGCTCTGTGACGAGCCTCCCCCCATGTGCTGCTCTCCCGAGCACAGGGCCTGGCACACCATGGCAAAGCCAACCGTGGCCACTGGGAGGGGCCCCCAAGATCCGCTGCCAGGGCCCCTGCTGGCACACCTAGGTGTGTGTGTGACACGTGTGGCCGCAGTCGCCCCTTCGGAGTCTCACCTGTGCACTTGAGCAGGGCCAGGAGCAGCTGGTTCTTTCCATCTGGAAGGAGGAGAGTGGAGAGGAGGCGGCTGGGCGCGGGCAGTGACAGGGACTGGCCCTGCGGCCGTGCGTGCTGCCCCGCAGACGCTCTGGCTAGGCTAAGGCTGGGCTCTCCCGGGGAGCTCTTACTGAGCCTCGGTGAATTCCAGGGACCCCCAGGCATGCGGGGAGTGGAGTCCCACCTGTCAGCATTGCCCGCCCCCAAGTCCCTGCTGAAGAGATCTAAGCCAGCCCTTTCACCTGCAGTGCACACACTCACAAAGACACGGCCAGTCACACACCAGCCGACAGCCAAGCGCATGGCACACACACGCGTGTAACTTGGGAGCGTGCGCACATCCTAGAGCATCACAGCCCAGCCCTCTAATGCTCACTTCCTCCTCAGAGAGGCCAGACCCGCCTCCTTCCTTCAGAGATGCTCCAGGGCCCAGAAAGGCCTTGCAAAAAAACACTCATAGGGCCTTCGGACTTAGCTCCTTGAGGTCCTTTTTAGAAGCCATGTGAGAGGTACCTGGGGCTAGGGTGGGGACAGCAAGAGCAGGTGCAGGATGCCCACTCACTGAGGCTGAGCCAGGCAGGCAGTGTCCTAGGGGCTTGCTTTGTACTGATTTATTTATCCTCAACAACAAGGGAGAGTGAAGAAAGAAGGCCCAGAGAGGTCAAGGAACATGCCAGGGTAACACAGCCAGCAGTGGGGGAACTGGGACACAAGTCCTGCCAATCTGGCTGAGAGTCCACACCCTTAACCAGTTGCCCTTCTGGAAAGCAGGACAGCACCAGGTCAACAAAGACTTCTAGCTCAGAGGCAAGACCTCAGCTGAGGATGGTATCAGCTGTTCCTGTCCTACCCCGGCCATGGACACATGGGGCCTGAGATGGACCCAACCAGGGTCTGTCAGAGTCCACATCCACAGCCTTGTACCCCAGGGTGACATCTCCTCCCTGCCCACCGACCTTCCACGTATCGCTGGATGTTGTCCACGAGGGTCTTGATGGAGTTGGGGAGGTTCCAGGGATCCTCCTGGATGCTGATCTGGATCAAGCTCCGGCCACGAATGGTACACTCTTCCTTCTGTTTGAACTCTGGGACAGGAAAGGGACAGAGGTGGCTTTGGAGAGCAGTGGCACAATGTCCTATGCCTTGGTTATCATCAAGTCCATGGGGGCCAAACACATGGTAAGTGTGTGACTGCTTCATAGTACTGCACCCATGGCAGACATCACTAATCAAGCTCAGCGCTCCTTTCTGCGAGTTTGAGACTACAGTAAGACTCCCAACGGCTACAACCAATCCAGTGCAGACAATGCAAATTAATCACAGCATCCTTTTCTTCTAGATCTACAGGCCATAGACACAGAAAGCTTCTCCTTATTGCCACAGCCAGTTGAGCTAGCACTTAGTCTAATACCTTCTTTACAAGCAGGAGGACTCCCAGGTACAGAGTGGGAAAGTGACTTGCCTAAAGTCACACGGCTGGGTAGGGAATCTGGCCCCAGCAGGACCATTCAAAGGCTAGGCAGACACAGGCCCTTGCTCCTTTGACCCCTTTGCAGGTTCCTGAGACATCTGCAGTTCGTCTTTCCCTGCTGTTTCATGTCTCTGAGGTCCATCGCTGGGGAGGTGCTGGGGAGGTGCTCCAAGAGAACGGAAGGGGCAGCTGAGCGGGGCCCCGACTCCTCACTACCCCGTGCCCCACTCACTCAGAGGCGGCTGCCTGACCGCATCTATCTCCCACACTAGCGTTGGTCTGTCTCACAGTCACCAGCGCCCAGCACAGGCCTGCACGAGCTGGTTCTGGAGGCATCACTTACTGGATGCAGCGATGCATGGACAGATGCTGGTTGGGCAGATGGACAGATGCGGGAAGACGGTGGGCAGATGGGGAGTGAGGTTAAGTGGGTAAATGGGACCAAAGTGGCGGGGAGCTCATGAGAAATTCCACTTTCTTTTCCTCCCAATCACTTCAAGAAGGAAGTGTAGTGCTGCTGAGGCCTTAAAGTTTCTTTCACTTGTGAACCCCGCTCTTGAGTAGGATCAAAGGGCCTGGGAAGGCAAAGTGCCTAACCGCAGCGAGATGACTTCATTTCCATTACATTTATGGCATGGTTTATTATTCATTTATGGCATGTCATACTAGCTTTTCATCAAAGGAGTTTAATAAGGTGTTCTCAAAATCAAATTTCTAAAAGGGACAAAACTATGTCAAATGAGTGTGATTAAAAAATGTGAAGATGTGAGTAGGTTCTGTGGATCGGGTGATAGACGATAGGACATTTGAGGTCAGGAAAAATGCTCCAGGTCTTCCACTCACGTCACCAACAGGCTGGCCAGGAGGTCCAGGGTCCAGCCCCAGGCCACAGACCACCTCCATGAAGAGCCAGCGGGTAACTGTGTTAGGCTTTTCAGGGCCTGGGGTCTCCGGCACACATGCTTCCTTGTTGTTTATGTGCTTTGTTTTTGCAATTCTTTAAAAATGAAACAACCATCCTCAGCGCAGACATAAAAACAGGCCATGGGCTGGATCTGCTGCACGGCCCAGAATCCACTGACTCTGATTAGCTCAGGGCCACCCCACAGGCAAAGGGTGTGACCGGCGTCCTGTGCTGTCCCCTCACCTTGTAAGCTGTGCTCCATGGGGAAGTGCTTGGTCTCTTCAAACGCCCGGCTCATGACAGGCCCCTTGAGCAGCGCGTTGATGGAGTCCACCTGCACAGCGAGAAGCACCAGGCTGAGCACAGCCCCCGGGGGCCTCCGACTGCTGGGACCTGTGGCCCACGGCCCTCGCCCCAGCCCTGGTGTCCCAGCTCTGCCAGGAGTGACAGCAGGGAGCCAGGGCCGCGCCAGGGTGGAGGCAGGGCCTACCTGGTTAAAGAGATGCTCCAGGCAGCCGTGAAGCTTGTCCTGCTTGTCCGAAGGGATGCGCATGTCACAGGGCAGCTCGTCCCCTGGCAGGAGGAGGGGACCACAGCCATCAGCCACTGCTACCCCACCTCACAGCTTCCCACCCCTTGCTCCAGGATGTAACACGGCCACAGAGCCCTAAACCCAGAGGCGGGCGGGCAGCCTGACGGACCCATGTCACTGAGCGAATCCCGTGACCTCCCTGAGCCTCTATTTCCTCCTCTGCAAAGTGGGCAAAGGGCACGAAACACCACAAGACGTGAGGCGCGGCTGAGACACCCTGCAACTGAGATAGAGGCTCAGAGCGCAGGAACCGGGGCCCAGGCGTCCTGACTCAGCACCCAGCAGCCCCAGTCAGTCAGACGCAGCCCGGAAGCCACCTCCCAAAGCCTCCTGGGGACGGGTGCTCAGACGCCTATCTCAGGTGATGACACATTTATCTGAAGTTCAGCAATATCTTCCGTTTTTCCTGGTGCTTTTTTTTTGCTTCTGTTAAACTGACATATAATTAAAATTAAATTTTTATGCACAGCCTTTTCTGGAAGGACCCAAGACAGGGTGACAGGGACAAGAGTGACAGCCTGAGACGCAGGAGGCAGGGGGCCGAGGTTGGAAGGGGACTCGTCACCCGGCACTCTCTCGTGCCTCTTGAGCAACGAACCACGCAGATGTAGACCTTGTCATAGAGTTTTTAAAGGTCTCAAGTAAACCATACTAAAATAAACAGATGTCAAGCTTTCAGTAAAAGCTGCAAGCACAGTATGAACTAATCTATAAAATATTTACGCTGTCTGTCCACCCAATCGTCCCTCCACCTACACACCCATCGGTATAAATGTGTACTGACTAGTGACCGCCAAATATTAGCAGTGGCCACTTCCGGGGGACACGATGAGATTCTGGTTTATTTTTATTCGCCCCTTGGAACTTTCCTGTGTCACCTGGGTTTCTGATTTGAGAAAATGACACACATGTGTCATTTTCACAGGTGCCGTCAGGTCACACAATCTGAGTGACATCCCAGCCCTCATCACGCCCGCATGTCACACACGATCTTACACAATCATTAGTAACTTGTCGGGCGTGTTTTCATCTGTTCCCTGTCTGTGACACTCAGGAAGACTGGAATCTTTATTCTAACTGCTGCTGTGTATCCAGCTCCCAGCACCCAGCACCCAGCACATGATAGGTGCTCAGTATAGAGTTGTCGAATGAGTGGACGGATGGAATTAACAGGGCAATTCAATGCAATGTAATACACAGCAACACAATGCAGATGAAGTACAACGAGATACAAACAAGACAAAGCTTCCCAACAGCCCGCTCGCCACACTCACCGGACCCCATCTCGTCGCTGCCCAGATAGGAGCTGTTGCTTCTCACGCTGGTGTAGGACAGGACCGAGTCCCGGTTGCTGTTACACTCGCTGCAACGGCGAGAGACAGGCCCATCACCCACAGCGCACACCCTCTGGTCTCACGCCCCTGGGGCCCAGCCAGACATGGGGACCTCTGGTTTGAGCGGTTTCCTGTGTCTCCGGGTGGCGGACACTAGGAGACCCCTGCACAAACCCGCAGAAGCAGGGAGAGGATGGTAGCTCTCCCTTCAGGACAGGACAGTGACAGTTACATCTGGATGTCACTACTGTCCAGTGTCCCCAGTGCTCCCCTGTGCCTCACTCCTCATTGAACAGTCTTGCCCAGGACAGGCCTGCCCGTCCCACATTTAATTAAAAGAGACCCAGAAGGTCCAGGGAGCCAGGGAGGTAGCTCAGCGGCACAGCACCTGCCTGGCAAGCACAACGTCCTGAGTTCAATTCCTGGTACCAAAAAAAAAGAAGGCCCAGGGAACTGACAGCCACAGTCTCAAGATTCTTTCCCTCAGCTTTCTGACAATCAAAGGAAAAATCAGAGCACCCAAAAAGGTAGGGATGAAAACTCCAAGACACAGACAAATCTTGAATGGGCACAAGGCTCCAAGATGTCCCACTGTGCACATGCCAGGAAAGCTGGACAGAGGACCTCAAAGCCTGAAGAGCGCAGACACCAGGAGGGCCAGGCAGAACCTTCCTCAGCAAACCCCTTCGGGTCTAAGTTCTGTCCCACTGAGAATGCGTCTCACCAGAGAACTGTGCGCTAGAGACCAGTGTGCACGCACCTGTGATAAGGAATCCTACTCACCCTCCACACGGTTTATCACAGGAATCTGTCTTAGTGTGTTTAACCCACTAGCTGAGATCCCACTGACCTCGTTATGATTCACTTAACCAGCAGAAGTATCATTCAGGCCCTCTCAGAGTTCGGACAAAAAACAATCTTATTCTGTGGGTAAGGTAAAAATAGTGTTGGTCCTGGAAACCCATGTCTTACACTGAGTTTGAAAACACACTGCAGAGTCCTGGCCTTTCCTCTGCCACCCCATCAGCATGTGGGGGGACAGAACGAAGGGGTCCCAGGGCCAGGCCCTGAAACGCTGGCTTCAGAGCAGGGGAGTCTGAGTGACATGCAGGGGTGTGCTGTGAGGGGAGCTCCGTCAACCCCCGAGCACGCTGTTGGCACCAGCCCCCGGGGACGCCCGCAGCTGAAGGTGGCCCACGGTCCTGACTGTCCCACAGCCCAGTGGCCTCAAAGGTTCCGCCGGCCACCACACACAGCCCTGGCCTCCCGCAGCCCACCCACCTGTAGGAGTCACGGTAGCTCATGGTGTCGTGGCCTGAGTCCTCCTGGTCCTCCTCGGACACCTTGAAGCACACTTTCTTGATGCCCCCATGGTCAGCCCTGTCCATCTCGCTCTCCTCGCTGACCAGCGGTGGGGAGGAGGCCTCCTCGGGCAAGGGCGGGTCACAGGGCCCGGCTGAGGTGGGCTCGGTGATGGTGGACAGCAGCCTGCAGGGGACAAAGGCCTTGAAGGTAAGGGCACAGGCCTACAACACGCTGGGCCCTGACAACGGCCCCACCCAGAGGGGGCCTCCCAGTGCTTTGTGCCCCTCCCTTGAAAATGCCACCAGCGCCTCTGTCGGGTGTGAGACACCCTCATTTCCTGACTGAGCTATCAGCACTCTCCACGCTGCACACGGGCTAGGACCCTTTGTGAGGGGCAGGGGGCAAACCGGCTTAGCGTGTTTGGTGCCAACCACTCAACTCTACCACTGCAGCACGGAAGCATCATGGACAGGGTGTAAGCAACTGGGCATGGCTGTGCTTCAGTAAAACTTTATTAATAAAAACAACACAGATAGTAACCTGAATTGAGGCTGTGGGCCACAGCCAGGGTGTAACAGTGAAGAACAGAGGTTTTGAAGTCAGAGCCCACACTCACACCTCGCTACTGCCATTTCCTAGCTGAGAGGCATAAAGTGAATTATTTAATTTTTCTGAGACTCAGTCTCCTCACTGTAAAATGAGATAATACCAGTATGTGCACTCTAGTCTGCTGTGAAGGTTGAGAGAGTTAAAATAAAGTACGTCGTGTTTAGAACAGTGTCTGCTGTCATGTAAGTGACTGATAAGCCCTGGCCAAACCTAATCCTACCACATATCAGTTCTGTCAGTATCATGACTGTTCCCACTTTACAGATGAGGAAACAAAGGCTCAGAGAGGTTAAGTGACTTGCTCAACACTGCACAGCTAATAAGTGACCCAGGACTGAATACGGCCCAGGACTAAAACTCGGGCCTCCTAGCTCTACAACCTGTATTTTTTCTCCTTAATCACAGAAAGTTTCCAACATGCACAAAAGAAGAAGACCATGCTGAACCTGAGGTACCCAGCAGTCAGCTTCAACAGGGTAACACAGGGGCCACCCTATTTCCACCATCTTTTCCTTCATTTTCTCTTTTCCAAGTATTTAAATCAAGTCTAAGAGAGCACGTCATTTCCCTACTAAACACTTCCATTTGTGTGAGCTATCAATATATATGCATGACATATACTTTTTTTTTTTTGTCTTTTTGAGACAGGGTCTCACTATGCAGATCAGGCTGGCCTCAAGCTCACTTTGTAGTCCTGGCTGGTCTCGAACTCACAATGACCCTCCTGCCTCAGCCTCCTGAGTGCTGGGATTACAGGTGTGCGCCACCACACCCAGCTTGTGACATATACTTTTAAACCAATGCTCTTCCACCAGTGGCAAATGTGGGAACACTGGATGAAGTCCAGGTCGTCACCGCGGGGAGTGGGGATGCTATGGTATCGAACCAGGGGAGGCTGGGATGCTGCTATCCATCCTGGAAGCCCAGGGAGGCCCCACAACACAGACCGATCCCCCCAAAATGCCACTAGGATGAAGGCAGAAACTCGGTCTTAAACGTGACCCCCGCTGTCACCGTGCCAAACAGCATTAGCAGTCTCTGAGCACCATCTGGTACCCAGCCTGCGCTCAAATGGCCCTGGCTGTCTCGGAAGCGTCTCCTCCAGGTGGCCTGCTAGGAGCAGGTCCCCGAGCCAGACGCGGCCTCTGACTGGCGTCTCTCAAGTCTCTCCAGTATCTAATGGCTCCTCCTCCTCCCCATGCTGCTTCTCTGCCACTTACTGGTGAAAGAAACGGAGTCATCTGTCCTGCAGAATCACTCACCCTCCGGATTGGCCAAATGTGTCCCCCAGGTGTCACCTAACCGTCCTCTCTCCCCAGACTGCGGCTGTGCAGCGCCATCCAGAGGTGCACAGGCGTGCGCTCGGCTGTCCCTCTCCTTGCCTCGGTCTCAGGGTGGGGAGGACGGCGGGGGACGAAAGGGACGCAGACACCGCCTGTGTCTGTACCGGTTCCCACGACGAACAGACGCACGGCGTATCACAAAAACGTTTTTAACAGACACCGGCTCAGCGCTGCCGGCGAGCACCTGCACGCAGTGGGGCTGCGGGTGTGGCCTGCTGTCTCACAGCAAAGAGGACACGGGCCCAGCTGTCTCTCTCTGAGATGTCCGCATTATAAATGCCCGACAGCCTTTCCCCAGCCAGCCCTCACCTCGCTAAGATCGCTAGACTCGCTAAGATCGCTGCCCGGATCCACTGTTCCGTTAGAGCGGCTTCTCAGTGGGGTGGTTCTGCCCCCCGGAGGCCCGTGACAAAGTCTAAGGATATGTACAGCCGTCAGGGATGGGGAAAAGCTATGGGATCTAGCAGGTGGAGGCCAGGATGGCCCCCAACAGAGACCAACGCTTGATGCCAGGAGAGCCGCGGGGCGCACCTGCTGGTCTCCAGCCCACCGCAGGGCCTCACCTGTTAATCTGGGTGACGTACTGCTTCATCTCCTTCAGGGCCACGTCCAGCTTGGTGAAAAGCTGCAGGTAGGCATCCTGGATCTCTCGGTCCTCCTGCTTGAGCAGGAAGCTCAGGCCCCGGTCTTCCTGGCTGAGGACCCCATTGGCCGGCCCTGAGCTGCTGTCACTGACAGCCTGGCCTTGGGGGTCTCCATCGGCAGGCAGACACTTCCAGGAGGGAGCAGCCATGGTGGTGATGCAGTGCTGGGTATAGGACATGGGGCTCAGGTGGCCTACAGTGGAAGAAGGCAGAGCTCACTCAGAAACAAGCCCCAGGTCCTTTGGGCACGAGAGTACAAACCCACTTCAAGAATTCTAATGAATGAAAATTTTCCCTTTCAATATTCTTAACCCACTAAAGTACAGCATAAAAAAGGTTTCCACTTTGGTGCGAACAAAATTTTAACCATGGGAGTTTTTCCTGCCTGAAATGCAGACATGATGGCTGGTACTTCAGCAACTATGTTCTACTGTGAGGCATTCTGAAAGTTAGAAGCCCCACCTAGAGGTGACAGTGAGGGAGGACAGAAAAAGCCTAGATCCCTGATGACTATGGAGCCATCATTCCAGTCCTGGGCTGGGGGTCTTCAGATAGCTTTCCGGTTTCATATCTGTACAGCGAGATCTCAATGTAACTCTAACAGACACACTCAGGTACCTTGCTCTGGGTCGAGGCCGATGAGGGAGGGCTTACGGCCGAAGCGGATGCTGAAGGACCTGCCGATGGAGGGCGTGGTCTTGGGGTAGGACACTTCCATGAGGTTGACGTGGCAGTTGGTGGGGCAGAAGTCCAGGCCGCATAGTGGGTGGGGCTCCAGGGTGGCCTGCTTGAAGGCTGGGCTGACCCTACCCCTCAGCTGGGCTGCAAACTGACACATGGGGGCAGAGGTCAGATGATTCTGGGCCCCCCGGTACCCCACATCCTGGCCCAGGCCAGATATTCTGAAATTGGGCAAACCGTCAGTAGCTCCAATGGAAAAGTGGGCCATCCTGCAGGGTCTGCAGCCCCAAGCCTGGCTCAGGCATGGCCTGGTGCAGTCCAAGGCCTCTGAGGACCCCCCTCCTCTCCTCAGCTGCTGAGCTCAGGCGGGGATGCCCACCCGCCCCTCAGGGACCACACAGGGCCAGCAAGTGACCAGGCAACCGCAAGGGCTCTCTCTGAGCCCCAGGGACCTAGGGCCCTCCTGACCACGGCGGAATGGCCTGGCTGAGCATGAGGCCAGCGCAGGAGACAACCAAGAGGCAGAGAGGCCGTCGTGGGACACGCACTGTCCCCGCTACCTCAGGCTGAGACCTGTGCCCAGAAAGCCAGAAGACACCCCGGGGGGAGCAGGCACCTGGCGGTAGCGGGTGACCCTCTGGCTGATGCTTTCCAGCTTGGAGTCGCAGGCGCTGAGGAACTTGTGGGCTGTGGTCTCCACGCGGGCGCTTGCGGCCATGAGTCGCCTGCAGTTCTGCACGAAGGTACTGTCATCGGCGGCAAAGGCCTCAAGGATCTGTGGAAACATCAACCACCGCTGAGCCACCCGCCCAGCCCCGGCCAGGACATCATCCCGGGTCACCGCGGGGCGCTGCTGCACGTTTCACGATACCCTGAGAGGCCAGGCCTGTTGCGGGCCTGTTTTGTAGATGAGTAAACTGAGGCCAGTAAGTCACTGTTCTCAGTCCCACAGCTACCAACGGGGGACAAGTATGGCATTTCAGAGCCCCCGGCTGACTCTAGGGAAATGGGAAACAGCTGTCCCCACCCCTAGCAAGAGGAGCTGTCCCCACCCGGGGCAGGGCAGAGCAGGGCAGAGCAGGACAGGCAGGGCCTGGAGACCTTGGCAGTGAGGCCGAAGCAGCCCCGGGGCTCCACGATCTTCTCCAGCACGTGGCAGCGGACGCCCGCCGTGCTCGCGTACTCGTACACCACACCGTGCTCCAGGTACACGTTGTCCACCGTCAGGCTGACCATGGGGCTGTCCTCGCGCAGGCTCAGCTGGGGCCCCAGGGACAGCAGTGGCAAGGCTGGGAGGAAAGGGGCGAGGACGCTGAGGAGAGCACTGCGCAGCCCCCCACCCCTGCCCTGGACGCCCCGCTCGGGTCAGTCCCACCCCCACGCAGGTCTGAGTGGCTCAGGGAGCGGAACCCCCCACTCGGCAGACGCCAGGGTCCAGATGAGCACAGGACTGGCGGGCCTGGGCCTTGCGCTGGATCTACAGAGGGAGGACCTCCCCACGAGGACTCCACCCCACCAGAGCCAGCCCATAAGTGCGAAGCTGGCACAGAGGTTGGGACTGGAGAGAAAGCAGGAGACTCCCAATAATGTCGGTGAGGCCCCGGATGGAGCCACCTTGACCTTTTCGTTCGCTGAGCCTAAGTTTCTGGGTACGCTGCCGGTGGCGGAGGGGTTCAGATTCAGGGTGCAGGAGGAAGGCGGAGCCTATACAATCAAGGTAGAGGCGTGGGAGAAGGAAAAGAGTCAAGGAGCTCCCTGAGATGGAAGAGGAACTGGGACAGGGGAGGAGCAGGTCCCGGGGAGGCACGGAGCTCTGTGTGGAGCTCTGTGTGCAGCCCTGAAGGATAGTGCAGGGCGGAAAGCTGAGGGTGCAGCCGGGCAGGGAGCTGAGGGCTGCGGGTGGGCAGAACACTGCTCAGACCTAGAACCTGGAGGCCCAGGAAGGCCTGGGTGGCAGAGGACATGGAGGCTGCTAGGCAGGCAGCTCTCAGATCCCCAGACGAGCCTGGGTGGTCCAGGAGTGAGCAATTTTACCACAAGCTCTTTAAGTGACGAGGGCAGAGGCAGAGGAGTGCAAGTTCGAAAGATGGCAGCGACCCTGAGGCGGGTGCAGGCAACAGGGCTGGAGCCACCAGGCAGCAATGGAGCCACAAGCCAAAGGATGCAGGAAGTCTCTAGAAGCTCAGACAGACAAGAAATGGATTCCTCTAGAGCCCCAGGGAGAAATGCAGCCCTCAGACACCTTGATGTCAGCCCAGGGGAACTCCTGGCGCTTTGAGATGTTTAGTGTGTGTTGTTCAAGCTCCTGAGTTTGCAGGGTTTTGTCAGAGCAGCCCTAGGAGTACCGCAGACAGCTGGCACGGAGCTGGCTGAGACAAGACCCCTCCATGCATCTGTCCCTCAGAAGCTCCCTGGCACCACTACCTTCTCTTTACCTGCATCGGGCTGATCTTCCTCCTGGGCCCCGTCACCGCTGGGATCCTCGCTGGGCACCTCCTGACTGGCTCGTGCCTGCTGGGCATCCTCGTGGGAGTGGTAGACCCACTGGTACAGGCCCTGGAGGGAGCCAGCATGAGAGGGACAGCCACCACACCAGGGAGGAGGCAGGGTAGGTGCCAACTGCGCCCCGATTCCAAAGCTCAGGCTTTGAGTCTGCTGACAATACCACTCTGGGAGCGGCCCCCAAGATGTCACTCTAGAACCTTCCTTTGGCCCCCATCACACTTGGCCTTTAGCACAGTCTGTGCTCCACACGGAAGCCCAGGCAGGGGAGCCTTTGAAAGTGTTAGAGCTCTAGGAGCAGATGCTTTGTCTCTTCTATATCCCCAGGGCCAAGAAATGTGCCTGCACATAGTAGGTGCTCAGTAAACACTAAGCAAAACAATGACTGAGTGGGTGGACAGCGCTCACCCTCCACCGCAAGCCAGGCCCCTAACTCAATCTAACAATTTTTACCAGCAACACGGCTGTTTACACAGCCTGCCCGTGAGGTAAGAGAAAAAGGTTTCACATGCCCATCTCACGGCACTGAAAAGTGAGGCCATGAGGGATCGTGGCCCAGTTCTTCCAGCTCGGGAGAACACCAGACAGAGGCCTGAGTTACACACAGCCCCCCACAACCAGCATGTCCCTGAGCTCCTCCTGAGAGGGGAGGGCAGCCCTCACCCCACAAGGACCCCACTGTGGGGGCCCCCCTGCACCCCGGCTGCTCACCAGGGCCTCCTCTCGGCGGCTCCGGAAGGCCTGGAAGTGCTCCAGGACCTCGAGGGCACCGTTGTTCATCACGTTGTTGCCGTTGACCTTCAGGACACACTGACCGGCACACAGCCCGGCAGCCATGGCCTCCGAGCCTGGGGGGCGGAGAGCTGGAGGTGGGCACAGGCAGAGAGCCAGGGCCACAGCAGGCAGGGCAGGGAACCAGAGGAACACGCCCCACCACTCCCCAGACACACCCACCAGGACGGCACCTCCCACGGCAAGGAGAGCCGCTCCATCTCCGAGTCCTGCACAAGCTCGTGCGACTGGACCAGGGTGAGCCCCGTGTGGCAGAGAGGGAGACAGAGGCTCCGAGAGCCAAAGCGACCATCACAGTCACGCAACTTGCAGAAGCCAGGATTCCAACAAGGTCTCCCCGGCTCCAAGCGCTTGCATGTTCACCTCCACCGTAATTCCCAAACCACAGGTCTTGGACCCACAGTTCCGTGAGGTTAACATGAAAGATCTGGAAATGCATACGGGAGCAAATCCGGCCCATTTAGTGTGATGGTGACAAGGATAGGCCTGGGCCTCAAGGACCTGGGCTCCAAAGCCCAGCTCCATCTCATCAGCACATTACTCAACCTCTCTGGGCCTCAGCTTCCTCATCCATGAAATGCGGACACTAATAAAGCCAACTGGTAGGGTCCCAGAGAGTTAACACATGTGAGACATTTAGCACCAAGCCTGACACCAGTAAGTCCCCAGGAAATACCGACCGTTCTGACACTGGCCAGGTGGACAACTGCTACAGTCTGGATCTAGATGTCTCCCAAAGGCCCACATGCTAATGGCTTCACCCCTAGCCTGGTGTTACTGGGAGGTGGTGAACACTTTAAGAGGTAGAGCCTAGGAGAAGGTCTTCAGTCACTGAGGGTGCTCCCTTAAAGGGGTCTCGGGACTCTGCCCCTTTCTCTCTCACTTCCGCTTCCCAGCCATGCAGTGAATGGCTTTGTTCCACTCCATGCTCCTGCCACGATGAGCTGCCTTGCCACAGGCCCAAAGCAACAAGGCCGAAGACCATAGACTGAAACCTTCCAAACCAGGGCCAAAATCCACAAACCTTTCCTCTTTATGGGCTGATAGTCTCAGATATGTTGTTACAGCAACAGAAAGCTGACTAATACAACTAGGAGCACCTATGATGACCAGTCACCAACATCTCCACACCCGCTCCAAGGCAGAGACTCCCTGGCACCACCGCCACCCAGGGCTGCAACAAGTACACTGCTGTTTCTTGGGGCCCATGGTTCGTTGGGGCATTCTGGGCACTACAGGCCATCAGCAGGATCCTGCCTGCCCCCTAGATGTCAATGCCCCCTCTCCCCAGTGTGACAACCAGAAGGGTCTCCAGACATTGCCAGATGTGCTCTGGAGAGGGGACAAGATGACCCCAGGTTAAGACCACTGTTTCAAGGATAAATAAAATACAAACCTACTTTATATGATCAAATTCTCAGTAGCCTTCATTATGAGAGCTCTTTTCTTTCTTCCTTTTTTTTTGGTCTTTTTTGAGACAGGGTCTCGTTCAAGCTGGCCTTGAGCTCACTTGGCAGCCCAGGCTGGCCTCGAACTTGCAGTGATCCTCCTGCCTCAGCCTCCCAAGTGCTAGGATTACAGGTGTGCATCACTATGCCCAGCTTTATGAGAGGTATTTTCTCAATCAACAGATATTAAAAGTACAACTCAAACCACCAAAGTGGACAATTCCTATGGAAAGGAGGACTCTGGGTGCCAAAAGCTTGGGGTCCCCAGCACTGCAGACTGCACTGGTTTCACTCCTGAGACAGAGCTGACATCTTAACCAGCATGCAGGGAAAAGACATACACATACCAGAGGCTCCAGTCACTGGCCCATGGCTCGACCTGGCCACAGGACTGTTTGGGGGGAACTCCGAATTCACATTTGTACAAGAGTGGCCTACATTCGCTCCAGGCAGTATGAGCATCGGCTGAAGGGCAGCCCACCTTTATGGAGTGAACACTGCCACCTTGCCACAGGCCTCACCCCTCCCTATCAACCTCCACTCTGCTCACCCCACCCATCTGTAACTTGCTTTCGCAAATCTTGGCTCCAAGCAAAGAAACAAGTGGTAATGGTGTGCTAGCAGGCCGAGGCAGGTAGCGAGGTATGGTGGCTCTGAACTCCTGCCACAAGGACAGCCCTGCCCCTCAAGGCTGCTTCGGTCTTCGAAGTTTGCACTCACCTCTCCCTACAGCATAGACGAAGGGTGGGGAAGCTCCACGGATCTGGAAGCACAGGGCCTCTGGGTGATCGGGGACTTTGATTGTCCTGCAGCAGGTAGACACACCAGGGGAAGGCGTAAGGAATGGCCCTGTAGCTTTCAATAACCTGGCCTACCTGGGGAGCCCTGGCCTCAGAGACCTCTGGGAAATCCAGCCCAAAATAGGAGCAGCATCCAGCTTCCAGATGTCAAATGCAAGCAGAAATGCCAAATAGCCACAGCCCATGCCACAGGACCCTCGGATATCAGAGTGTGGGGAAACCCCAGGCCACCCTCCTGCACCTTCTCTGTCTCCTCATCCAAGCGCCTGTAGCCACATGACCAGTTTGGCTGGTCAGTATTTTACTCAACAGTCACAGAGGAGAGGGTGAGAAGTGGCCCAGCACGGCTCGGTGCTGACCCTAGAATCACACCCACAGGTCCCCTGGAGGGCACAGCTGTCATGCCAGGGTCTCGGCCACTCTTCAGGCCACTTCCCACCATGGCACTACAGGCAGCATTGTGCAGGGGCGGGGAGTCTGACACCGCTGTCCACCTCCCCGCCTACGGCACGCTCCCACCCCGCGCCGCACCAGCGTCCCTCCTGTCCCCTGCCACACAGGGTGCCTGTCGTCAAACTTAAGACGTCTGCAGAACTTTCCACTTGGTGACGTCTCCCACTTCATACATCAGCCAGGCTGCAACCCCATCTCCCTACGTCAGCGTGCTTTTTTACTGAAATAACCACATCGCTCTCCCCAGTAGGACATTTACCCTAAATAAAAGGGAGATGTGGGCATTGAACACGTAATTTTTCAACAACAAATGCTTCCCCTCCACCTGCATCTGGTACAGGCCTCCTCTCGTCCCCTCCACACCGAGCAGGGCTGCCAGCCTCCTGGCCGCCGCCTGCAGCCAGAGGGGTCAGCTGTCCGCAGCCCTTACCATGGGCACAAGGTCCCATGGGGTCGGGCGCTGCCGCCTCCTGACCACGCCCCCTACTCCTCACGGCGGCTCAGCTGTGCCCAAACCGCCCACTCAGGGACTTCGTGCTGCTGCCTCCTCAGCATGGAGCCCTCTTCTTCCAGGAGCCCTTTCCCCCGCGTCACCTCCTTGGGGTCATCACCCCTGTCCTCAGCAACACCTTCCTCACCCTTCCTCAGCACGCCTGGCTCCTCCCAGCTCCACGGATCTCTCTGCACCTTACATACCACCCCTTGTCGGAATGGATCTCACATCTCTATCTGCATTTCCGTCCCCTGCTCCATCCCTCACCTGAAACTGAGGGCCAGGAGAGGGAGCAGCTGTACCCACCCCCCGGCTGCACCCCCAGAGCCTGAGGCCCCCCTCACCCCCATGTGGCGGGTGCTCAGGAAGCATCTGCTGAATGAGTGAAAGTGCTAGCTTTATGTCATGGCCTCCAGTGACAGACCCATCCACAGGGAGCCAAGACAGATGGCTCACCCCGCCCCCCTAGCCCCAGCACGGGCACCTCCTCGGCCGGGAGGAGGGTCAGCAGGACTGCCCGCCCTGGGATGCTCACTCTTTGGCCTTGGTGGCCACCAGGAGGCGCAGCGGGCGGCGGGAGCAGAAGGACTGGTTGAGGATGGACTCCACCTCTGAGAAGGGCCTCAGGAACACCAGGTCCTCGTTGATGGAGTAGATCTTCCTGCCCACCTGCAGGCCGGCCATCTAGGGACAGCAGGGACACCGTGTGTGGGTTATGATCTCTGTCCTCCTCTTAAAGAGACCTTGAGTGCTAAGGCACAGTGCCTGCCACAGAGATCAAACAGGACACAGGATGCACCTAGGGGACCCCCCCAAGAGGCTAAGGGGGCCACAAAGTTCCAAAGGGAGGTACTGCTGGCAGAGACACTTTCCCTGGGGAGAAGGCGCACAGCCCACCCCGCTGGGTGAGGGGCACATGGCGTCAAACGGGGCAGCCCCGCGCGGCTGCCAGGACTCAGCCACCACAGCTGAAGGCACAGCGAAACAAGACCCCAGCCCCCTCCTCCTCCCAAGCCCTCACCTCCAGTCACATGAAGCCAGGAGGGGACGGCCATCCCGACGGCCGCAGCAGGCACTGCCCAGCATGGCCTGCATCCCTGCTGCCCCACACCCCAGGAGAAGCTGAGACCCACAGGGGCTGAATCCTCAGCCTGCCATCGACTCGCTCTCCTACCCTGTCCTCCTCCTGCTCCTCCTCCTCAGGACTCTGTGTCTCTGTGTCTGTGAAAGATTAAGCACCTCCTACTCAAGACTTCGGAACTTGAGTTTCCTGTCATTACAGCAGGAAAATCCAATTCAAAAACCTGGTCCCAAAATGACTCAAAGGAAGGAACAAGCAGGATGAGGGGAAGGAGAAAAAGAAAGAAGAGAAGATAGATAGATAGATAGGTGGGATAACTGCACTGCTGGTGTCTAATGGTTTATTGAAAGGAACAGTTAATGCTTAATTTTTTTGGACGAATTTTGCATGCTTACATCTGGTAATCTGAACAACTAATTTGAAGACAACCATATGCAATACAACAACCATTGGTGAATTCCTACCATCTTATCTAGTGAAGCTCCGTATCGTTTCTAATTTTTTTATTATTTTTAATTTTTTTTAATGGTTTGATCAGTCTTGCATTCTTCCATCTGGTAATCTGAGCAACTTCGCTGAAGATAACGGTATGTAATATAACAACCACTGTTAATGCCTATCATTCTGTTTTGAAACCCTGTATCATTTTTATTGTTTTTGCTTTGTTTTGTTTTTGTTTATGTTGTTATTTTGTTATTGTTTTTTATTCTTTAAAATTAAAAAAAAAGGGGGGGCTGGGGATTTAGCTCAGCGGCAAAAGCGCCTGCCTGGCATGTGCAAGGTCGTGAGTTCGGTTCCCGGTACCGGAGAAAAACCAAAAAAAAATAAAATAAAATAAAATAAATAAAAAAATTAAAAAAAAACCCCTGATCCTCCAAATCTGCTTTTCCTGCATCTCCCACCAGAGCCCAGGAGGAGGTGCTGGTGAGACACGCTAGGAACATGGTCCTGAGCAGCCCCACTCCATCACAGCTCACCAGGAACTGCAGATGAAGGGGCCTGGACTCAGTTTCCCTACACAGATAATGACCATGAAGGAACTCGCTGATATCCCAGCACCGGCTCAGCTGGCCAGCCTCAAGGGACGTGGACAGATACCCTCCTCTTCCACCTGCTCACAGTCTGTCACAGCTGCAGCTCCGCGAGCCTCACCTCAGCCAGCGAGCCCCGCTGCACGGACTTGACCACCACAGCCTTGTTCTTCTCCTCGATGTCGAAGCCGTAGTCCTCCTCCTGCGGCAGGATCTGAGGACCCAAGGCAGAAGGCACCCTGTGAGGCCTGGAGCAATGCCACTCAGACCCCTGCAGGACCACCACTGGCTCCTCTTGTCCCAGGTCTACAGGAAAGCAGCCAAGCCCAGACAGGCAAGACGGAGTGAAACACAAGCCCCACCCAGCACTCAGTAGGTGATCCGGGCCCCCCTGTCAGTGAGGACACGCCAGCCACCACACCCAGCTCGGCTGGTGCTGACCACACAGCTCCCCTTTCATCCCCATCCCCATAAATACGCACCGGCCTAATCAAGACAATGTGTCCTGAGGCGTGCAGCCACCAAGAACTGGGGCCCGGGGGTTTTGGGGGCAGGCGTGCCGGAAGAAGGGCTGGGCTGTGTGCATATTCAGAGCATAATCAGCAAATGTTTACTGAGCTGCTGCCCGCTGTGTGCCTCAGGGGTCCCACAGGGCGCCGGGGCCCACTACTGAGCCAGACACCCTGCCCGCCTCCCTGAGCTGTTAGTGGAGGAGGGAGACTGTAAACAAACACAGGCCGTGAGGCAGGCTGAATTAAAGGGGCACGGTGAGGGGTGACAGGAGGTGACACCTGAGCTGAGACTTGAGTGGACTGAGAAAGAGAACTTCACAGAGTGGGAGAGAGTGCTCCAGGCAGCAGGCACAGAACACGCAAAGGCCCCATGGCAGGCCCCACAGAGCAGGGGGTAAGAAAACAGATCAGGGAGTCGGGGCAGAGTGAGGAAGGGGACAGCACAGCAGATGACGCTGGAGAAGCAGGAAGCATCTCCTAGGCCACGAGAAAAGCTTGCACTTTAATCTGAGTGTGGTGGGGAACGTGGAAGGCTCCTAGCGTGAGAGACATGGAATCGGACAGAGAGAGGAGCCGTCCTCCCACCCAGACTTCTGCTCCAACCGCACACCCCCACCCCCACCCCACCCCCGCAGAGGCGAGAGACTTCTCCACGCAGCACTTGATCGCTCACTGTGGGCACATTAGGGAGGGCTGCTGCTGAGCAGCAGGCAGACAAGCTCTACGGGAGGGGCTGGGAGCATTTCTGCACAGGGTTTAAATGTTCCCCTGAGCCCAAGGCTATGGACTCAGGCGGCCAGTAGAGAAGACCTAAGGCCACAGGGGACAGGGCCAATGTCTTCAGGGACATTTTCCCCACAATGTGCTCAGTGTGGGTCAGGGAGGACAAGAAGAGTTGGACAGACCAGGAAGGGTGCCCAGCAGTCTTGACCTCCTTGAAGAGCCTCCAGACTCGGGCTCAAGGCTGAGCACCCTGTTCTGCCCACTGTCTCAAGATCGCTCGGCCCCAGGCCTCCAGAACAGTCTGGGCAGGAAGGGGCAGCGGCTCAGCTCTGCTCCTACCAGCAGCCGCTTGGCCAGGATGTTCTCCACCAGCTTGAAGTCATTACGAAGCTGTTTGTTCTTGCTGCTGGTCCCCTCCATCTCCTCATCAGCGTGGAAGCGGAAGTACTGGGACTCATCCTTGAACTCGCTCTTCTCCAGCACTGAGAACCAAACACGCAAGCACATGGTCAACTCACATGGCTGTAACCGGCCCCCAGACAAGTTTGGTTTGGCCAACACAGTTTTTTAAAATGGAATTTTATTAAAATAGAATCATATGCCAACACTAACATATTAGGGTTTTCTCACATAACAATCCAGCTTTCTGACTTCTCTTGAAAAAGCTAAACTTACCCCACAGGGTGCTCAGCCTTGAGGACATACATTAAAAACGCACAGTGACAAAAAATAATGTAAAACTGGACCAGAAAAAGACAACCAATGAAAGAGAACAGGAATCGCAAACGAGGACTATGTGTGTATGGGAATTTAGCACATGATGGATGATAGAGGATTATGTGGACAAATCCAAAGATGATGCTGGGAAAATGACTCACTTGAGGGAAAAAGGAAATTCAGATCTCTACCTCACACCATATACCACAATAAACTCCTGGTGGTTTAAAGACCTTAACATGATAGTAAAACTAAAGCTAGTAAAGCAAAATGTGGAACACCTTTGTCCCAGGGTAGAAAAGCATTTTGGGTATTAAGACCACCAAAAAAACCTGTATGGTCCACTATTTTATAAAATAAAATTTCACTAGAAACAGCCACATCCATTTGTTTACATATTTTCTATGGTTGCTCCCAAGCCGCAGTGTCAAAGCTGCTTAACTGTGACAGACTGTATGGTCCACAGAGCCTGATTTTCTGTGATTTGGCCCTTTTAGAGAAAAAGTGGGCCTATTCTAGAACGACCCAGGAAAATGAACAAAAGTCCAAATATGGGACCAGATCCCTGTGCTTATTGGTAACTAAGCACCTGTAAGGCTAGGCACACACAGTTCATTACTCCTCAAGCGAGGAGGAATCTGCTCTACCCCCTTTACAGACGGGGAAATGAGGCCCAGAGAGACTAAGTACATTCCCCAAGTCACAGGACCAGCAGGCACCAAAATGACCCTCACCCAGGCCCCTCCTTTCCCCACACTGCCCAGCCAGGCCTGCCGGAGGAGCAGGAGTAAACAGAAGCAGTACATAAAGGGGGGAATCAAGGGTTGGTGAGACAAAGGTAGCTGTCTAAGCTTACAGGGGCCCTGCAACAAAGAAAACCAGCCACCTTAGCCGGAGGCGTCCTGTTGTCCCTGAGGACAAAGGCCGTGTCCTGATTTGGTAGCTAAATGGAAGGCAGCGGGAGGTGTTTCTCCCCCGCCCCCTGCTGGTGTCCAGGCCGTTTTCACAGACTCTACCTGTTTGTGACCATCCTTCCCTGCTTTCTCAGGCCACCCCAATTACCTCTTTGGAAAAAACAGACACATAAATTGCTACTTTCCCCGGAGCTGAGGAGCCAGGCTCCAGGGGGCCGGCTGGCTTCGCCTCCACTATAAACATGAACTTAGAAAACTCAAGGAGTGGGAGGAAGAATTGCAGTGTTGTGTCTCGACTGGAAAGTCTGGGAAAACAGCGCAGAGTCCTTCAGGTCCAAGAGCTCAGCCAGGTGAGGCCCGGACTCCGAGCCTCCCAGTCAGGGCCACGAGGAGGGCGGATAAGATGTGCACAGCTCCGGGTTCAGATCCCCACACAGCCCTTTACTAACCTCATGCCCTACAACCTCTCCAGGCGTGGTCTCCTCATCTACAGAGGTAAAAGGAGCACCAATTTCCTGGGACGGCTGGGAGGATTAAATGGCAAGTCTCAGTTTCCCTGTATTTGGGCCACCAGCCTCTCTGGTGCCTCCCCGGGAAACCTCAGGTCCCCACAGGCTGCGCCTGGACGCTCTGGGAGGGACCACAGGAGGAGCCGCGGCGACCCACCCCACCCCACCCCACTCCGCACCTTACCCTGTACTCAGTCACAGCCCTCTCCTATTTTAGTTGCATTTTGAGTTCGTGGCAGGGAACAGGGCCGCGCCCTGCAATTTCTCTCCCTGAGGAGCCCTGAGGGCTCAATATTGTCTGAGAGTCACCCCCTACAGAATGTCCTCCACCAGTAGCCTTCCCAGAATAGCTGCTGGGATGGACCCTTAATTACCCTCACCCACAAATGAGAGGCTCCGGCCAGCTGGCTGGTGGGCGGCCCCCTCAGGGACCAGAGTGGCTTCTGGGAATGAGGGACTTGGCTGAGATGGGGCAGATGAGGGCAAAGGAGGCAGTGAGGAGGGAGTCCTTGCCCCACAGAACCACAGCGTGCTGGGCTCAGAAGGGGGACAGCCAGGCCTCCAGGGGGAGCTGGGGAAACTGAAGCCAGAAGAGGAGTCCTGGCTTATGGGCTGTCTTGCTTTGCCTGCTGGCCAAGGCAAGCTGACCCTAGATCAGAACTCTATGGCCCACTGTCTACTTTTCTAAATAAAGTTTTATTGGCACACAGCCAGGCCCACCTGTTTCCTCACTGTCTGTAGATACTTCCGCATTACAAAAGCAGACATGAGCAGCTGTGACAGACTGTGTCACCAGCAGAGCCTACGACACTTCCTATCAGGCCCTTCATGATGAAAGTGCACTGGCCTCTGAGGTAGAAATGAAAGCAGAGAGCACGGAGGAGACATGACCAGAGGCTCCTTCGGTTCAGAGTCTGACACTGACCACGTCTCACGCCTGCACAACCACCACCCAGGGTTCGCTTTGCCTGGATGGAGGCCTCATCACGTCCCCTGGACTGTCATAGTCACCTCACGGCCCCTCTACTTCTCCCACCCTGACTGTTCCCCACAGCCAGAGGGATCTGACAGAAATCAAGAAACCAAATCAGGCACATCCCCCTCTGCTCAGAACATCCTGGGTTCCTGCCTCACACTCAGGAGAAGCCCACGTGCTCCTTACTTGCCATGGCCCTTCAGTGTTACACACGCATGCACTGTGCCGGGGACACACACATACTCACTGGAGAACAGAACAAAGACAAGAAGGACACACGGGATTCCTGTCCTCGGCCTGCTCCACCCAGGCCAAGCAAACCCAAGCAGGGAGCAGTGAGAGCAGGGACCACTGCAGCTGGGGCACACAGGCCTCACCAAGTGTCCACAAGCAGAAGCCTGGATGACGGGGTGGGGGGAGGGGCGCAGCAAGGGCAAAGGCAGCACAGGGCTTACCGTGGTGCAGGAAGCCGTTGTTGCACAGACCCACGCCGAGCGCCACCGCCTCCTCCCGCGTCTGGCAGTCTCCCTGGAGGGGAAAGGGGTTGGTGTTTAGGTGGCCGGGTCCTCAAAGCACCGGACAGCATGGGACCTGTGTCCCTTTTTGTTTGCTGCGGTGCCTCCGAAACGTATCAGTGACTACCCTTGATGAACTCCGGACAAGAACATCATTTCCCTGTCCGGTGATCAACAGCACAGAGGAAAAGTGGAGGCAGTAAGTAGCAGATAATGTGGGGTGCCAGGAATGGCCTTTTCCAGATCCTTCCCTAGTAATGAAACCCTCACCCACGTCACAGTCTTCCTGGCAGCTATTGGTAGCCACTGAGATACAAGTAACCCCGGCAGGGCACTCTGGCAAAACCTCCTTTGCCCATGACCCATTCTTTCTCTTCTCCCTGCCCAGGATAAAGATGTGATGGCAGGAGCTTCTGCAATCACCCTGGACCACAACGATCTTGAGGAAGGCACCCACTGGGGATGGCAGAACAGAAAGACACACTGTGGTCTCCAAAGTAACTGTGAGACTTTCCTAGTGGCTCTGGACCACCATCCTCTGGGCTGCTCTTGTGCAAGAGAATCCCTAATTTGTTGTGACCTCTGGACTTGAGTCCCTGATGCTAGAAATTGGGTTCTATTGCTCAAGGACGTGGCTGTAGCCGAGGGGATCCCCGGGAAACCTGTCGGGGGCTTCTGGATACACCTCCCTCCCAGCCAAAGGAAGCAGCACTGCCCCTCCCTGTGGGGCACAAAACACGGAGGTGACGGTGGAGGGTCCGGTGGCCAGGGGTGCAGACACCCCTGAGGTGCTGAGGAGGGCCGAGTGAAGGACGGAAGGTCCTCAGGGCCGTGACACCACCGAGCCCACAAGCCAGCCCTGAAGCCAGCTACTGCCGCACTCACTGGTCCTTCTAACCGCAAACGTGCCACACAGTACCACTGGAACGGGGTCTGTCCCTCAGGGGCTGCCCAAGGGCGACGTCACGCCCACATCGGAGGCCAGCGTGGCCAGCGTGTCGGGCACCTCCCTGGCAGGCTGGTGTCCTAGCGGGCCGGGGAGGCCGCCTGCCCAGGAGCAGCTGGGACACCCGAGTGGAGGAGCCTGAGGACAGAGGCGGCTGTGCGGATTCTCCCTCAGCACCCGCTTCCTGGTTTCCTGACACCGTCCTCACCTGGGGACAGAGCCAGGTCTCCCCACCTCCTCCCGGCACGTCCCCATCTTCTCTCTCTACCTTCCATTCACCAGTCTCTTTCCGAGGCTGGGAACCTGTACAATCCCAGTACAGCCAGGCTAAGGGCGTGTGTGGCAGAGCCCAACAGCCAGACACGATCAAAGGCCCAGGGGTGGGAGGAACTCGGGTGCAGGTGGAACCCCAAGGCACAGGGCTAGCAGGGAACCGGCAGGAAGGGCTGGGAGCCCGGGCTGTGATCCCTGCTTAAACCGCAGAGGTGGCAATAGGTCTGGCACACGGTCTGTGCTCAGTATCCGCTGAGTGAATAACAGAGGCAGGGATGGGCGCTCTGAACTCTGAGCCGTGCCAAGAGCCCTCCACACGCGGTGCCGAGGCCCTGCTCTCCTGCTTCATCCGCAGCCCGGGTGGGGGAAGGTATTTCCCAGCTGAGGGAAGGGACACAACTGCTTTTCCAGAGGCTGCAGTTGCCAAGTGCTGGCCGGACCCTGCGCAGAAGCAGGAGTGCTCTGGACTCTGTTTCATGGCGCGGCAGCCCGGGCTGACAGGATAAAGACAAACGGCTCCATGGGGACCCCCAAGCCGGCAGCCAGAGGGCCGCGTGCTTCAGCGGGGCCAGCAGAGGCACTGCGAGAGAGGCCACATCCGGAGCAGCCGCCCCGGCTGTGCAACCAGTGGGGAGGGCCAGCCAGGGCCCACGTGGCAGCAGGGCCAGCTCTGCAGCCGCGAGGCTCTGGCCAGCATCTGGAGCCCGCCTGGCTTCTGAGCCACACACAACCTGGGCTTCCGGCCCGTCACACCCCTCAGAAAGGAACCTGGGGCAGCTGGAGCAAGGGGTGGTCCTAGGAACGTCAGCACAAGCTCAGGGTAACAGCAACAGGCTGGGACACACCACTGAGGAGCACGCCCAAGCCCACGCTCCCACTAACAGCCGCAAAGCACGTGCAATCCCAGTGCTCTTCTCTGCCTCACCTCCCTGTATTCGCTCCACCTCTGCACTCTGCTTTTTCTGCACCTTCTGCAGCCCCAGGGCCTTTACACTTGCTCTTTCCCCCTACCTGGACGGCCCTGCCCCGGGCTTTGCAGGTGTCAGCACCCAGGTCCTGGGCTCAGAGTCCTTCCCCTAGGGACCCTCAAGCAGCCTCCCAGCCCCTCCACCACACATCCCTGCACGCAAATCCTCATCCGGTCACACACGCTCATGGCCCGTGCAGCGACTGTGGGGCTCTGTCACAGAAATGAACGCATCCATCCATCCACTTGTGTGGGGGGGGCCTGCCTCCCACTGGGGCAGGTCCACAGCAGTGCTTGATGCGGTGCAACAAGTGAAGGAAGTGATGGGGTGGCTGAGGGCACAGCTGCTCACCTGCAGCACAGACCCGAGGCACAGAGGAGAGGTGAGGACCCTGCAGCTGGCTTCCCGGTTCAGCCAGCTCTGCCTGGCTGCGGCCTCAGGCAAGCAGCCGGTGGTGCCTCTCTGAGCTCAGACCCTACAGGGGCTCTATTTTACAATCAGTGTCTATGAGACCTCTGCCATGCCCCCCAGCAGGGCCTTTGCACTTGCTCAGACTCAGCGTCTGGGGCTGTCTGTGCTCCAGAGCACCATCGTTAGTATGGGGAGCATCTCAGAGAGAGCAGCCCATGACTGCGGGCCCTGAGGCAAGACACAGACCCTGAGCCTCACTCTTTCCGTGTGTTAAGTGAGAATAAGTGCTTTCCCGGGGGTGTCCTGAGGTTTAAATGAGAGAATGCACACAGCTCAGAAGTGATACAGAGCGTGATTTGTCCAGGACTAGCACAAGCCTGTCCTCCGAGTTAGAAGAACGGATTCATCCAGGTGGTGACAGCAGCCCCTTCTCTGAGCAGCAAGGGATGAATCCTGAGGAATCCTAAAGTCACTCTCCGCTATCCTGTTTTCTCCCCCAGAGACAGCTTAGGGGAGTATGTGTAACCCATCTGGCCAATGAAAACAGGAAGAACACTGGATGGAGGGAAGGTTACAGTAAGTTTCTTCCCCTAATACACGAAATGAGAAAGATACTCCCACTGTATCTGAGGTACAGATATGATGTCTGGAGCCACAGTAGCCATCTTGTGACTGTGAGGCAACAGGAGCAAGGTAATAGCAAACAAAAGGGCAGCAGGTGGCTAGAGGCAAACAGCACTATTGAGCTCTAGGACCATGAGCTGTAAACATCGAGTTATTGAGAGAGAAATGTCTTTGCTGTGTAAGTCAGGTTTCCTATTATGTGCAGCCATAAGTATAGTATTCCCAATGGATCCACTAGGTTTCCAGTTGACATTTTGTATCAAGATGCTCAACAACCTATAAGTTCAAAAGGACGATGTGTCCAAAGCGTAAAAGGCCCTCCTGAACTATGTATGAACTATATAATGATGTGTTCTCTTCCATCCCAGCTAGGAACAAGGTAGGGATGATCCCTGAAATCAAGACTTGCTGTAACCCGGTCTTTGTGTCAAACAACTGCTTCACCCCCAAATACTTCTCAGAACCAGCCCACCCCAGCTCACGCCCGAGCATCAGCCTTGGAAGCAAATTCGACTTTCCGTCGTGAAGCAACGCAGCTCACAGGACACACACAGCCACAGGACGGCCATGGGAGAGATGCGGCATCTCTGAGCTCGGACAGCAGACATGTCTGGGCCGTGACGGGGCACCGGGACCCCAAATCAGAGCCCATGCGCCCTCATCTGCTCACTGCACACCGGCAAGGCGGGACTCTGCAAACTGCCCCACCCCATCTTGCTATTCCTGAACCCTCAAATCCCTCTTCGATTTATTTACTTTAACCTTAACTGTAACCTCTAACTGCATTGTAGTTGTGGGCCATCTTGCGTGCTCGGCAAAAGGGTTTTTCTTTCGGTTGTTTTTTTTTTCCTGTACCAGGAATTGAACTCACGACCTTGTACTTGCCAGGCAGGCACTGTGCCGCTGAGTTAAATCCCCAGCCCTTAAAAGGGATGAAGAACTGTGGTTACATTTATGGAGCCAGGACTATGCCAAGGCTAAATCCTTCCCATGCTTAATCCGCGGAATCCTCAAAGCAGTCTACAAAGTATCACTTTGTGCTGTGTTTCACAGGTGGGGAAACTGAGATACAAAGAAAGTAAGCAATTTGTCCAAGGTCACTCCGTGAGGAATTAGCAGAGCTGAGATTTGAACTCAGGTCTGCATGGCACTGTTCTGGGCTGATTTCACACGATTCTGGGTGGATACATCTAACCGAGGGATCGATCAGAAGCTCTGAGCTTCACAGACACTCAACTGGATTCAAACCTAGGGGCCTCGAGACATCTCAGGTCTCGGGGTCCCAATCAGGGCAAAGGAGAAAATGCATGCGCATCTCACATTAAATACTGAATTTATTTTCAAGGTTTTTTTCTAAACTTACTTACTTGACACCCAGAAATGTTTACTGTCTAGATTGGCTGTGACTTGCCCACAATCGTTAGTCATTTGTGCAACCTGAGAAAATCCAGCCACCAAATTGTTTTCGAAAGGGATGCAGCTCTTCGGAACGCACGGTTTAATGATCAGTGAGGCCTACATACTCTTTGGTTTATAGACAGTCAAACATTTACCCATTTTAATTTCCCAGGTGGCTCCTCTGGCCTCTGGGCCCAGACCATTTGCAAACGGACATGCTACTGGCCTTCCCGAAAAACTCACAGGACCCAGGCAGAGTTCTGGACTGAGCGAGACGGACCAGCTCAGTCTCGGCCTTGCCACTGGGAGGCTGTGCACTTTTAGAACGAGCACTTGCCACTCTGGGCCCCGCCCCCATCTGCAAATGCTTTGGAAGACTCTAAGATAACAGACAGGATGGGTGTGGTGGTGCATATCCTTAATCCCAGCACTCTGGGGGGCTGAGACAGGAGGACTGCAAGTTTGAGCCCAGCCTGGGCAACTCCGTGACTTAGTAAGACCCTCACTCAAAGTTAAAAATAATAAAAAGGGCTGGAGATGTAACTGAATGCAAAGGCCCTGGCTTCAATCCTAAATACTGCCAAGAAAATATAGGAAGGTAACGTCCAGTTCCCCCACAGCCTCGTAAGGGTAAGTGCCCTCTGTGGACAGGAGCCCTAGTGGGAAGACAGACACGGGACAGAGCAAACACCTTTGGAAGCCGCAGCAGAAGGGACGGAAAGACCATCCAAGCCCCTGGCCAGCCCCTCCTCGCTGGGGCCACTCTGAAAGCAAGCACTTGGGGAGCTCCATTCAGAGGCTCCACTCTAGTGCCATGAACGTGTCCCAGTTTGTCCCAGTTTTAAAACTGGAAGCCCCCACATTTGTGTGGACAGCAATGAGGTCTGCACGCACTGCTGTGGGTTGAATGCTCGTGTCCCCCCCACCAAATTGACACTGAAACCCAGTCCCCGAGGCAACAGAATCAAGAGGTGTGCCCCTTCAGGAGGTGATGGAGTCACGACAGCTCTGCCCTCCTGGATGGGATCAGATGCCCACGGAAACAAGCCCGACGGGAAGGGATGACTCCCATCCCTTCCCACACGAGGTCACAGCCTCCCTCCCTCCACAGGCACAGCCAAGGGCGCCATCGTGGAAGCAGAGAGCCACAGGGCTTCCACAGACCCCAAACCTGTTGGCACCTGAACTCCCAGCTCTGGAGCCATGAGAAGTAAGCCTCTGCTGCTTATAAATGACCCAGCTCTCATCCAGTAATGCCTCAGTTCACAAACACTTCTGCCTGCGGACAATTCAATTCTCAAGAATAGAAGTGTTCAGCAAAATTTTGCTTCCATTCACGAACTCCGCATCAGGAGACGAACACAAATGCAAAGCAGTCGCCAGTGCAGACAGATACAGTTGGCTCCCCCTCTGGCGAGGTCCCTGGCGGGCTCAGAGTCAGGCAGACACGAAGTAGCCGGAGGAGCCCGGGAGGGGCGTGGGGGGTGTTCTTGGTCTTCACAGTGCCAGTTCTGCAGGGGTCAGGACAGCTGCACATTATGAATGTGCGTAAGGACAACGGAACTGTACACCTACAAATGGCTAAGAGCAAACTTTATGTGCATTTTGTCACAATTTAAAAGAGTAACAGAAAATGTTTAAAACCCCGAAGGCCAGCAGGAAGCCCCTCACCTGGGCCAGCAGCCAGTCCACCAGCTTGCTCCCGGGCAGCACAGACTTGTAGGTCTTCAGGTGGTGGTCACGGTCCCTGCGGGAGGGCAGCAGGTGAGTGGGTGGTGGGGACAAGCAGTGGGCTGCCCCTGACCCCCACCTGCTGGGCCTGGGCGTCCAACGTGCCAGGCCCCCTGGCTGTGAGTCCCAGCCCAGACCCCACACCTAGCTCCCAGAGTGGTCAGGGCAGGGCTGCTCTGCGCCAGGCTCCCTCTCGCCCAGACAGAGGGACAGGAAGCAGCTCTGGGCCTCTTACTCTTACTCTAGCCCAGGAGACCCAGCTGGAGACAACTGAGACCTCCAAGCGACCCTCAGCTGTCGTGACCTGGGTGGGGTGCAGTGCTGCCGGCATCTCCTGGTGGAGGCCGGCGGAGTGTCCAATAGCCTGCAGGGCCCAGGACAGCCCCACACAAGATTGTGCAGTGGCCACAGTGTCAACACAGCTGCATGTTAACAAGTACCCACTGTGCCTTGGGGGCAGCCCCTCCGGTCCTGGGCAGGCCACCAGGGCTAAGCCTCGGAGGCCAGCATGGAGAGGCCAAACCTGGCTGGAGAAGGCACACAGGCTGCAGTGACTGGGGAGCACAGGGGCCATGGGGCACAGTCGGGACTGCTCCTCCCCTGGGGCAGACACACAGGTGACATCAGAACAACCAGGGCTGAGGAGTGACAGGGATGACAATGAAGGGACTCCCAGGGCCTGACCCCAGAAGCTAGCAAAGGACAAGGCCCTTCCTCTGCCTTCTTCCGGGTCTATCAGGACAGGCACTGCTGGGATAGGAAGCAGGTCACCTCCTGTCCCATCCACAACCACAAGCTTTGCAGTAGCAAGAACAACCAGTCAATGGCATTCATCACGCCAAGGCCATTCAAATACATTTAATTCTTCCATGCATTTAATCTCCTGGCAACCTAAGAGGGGTGAGTTATTCTTATGCTCATTTCACAGGGGTAGAAACAGAGGCACAAGAGATTAACTACCTTTCAACATTCATTCATCAAACATTGATCAAGTGCAACTTTACCCTACCCGCACTCTCCCATATGTAGCCATTTTATTTTAAATTAGTTAATAAAATCAAATTAAAAATAATCGCATCAAATTAAAACTGCACTCCTCTGTCCTGAGGGTTTGGAAGTTGAATGGAGTAGTGGCCACGGGATGGGACCATGGAGATACAGAGCCTGTTAGCTCAGAAAGTTCTACAGAGCAGCACTGTAGCGCAAGGAGGCGATGGAGGACAGAGGGTGCTGGGTGGCAACACATTATAAAGGTGGGCGGGGAGCCCCTGCGATGGAAGTGAGGGAGCAAATATGAAGACATATAGGAAGAGGCCGAGGCACAGGGAGGCTGCGTGACTGTGCTCCAGGTTACACAGCTGGTAACACCTGCAGATCCAAACGCGGCCTGTCTGGGTCTCAAACTGACCCCTTTCATCACTGCAGGATTTCCCAGGGATTAACTCCACTTGAAGACAAACCTAAGGGCAGGGACAATGTGACGGAGAAGGAGGCTAGCGAGCAGGGAAGTTAGGGCGCCAGCCCAAGAGCACGCAGCTGGGAGCAGCAGATGTGGAACGGGAGAGGGAGAATGACCGACAGCAAGCGGGACTTACTTGATGACCGGGGTATACAGGCTGTGGAGACGGCAGTAAAGCCTCACACCCTGAAAGAGAAGACAGGAAGTCGGGGATCGGGCCATGGCCTTCTGGGGCTGGAGGCTGCACGCAGCAGGGGCCCTGGGGTGGGGAGGGGCCCTGAGGAGGAGAACAGCTGCTGGGCACAGGCCTGCGCTGCAACAGCCCCCGGCTGGGTCCAAGTCATGGAGTCGGGCTTCAGGCCCCTACCCTGGACAGGATGTCCACGGCACAGGGTCAGAGCAAGGTCTCTACCTTGGACATGATGTCCTCCAGCTCGCTCCGGGCCTTATAGGTGCCGTCGTCGTAGCGGAAGCGGTACATCACCTGCTCGTTCTTGAACTGGTGCTTGTCGGACACTGCCGGGAAGGGGTGTGGGGTTAGAGGAGGCACAGCCCCTGGGCCTGCCCTGCCCTGCACTGTGGCCCTGGCTGCCCGCTTTCTGCCCTTCAGATGTGCCCTCCTGTTGTGCACAGGGTCCTGCTGACACCCACAGGTTGGCCAGGCACCTGCAGGGTTGAGAGGCCCAGAAACGCCTCTAATCTGGCTCCGCCTCTCCTTGGGATGTGTGGGGACCAGCCATGCTGGGACCTGAGACCACACTGCTGGGGTCTCTACCCAGCTGCCTCCGTCATCCTTGACGTTTCAGATCCACCAGCAAATCCCACAAAGGCCTACCCTTCAAATGACCAAAAATCAGCTCGAATACTTGCTGCCTGCTCAGAGCCACCCGCTTCTCCACAGGGACTGTCTGGGTAGCTCCCTGCTGGCCCCTTGCTCCCACCTGCACAGGGACAGGAAGCTCCACACAGCAGCCGAGGGCACGGACGAGACGGAAGCTCACACAGCTTCACATCTCGCGCAGAGTGGCAGCCAACACCCTGCAGTCCCCTAGCTGGCCCTGGACCTCCTCTTCTGGATCCCTCCAAGCTCAAACACCTGGTACTCTTGCCTTGGTTCGGGACACTGGCTGTCCCTCTTCCTGGAATACAGTGCCCACCTGGTCCCCGCTCACCTCTCAGGCGCTACGGGGTCTTCCCCACTCCCACTCAGCGCTGGCCCCCGACACTGTTTATCTCTGCTCCTCTCACTCGCTCGCTCTCTCCCTGGCACCCAACCCCACAGCGCACACAGGTCTCACTCTCGCTCTCATCTGCCCCAGCTCCAAGGTCAGTGCCATGAGGACAGGAGCTCCACCCGGCCTGTCTGCCACTGTGAATGGTGCCCGATGCAACAGGCACTCAGTAAACACTTCGTGAATGACAAAAACAGAATCCTGTTTGGATGTAACAGATACAAAATTCTCCTCCCCTGATCTCATGTTCTTGAGGTCCCTGCTTTGTGTGTGCTGGGGGAAATGTCCAGTTCTCCAGCCCTGGAAGGAATTTTAAAAGGACATCTGCGTTCCCAGGCCATGGTGCACCAGGCAACAGGGCAGCTGCCCAGAAGCATGGAAAGGACCTCTGGGTCAGGGGTAGCACAGCCCTGCTGGGGTCTGACTGTCTGCACAGGCCAGCCGGGCACGCCCTACTCACCGTGATGGATGATGCCGTTCTCCAGCAGCGCCTGGCCCAGGTTGACCCCTTCCTCCGTCTTGCTGATTTCACCAATTTCCAGGAGCCAGGCCACAAACTCACTGCCAGGGACAAAAAGCTCAGTTGAGATGATTTCCCCGGTCCTGTGGCCAAAACTAAGGTGGCCTCCCACATCCAGCCCTGGGAACAGCAGACTGAATGTCCCATGGGCAAGTAAAGCTTAGGACCTCACAGCCTCTCCTTACACATGGCAGAGGTGGGTACAGCCACACCCAGGCCTGCCTCTGCTCAAAGGAGGAAGGAGGGGAGAAGGGAGGGAGGGAAGAAGGGAAGCAGGGAGGAGGGATGGAGGGACAGAGGGAAGGAGCGCGGGAGGGAAGGAGGGAAGGAAACAGGGAAGGAATAAAGGAAGGAAGGAATAAAGGAAGGAAGGGGGAAGAAGCGCAGGTGATTGTACAGTAGGTGGGTGGGTGGATGAGTTGGGAGACAGATGACTAGGTGGAAGGACAGATAGGTGGACGAGCAGATGGATGGCAGCAGTGGACAGACAGGTGGATACATGACTGGGCAGCTGGATGGGTGGGTCAGTGTCTGTCTGTCTGGCTGGATTAAGGCTAGATGAGTATGTTAGTGGGAGAGTGAGTGGACGGGTAAGAGATAAATGAGGTGTAGCTGGGAAGGTGGGTGGAGGTGGCGAAGGGTAGTGATGACTTGCTGGGTGACCAGGTGGAGGGTGAGGGATGCACCGTGATGGCTGAATGGGGTGGGTGGATGGATGGATGAACAGAAGGAACGAATAAACAAACAGGAAGAAGTAGCAGAGAGCCCAGAAAGATGACTGGGGAAGCATCAGGTCTCAGTACAAATGTCACCCTCTCAGAGAAGCATCCCCTACCTCACCCAAAACAGTCCCCTGGCCCAACCAGAATGCCACCTCCACGTGAGCAGGGAGTGTGCTCATCGCATTCCCGGTTCTGTCTCCAGCTCCCAGAAGAGTCTAATTCCAACAAGACTCACACTCACTCACTGAGCCGTGAAGAAATGAACAATCCGTGGGACACAAGGGCATGTTCTGGGCTCAGGAGGAAGGTTCTGGGGAGACAGCAGTGCTCGCAGGCCAGAGGAAGACAGGTAGCTTTTCTAACTCCAGGCTGACCCGGGCAGAGGCTCAGCCGCAGGGCCCCAGGTGCCCAGCCCCAAGGCACTTCGGAGGCTCAGCACAGAACTCGGCCCACTCACGGTCCGAGGGAAAAGGAGAGCCTGGGCGCGGCAAAGGCGGTGGCAGCAGGGAGCAGCCCAGCTCTCCGCTTATGGGAAACGGGCTGTCCCGCCTCCAGCTCCCGGGCAGGGGCTATTTTTAGCTGCAGTGTTTGGCAGAGCAAAGACCTGCCTTACCTGGAGGTAGCGGAGTGCACTGAGAAAGCCCCACCAGACACCAAGGGAGGGAGAAAAGGGATGGATCTATTTTGTGCAGCCTGAGTCCTGGGTAGGAAAGACACTGTTCTGGATCCTGTCCACCCCCAGTTCCCTTCTCCAAGTCCCAGAACTCAGGGACATGGGGAGAGCTGCCAGCGGCTGCAGGAGACCAACAGATGTGGGTGTCCCACTCTCAGAAGCCGGAGACCCAGCATCCATCGGGAGCCACCTCTGGCCCTGCCCAGCAGCCCTGTGGCCGGGGTTTGGGGACAGAAGAAGACAGCCAGAGGACAGCAACCAATCTGTGACTGCCTGAGCTGGGTCTGGACACCTTCTTGAGGATCAGCGAGGACCCACAGCTTGCTGGGCACATTTAGGCACATAGTTGGCCCTCTCTGGGCCTCCATAAGGTTGAGCTAGCAAGCGGTTCAATAAAAGGCCCTCTGGATTTAGCGGGAAAACTTTAATCATATCAAATCTTAAACTGGGATCCCGGTACGCAAAGCCACATGAAATTCATGTCCAGTCACAGAGGGACCTCCAACGCTCATGGACACGTCACCCAGGCCAGGTGAGGACAGTCCCAACCCAGCCAGCGCCTGTCACATCTAAAGCCAGCAGTCACTCAGTCCCACAAGAAGACCAAGCCATGGCACAACTCTCCAAGGAAGGAGGAAATCTGCCATCGCCAGTGAAATCTCTCCATTGTTCAATGCTGATACCCAGTAAGATTTTTGGAAAACTCCACATGGAACAAGGACAGGTCTGGCCTGCGTGATGGGGAGCCTGAGAGACGGGGTCCAGCTGAGAGGTGGGACATGCCAGCTTCCTCTCTCCTTCCTTCCTGCCCCGTGGAACCTGGACTCTGCCTACCAAGGTCAAGGCCAAGGCTGGGCACTGGCAGCAGGCGCTTCTCCGCAGTCTTCTCTAGAAAGCTGTCCAAGCTGACGCCCTGTGCGCCCCCTGCCCCCCAGCTTAGCACCTCCTTTCTCCTGTCTGTCTCCTGCACAGGCCTGAGCCCCACTGGGAAGGGACAGGGGCTGACAGCACCCTGGAACACTAGTGCTCAAACAAGTTGTTACCCGTCAACTCTAACACAAACACCCAGCACCTATGCCCGCAAGGGGCCAAGACAGCAAGGCCCTCCACCTTAAAGCGTCAGTAAGCATGGTCAAGGGTGAGACAAAAGCCTTCTCCCTTCAGCAAGCCCTCCCTGGTTGCCCCTGTAAGGCACACCTGTGCCCCCAGGCTCCCTGAGTTCTGCCAGCTCCAACAGTGCCCTCATTCGGGGCCTGTGTGATGAGCTGCACCCTCACCTCTCTCCTGCTGAGCCTCCACAGGGCCTTCCTGACCCTGACCCAGGGCCTGCCTGACCTGGCCCGGGCCAGCTCTTGGCATCTCGTCTCCTGTCCCTCCAGCCACTCACGACCCCTCCCACACTGGCCTCCTCGCTGTTCTTCACTCTTCGCAGCTCGCTCCAACCCCAGGCTCTTTGCACTTGCTACTCCCTTGGCCAGAAAGGCTGTTCCCTAGATCTTCTCATGGCTGGCTCTTGTCACTCAGATCCAGTTAAATGTCACCTCCCCTGGTGGAACCAGCCCCTACTTCCCCTCTGCCTACTGGTTTCCCTACTGCATCCATCAACTCACTGCAACTCTCCTCTTCTTCTTGTTTCCTACTTGCCCATTGTGTGACTGCTTGATGGACAGTCTCCCGAAGACAAGGCTTTCACCTGTCCTGCTCCCTGATGGCACATAGTAGGGCTGGGTAAACACTGAATGAATGAACGAATGAACCTATGCCCCTCACCAACTAATCTGAGGATGCTGGAGGGCCCATTTCTCCCATGATGTTCTCCCTAATAATATACAGATTTCACTGCCTGTTTGACTCTAACATGGCATCTATTAGTTGTTTTTTCTGAGGAGTTGGAAATAGACACCTCCACCCCAGAGGTACAACACAGAAAAGGACATATTTATATCACTGCAGCCAGCACCACAGCACGACGCATGTCTTATGTCACTGTGCCCTCCAGCAACCCTGTGAGGTACACTTTATTCCCTCTCTTTTATCATCACTCACTGAGATTCAGAGAGGTTGACAAGCTTCCCCAAAGTCACACAGCTAGAAACTGTGGGAACCAAGACTTGAGCCCAAATCTGACTCAAAGCCCAACCCTTGAAAGTTATGAAGACGAGCCAGCTGCTTTTCGGATTCTCAAGAGTTCTATATCTAGTAGCAGAGAGAAATACAGAGAGTAGTTGTGAAGAGAAAAGGAAACATGCTGAGTAGAAATAAAAATGCAGAAACACAGCAGAATGCAGTGAGAGAAAGCACAGGCCTGGATTCAGGTCCTAGGCCACCTCCAACCCCGTGGTTGTGTGACCTTCTGCAGAACTCTTCCCTCTCTGTGCCTCAGTTTCCTTGCCCTTGAAGTGGGAATAATGGCAGCAAGCTGCCTCACGGTATTGGATGAGATTAAAAGATGTGGGCAAATGCCAGTGTCACGGAACAGAGAAAGGAAGGGGTTGAGAAACCTGTCCCTGCGGCCACGCACCCCTTCCACCCAAGGGTTCCGGGACTCCTGGAGGAGGAACTCAGGAGCCTGGCCCTGGCAGGAAAGAGGCACGAGGAGCCTGGGCTGCACACAGCAGGGCTGGGGCGGGCGGCAGCGTTTCTTAGGCCCTTCAGACCCTGGAGTTACAAAACAAGCTGCGATCCTGGCCCTACTTCAAGTGGGCAGGAGAAGAAATCTCCCCTAATCCTTCCTGAGGACATAGAAAACTCCTCTAGAGCCCTAATCACAGACAGGTTATCCCATCCGGCTGGACTAAGCAGTTCGGCGGGAGGAGGCAGGAAGGCTCTTGGGCCAGGAGGGCCGGAAGCAGGCCCCTCCAGAGAAAAAAGCCTCTTGCTGCCAGGATTAGAGATTAGCCTCTGGGGACCAGCCAGGTGCCCTCCCTGCTGCCTTGGACTCCTGGGGTCACAGCCCTCCCCCTCCACGAACCCTCCAGGAACCAGGGTGGCTGACTGCTGAGGACACCAAACACGGCCGGCACAGGCCGGACCCCAGGCCAGACCCCCGGCCAGAGGCCAGACGCTGACCCCTCCAACCCACACTCCACCAATGGCCACCCACCTCCCGCACTCGTCACGGAATGCCCAGCAGGCATTTCAACCCCAGTACACCCTAAACCAGTCTCTGTGTCTGCCCCAAACCTGCTCGCGGGGTTTCCATCTTTCTTCCTGGCTTCTGGGGCGCCACCCTCTCTCCCCAGTGCCTTCCACCTCTCTGGCGCTCCCCTCAATTCCCCTGCCCTTTCCTCTTTCACACATTCCCGCTGGCCCATGCAGCCTCACAGCTTTCAGAGCAGCTCAGTGCCATCTCTCTCACGTCAGCCTCCACCCCAGACTCTTCTCCCAGGTCAAGATTTGATATCGGGCTCCCAGGCCAACATCCCCACTCCACGGGCCTCGGACACAGCCGAGCTAGGTTTCCCAACTGGAAGTGGTGGAGCTCATATCTAGGTCCAGGATGTTTGGCTCTTGACCACACAGCAACCTGCTCCTCACCTCCCTCCTCTCCTTGCAGGGCAGCCCCAAGACCCCCGCAGCCCCAGCCAGGGCAGGACAGAGCAAAAGCTGAGGTCCACAGTGAGTTCTGCAAAACACGGGCTTCAATCACATGTGACACAAAGGTGTGCGTGAGCTCAGATGTGGGGCAGCTCTGCAGGGGGCTGGGGTCACACACGTTTGGAGGACCTGCCCCAGGACCCCACTAGATTTTATGATCTCCAGCGGCCATTGCACAAGGACTCTGGCCCTTTGGTGGCTCTGGCCAGGAAGAGATGTGTGGACAAGGGTAGTGTGAAAGGTCTGCCCTCCCCCAATTCCAGCCAGGGCCGAGGGCCAGGGACCAGGATGGCCACTCACTTGCCGAGGAAGCACTTGGGCACCGTGCTCAGCTTTCTCCGGCGGTCCTTGATCAGATTCACCTTTTTGCTCATCATCAGGTGGTAGAGCTTCTCACCCTTCTCTGCAATCATGACATAGGCATCGCGCTCCATGCCCAGCTTCAGACCTGTGGGGAGCAGGCAGGCATGGTCAGCACTAGGGACAGCACCGGCCCCAGTCCCACCATCCTCCCACTACCACTGCCACACCAGCACGGCCTCAGAGCCCTTCCCACCTGTCAGTCCCTGCTCTGAACACCAGTCATGGACGCCCCGAAGAGCCACTTTGCAGGTGAGAAGGGGGAGACCCAGAGGGTTAAGTCAGAAGTTTTGCCTTCAATCCAGGAGCCAAGCAGCCTGCAAAAGCTGCACACTTCCTCTGCAACCTAAGGGTGTGTTTCCAAATACAAAGGTGCACACGGAACCTGCTGGCACCTCCCTTCCAGCCAGGATTAGATGCCCAGTTGCTCCTGCAGACAGTCCACACAGGACCCCGACCCTGATCTGCACCCACATTCTTTTCCACGGGCCCCCGCTCATCCTGACAACTGCAGCAAATGCCACATGCTGTTCACAAGAAACCTGCGCTAACAGGGTACCGTGATTTTCTCCATTTCACAATTAAAACACTGAGGCCCAGAGAATTAGAGTTTCTGTCCGAAGCTTCCCAACTAGAACTGGTGGAACTCCCATTTAGATCCAGGATGTCTGGCTCTGGAGCTGAGCTCTTGATCACACAGCTTATACCAACCCTGCCCACCCAGCCTCGAGCTCAGGGTTTGGACAACATCCAATTCTTACAACACAGCCCCTCAGGCCGCACCTTACTCAAGATCAAACGAGCCGACTGCCGACCACAGCTCTAATTCTAACCACAGAGATACTGGTGGGCCCCACCCTGCCAGGCCAGGCCCCTGAGCCCCACCCAGTCCTGACCACAGCGCAGCCCTGATGACCAGCTTTGCGGGTCACAACTCTGCCCAACGAGGGACCAACATCAGCAGTGTATTAGTCCTAATAGCATTTCAGTGCTTTCTGATGCATCTTTTAACATAAGGAAATAGGAAATAGCACATAGAGCTCCAGAAGGCATCCACAGAGGCAGCCACACCCGGCCCACACTCCCCAGAGGTGACAGTGCCCTGCACTTTGCTGAGATGAGGGAGAGGGGAGAAGCTAAGGCCCAGTTTCCCCCTCAGCACACCTGGGAGGTGGAGAGGGCTTTTTCGGACCATGTGTGAAACTTTCAAGTAGGGCCAAACGCAATGCCTCACGCAGCAGCAGCCTTACAACCCTCTGAGCAGAACCTTCCCTCCCATTCATCAGCTGAGATCACTGAGGCTGGGAAGCTACAGAAACTCAGCCCCAGGACAGCAGGCCCTGTCTTCCCAGCCTGTGGTCTCTGCACGGCTCAAGTCCTCGAAACAGTTCCGTGCCCACTCCACCAATCACAGCCAGCCTCTGTGCTTCCCTCTGGGGACTGCCTCAGGGGTCTCTGTGCCCAGGGGGCCCCCAAGGACCCTTCTTCCACACTTTGGCTCCGAGAATATTAAAAGAAGAGAAGCTCCAGTGAGGCACCACCCACGAGCCTCAGGGTGCCAGCAAGTTTCAGCACAAGCCCAGAGCTCCCCACCCCCACCAAATCCCCGCTTCTTCGGGCTCCTATCCATCTAGAAAGGACCCTATCCCCTCCCCAATGCACAGTCCTCACCCTGCAAAAGCTGCACACGGCCCAGGGAGCCCAGGGAGCACCCTCCCAGGACTGCCACTGTCCAGGGAGTCCAGAAAGGGACCCCACTCACTCTCACGCTGCTCCCGCTCTCGGATGATGGCATCCAGCCACTTCTGCTTCTCCTCTGCCGTCTTGGCCATGCAGACGAACCACTTATTCTTAGCCGTGTTGTGGATCTTCCAGCCGTTGGTGACAGTGTAGCCATTGCTGTGGTAATCGGCTGGCAAAGGCAGAAGGCAAAGGTGGGTGGGTCAGCACAGGCCTGGCCACATGACCCCGCCCCCCCGTGGCCCAGGATGCTCAGGTGAGAGAGCCAGGACCAGCCCTTGCCACAGGGTCAGGACGGGGGCACTAAACTTGCAGTCTTCTTCCAGCTGGTCCCCTGTGGGCAACAAAGACCTTCTACAAAGACTCCACTCCCCAGGCACAGGAGTATTAAGACCTCTTGTGGGTTGAGAATGCAGGAGTAATACAGGCAGAAACCTGCCCAGAACCCAGGAAGGGCTTAAAGTCTTTTTCTCCAGGGTCACACAAGCCCTCCTACAGCCTGACAACGCCAGGTCAAGTTCATGGCTGGGATGGGGACCCTGTAGGCTGGGATGGGGACCGAGCAAGTTCTCTGTAAACATGAGGGTATCATCTGGCCCACGGGAGGCAGTCACACCCTGAATCTGAGGAGGCATCCACAGGTATCACAGGACTGTCAAAGGGGTGTGTGGCTCAAGATCAAGAACCTTCCCAGACAAGCCCTAGGACAGAGGCACTGAGTGATGCAACAGCAATGTCCCAATGGCACTGTTCCCAATAATGCTCTGTGAAAACAACCCAAATCAAAGAACAGATAACTGCGGAAGGTTCATGCACTTGATACCACCCAGCAGCGGGACCACCACGTGCAAAGAACCACCATGCGTGGATGAATCACTCCCTTGTAGTGTGGAGTGGAAGACGCAAGATACAAAAGAATATAGACAGTATTTTATGCCATCTAACTATATATATATGTAAAAAGCTATATGTAACGCCATATACATTTAAAGCCATCTAAACTTGTAATCATAGAACCACCTGGGTGAGGTCCCATCCCTACCAGAGAAGTTTTAATTCAATTGTTTAGTAAGGAATACTCAGCTCAGAAGGTAAAAATATTTTTAAAGGGCGAGACAATGATGATTACAAAATTCAGACAGAGGTCCCTTCTGTGGGAAAGCAGCCAGCGCATGGGGAAGGATCGAGGTGCACTGTTTTATTTCTCTTCTCGAACACTGATGACCCAAGAGCTAACTTCGTGTATCTGTGTTCTAGGCACTGCGGTGTACGCAGGTTACATTTCACAATAAAAGAAATGGACAATTTAACACTAAGGACACAGTGTCAGGGCAGGCAGGGCTGGGCTCAGGCAGGATGGGGAAGGGCAGGGCTTACCTGTCCCATCCTCCACATTTTCCACCTCCATGACTTCAGTGTTGATTCGGCCCCTGAAGATGTAGAGGGAGCCATTGATGGATTTGGTCCTCTTGGTGGATTTCTTGCTCCCAGTGACCCTGAAAGGCAACAGGAAGTCAGGACCCCTTACAAGGGCAGGAAACAGAGGGGCAGCCAGAGACAGAGAAGAACACTGGGCTGGGGTCAGAAGCAGGACGTCAGCTGGATGGCAGGTGACTTGAACAAGTCACTTCTCTCCCAGGTACAGTTTCCTCATTTGGAAAACAGGCGAGTACCCTTGCTGACCTCACAGAGCCACTTCTCAGCTTACATGAGACACGAGAAACCCACTGATTTTCTAATATATGGATACTTCCTGAAATAAGACAAGAAAGGAGCAGAGTTCGGAGCAGGCCGCCACCCACCCACCCAGCCACCCACCTACCCATCTCTCCACCTACGAATCCATCTACCCATCTGCCAATCCATTCAGCCACCCATCCATCCACCTACCCCATCCATCCACTTACTAATCCATCTGCTCCCCCATCTATCCATCTATCCATCCATCCATCCATCTATCCATCCATCCACCCACCCACCCACCATCATCCACCCTTCCACTCATCATCCACCCCATTCACTCACTCAGGTGAATTTGAGTGCCTGCCCACCTGTTCAGTCTCTGCCACAGTCTGAATGTTAGCGTCCTTCCAGATTCACATATGGACTCCTAAACCCCAGTGTTATGCTATTAGGAAAAGCAAGGCCTTTGAGAGGTGCTTAGGTCATAGGGCAAAGCCCTCATGAATGGAATTAGTGTCATAAATGGGGCCTCAGAGAGCTGCCTTGTCCCTTTTACCACATGAGAACACAACAAGCACACCAACAAGCAGTAGAAAGCAAGCCTTTGACACACACTGAGCCTACTGGTGCCTCCATCTTGGACTTGTCAGGATCCAGAGCTGTGGTATCTATAAGACCTCCAGCTAATGTTATTTTGTCATAATAGCCCAAACAAATTAATAGTCAGTCAACAAATATCTGGCCAGTACTTCCTATGGGGAGAATACCCAGTTAGAGATCACAGGGCAATATCTGAGAACACATACTGTGTGTCAGGCACACCCCTAGGTGCTGGGCTGCGTCAATGCATACAACCAAGTGTCTGAAAACACACTTCTACTCCAGGGGCAGAGGCTCAGAGACAGGCACCTGGTAAAATGTAGAGACCAGGGTGGCAAGGATCAGGTAAGAGCTGACGATGGTTTGTACACATGCAGAGAAACACATGTACATATATACAAGCATATACAGACATTTGCAAACTTTGCATGCTCAAAAAAGTAACATGGCTCCATGAATTTCCACAGAGCAAACACGCTAGTGTCCACACTGTGAGCACCCAGAAGCCTGAGCCGCCACCCCACACAAGGGTGAGCACACGCTGATGTCCCATGCCACTGACGGCTTTGTTTCTGAACTTTACATAAACAGAATCACCGTGTGCACTTGTGTGTCTGGCTTCCTTCGCTCCTGACTGTGAGTCTTCTGCATTGTTAGGTGCAGTGACAGCGGCAAATATTTGCCTGTTTCCGCATGATACTACTCTGAGTTCTTGCACATGTCTCAGGAGGTATGTGTGCACAGTTCTTTGGGTCAGATTCCCAGGAGCTGAGTGCCCGAGGGGTAAGGAGTATGTGCGATCAGCTTTAGCAGACACTGCTGGGCTGTTTTCCTCAACAGTAGCACCAGTGTTCCCAGGCCCCACCGTACAGGAACATTCCGGTTTACTGCATCCTTGCCACCTCTGGCATTTTCTTTGTTCGAGCCGTTCTGGTGGGGCTGCCACGGCAGCTCACTTCATGTTTATGTTCCCCAGATAAGTAATAAGGTCCAGCACCTCTGGATTTATTGGCCTTCTAATGCCTTCTTTTGTGAAACATTTGTCCCTTGCCCATTTTTTGTTGGGTTTTCTTTTTCCTAATTGCTTATAGCAGGACTTGGCACTTAAAAAAATTAGGGCCAAACACTAAGCATTTTTGTTTTTCAGGTCATACAGTCTCTGTCACAATGATTCATCCCTCTCCTTGTGACACCAAAGCAGCTACAGAATACCCATAAATGAACGGCAGAGTCTGTACTCCAATAAAACTTCATTTATAAAAGTAAGCGGAGGGCCAAATGTGCTGATAGGACATCTTCAGACACTCTGAATAGGCATTCTCTGGCAGGTCTATGTATTACAAAGGTCTTTGCCCAAGCCGCGGCTTCCTTTTCACTGTCTTCACAGTATCTTTTGGTGAAAAGAAGTTTTCCACTTAAATGAATCTAATATTTTCCTTTTACAGTTAATACTTTTATCGCATTAAGGAATCTTTTCTTACCCTCAATCATGAAGATGATCTGTTATGCTTTCTTTTAGAAGCTTTATTGTTTTACCTTTTCTATTGAGTCTGCAGTCTACCTAAAGTTGATTTTTGTGTTTAGAATGAGGTAGGGGGTCAAGAATCACTCCAACACACACACACATACACACACACATACTGGATATCAAAGTAACCAAGCACCATTATGGTACTGCATTGGCACTTTTGTTGAAATTCAGATGATTCTTTATATGTGGGTCTGTTCTGGACTCACTATTCTATTCCATTCATCTACGAGTCTGTCTTTACAGCAATACTATGCCAGCTTGTTACTGTAGCTTTATACTGGGCCCTGGAATCTGACAATAAGGCCTTCCACCTTTGACCTTCATAACTGTCTTGGTTATTTCTGTCTCTACATTTCTGTATAAATTTTATAATCAGCTAATCATTTACACACACAGAGAAACACTGTCTTCCTACCATCTTGATCGGATAAAATTTGAAGACAAAGTAAGAAGGACGTGCTGGTCAAGCAGGGGGAAGTCGGCTCAGAGTCCAAGATGACTCAGATTGTGTCTGGAGCTCTAGGGTAAACTTTCGTTTTTTGTTTTGTTTTTGGGTTTGGTTTTTTTTTTGGTTGTTTTTTTTTTTCCCCCCGGTACCAGGAATCGAACTCACGATTCCTTGCGCTTGCCAGGCAGGCACTGTGCCGCTGAGCTAAATCCCCAGCCCTGGGGTAAACTTTCTTCCCTATCTTCACACTGAAGCTGACATATCAGCTCACAAGCTGCCTCTCTTAGGACTGCAACTGCACCCAGGCTGTCCTTGGTCCTCAGTGTGCCGGCTACAGATCTGGTGGCTGGGCAGCCTCCACAATCTTGTAAGCCAATCTGTGTACACAGATCTGCACACGCACACACATCGTGTCCAGTCTCTCTGGAAGCCTAACACAGGCTTTGGTGACATTTACTAGGAATGAGGAAAACCAGAGAGATAGTTTGGGACAGGAGTCAGGATGAAAAAGAAGAGTCCTACTTTAGACATAATTTGGGCGAGGTATGTGTGAAAACCCTAAGGGAAGACACATATTTATATTTCCATCTCTCACACTCACGTTCCAGGCCTTACTCTAACCTCTTTACATCTCCAATCTGTCCATATCTTACTCATTCCACAAAACTGATACCCCTGAGACGGGAACCACTTTTACCCCATACCACAGACAGGAAAACAGAGGCACAAGGAGCTGACATAACTTGACCAAGGTCCCGAGGCTGGTAAGCAGCAGTGCCTCGGTGCTCTTAGCTGCCACATGCTACTGCGGCTTCTAAGACGCTGAGCGAGCAGCTCAGATACGGGAGACTCAGCAGTTCTGGGCCTCGGCTTCCCCTTCTCAGCTTGGAGGACAGACTATCAAAACATTCCCATCCACTTCTGGCATCCAAAGAGCCTCTGCTTCCGAATTAGCTCAGAGCACTCTGCACCATGACCCCGACTCATGTCCTGGAGGGCAGTGCCCCCCATGGCATAGGCACAGACCAGGAGTCAGCAGACACACAGCTGCCCAGCCCTGCGTGACCTCACAAGCCAGGTGGGAGCTCCTCCACCACTGCCCAGGCCCCAGGCCTCTCGGTGCTCAGCACTCTGGCTTTTGACCCAGAGGCAGAGGCAAGAAGGCTGGCCGCATGCTGGGTTCCCTTGGGAGACAGAGGTACCCTTTCCTTCCAACCAGCTGGCTCCTTTACAAAGTCAAGGCAGGGACTGGCCTTAAAAGAGCTCGCCACCACAGTAGCAGGAAGGACCTGACAGGACCCGTGCAGAGAACCAGGCATAAATGGAGTCAGCGGCCACCTCCTGGACAGAAAAGCCTGCCCTGGGAGGAAGCACCTGCACTGGGGAGCCACAGGCTTAGCAAACAGCAGAACTGGGAGCTGGCCACAGAGGTCCCAGACTGCTTCTGGGAGGCCCAGGCCAGGTGCCAGAGAAGGGATGGTTGGCACTGGGTGAAGCTTCGCAGTGGCCGAAGGAAGACACTCAGGTGGCACTGTGAGACCAGAGGGGCAGCAAGGGGAGAGAAGCTAGGGGGTGGGGGACATGAGACAGCAGCAGAGAGACCCTAAGGACTGGATGGAAGGAGAGGACAAGCAAAGAAGAGACACACCGCGGGGCTAAGGGAGAGACACCAAAGCCCCAGTAGAAGGGCTCAGCCCTGGGACAGGGAGGGAAGGCCAGGGCAGGGGCCTGAACACATGGGGGCCTGAACGAGAACCCAAGGACAATGCAGCGTCAACAGCAGCAGCACAGCAGCCAGCCCCTACTCTGTGCACTCACTGGGCGCTGTGCACTTACTCTGCACCGGGCACTTAGCGCATTTGCCTCTGCAGCGACCCTGCCAGGTACACAGGATAAGGCACCGCTTTGTAGATGAACAAACAGAGGCACAGGGAGGCAAAGACACAAAACTGGAGAGGCGGCTGGACAGGGACCCGCTGTGAGGAGCCCCGCTCCGTGAGGAGGGTGCACTGTTCCCAGTTACAGGAGAGAAAACCGAGGCTCAGCGGGGCCCCCTGGAGAAGGACAGTGCTGCGAAGTCCACCCAGATGCACCCAATCCCTGTCATCCGCCCCGTGACCATGTTTCTCACCATGGCCTGAGGAGGCCGAAAGAGTCAGACAAGGAATCTAAGACTCAGAGACAGCAGGTGGCAAGGCGAGGACCAGCAGCAAGACGGCAGTAAGGTCGCAAATGGGGCCCAGAGTCTGACCCCAGCCCTCAGCTTCTGCCCTGCTAGATGAAGGAATTAGGAGGCCTCTGCAAAGTCACTATTTCATTTCAGCCCTAAGACAGAACCGCAGGGAAGAGGACTTGAAAGGGCTGCACTAGTCTTTGAGGCCATTCTCAGCCTGGGAGAGCAAGAAAATGGAAAGGTGGGAGCCTCTCTGTCTACCAAGATAGCCTCGGCCCATCCGTGCCCCAAATCCTCCAGGCAGCCACCCTCCCCACTTCCTAATTCTCCCTTCCTCAGTTTACTCATGTGTGTGTCCACACACCATCCACTCGTCCCACCAGAGCCCAGCCACCCCGGCCACCATCAGTCAAGCACCAGCCATCAGCATGCCCTCTCTCCCCTACCTCCTAGCCTCCATCACCCACCCACATTCCCGCCCCCGCACCTGCACAAAAAGTGCACCAATAAACGCTAATCCCCACCCACCACTCATCTAAATCCACCTCTGGAGAGCCTGGTAAGGCATGGGGGCGGGGGCTGGCCAGCTGGGAGCCAAGCAGGGTCAAATGGAGCAGGGCCAGGCTCCGCTCCCCCATGAAAGAGCCTGGGAGGAAGGCAGAGTAAGGGGCCTCTAGTCCTGTATGAGGAAGGAGAATGAGATGGGGTGGATGAGTGCAGGGAGACCAAGTGCATCAGGCCTCTGGGTGGATCAAGACTAAGAACTAGGGGGCTGGGGATTTAGCTCAGCGGCAAAAGCGCCTGCCTGGCAAGTGCAAGGTCGTGAGTTCGGTTCCCGGTACCGGAGAAAAACCAACAACAACAAAAAAAAAGACTAAGAACCAACTGTACCCACCATAATGGAGCATGGGCAGGAGATGGGGGGCCAGAGAGACCGGGCCAGGGAAATCAGGGAGAAACAGAGACCTGCAGAAGGACGAAGAGGAAGGGGTGAGGATCAGACCAGGGGGACCAGGAGGACAGAGTGAAACAGGGAGGTACTGGGCCTGCTGCCTGCACCACAAGAGAGAAGCCCCCTGCTTGCCTATAACATGCACATATAAAAGGCCTTGACATAGGGGAAACTGTTTCCCTTTTAAAAATAAAAGACAGGTCCAGCCATGGTGGCACATGCCTGTAATACCAGCTACTCGGGGGCTGGGGATATAGCTCAGAGGCGCAAGAGCCTGCCTGGCAAGCCTAAGGTCCTGAGTTTAATTCCCAGTACCAAAAAGAAAAAAAAAAAAAAAACCCACCAGCTACTTGGGATGTCGAGGCCGAAGAACTGCAAGTATGAGGCCTGCTTAGGCAGCTTAGCAAGACCCTATTTCAAAACAAAATTTTAAAAGGTCTGGGGATGTAGTTCACTGGCAGAGCACTTGCCTGGCATGCACAGGCCTGGGTTCAATCCCCAGTACAAAAAAAAAGGTGGGGGAAAGACTCTAAAAATGTGAAAGAGCTGGGGTTGTAGTCCAATAGTAGAGTGCTGACCTAGCACTCATGAGGCCCTGGGTTCAGTCCCCAGGAGAACAAAAGCCAAGAAAGAAGGACAGAAAAAGAGAGAGAGAGACAAAAGTCACTCTTTCAATAACAGTTAAACTTTTCACATGGTGCCAGATGCTCTTCACAGCTTCATAACAGTCCGTAAGGTCAGTCCGTAAGAAAACTGTGTTGAAAAAGTTTCCGAGACAATTACTGGGAGAAAAGTTACTGTCTTTCAGGGAATTAGAAAAAAGCAGAGATGGGGGTGACACCGGTACACATGTAGATGCCCCTCCACCAGTTTTCCCATCCACTTCTCCGACACTCACACATTCCTCCAACTTCCCACCCACCCCCTAAGCATCTAAGCACACAACCACTCCCTTCTAGCTTCCATCCACACACACATCCATTCAGCACCCGCCCACCATGGTCTTTCCTCCCTGCCTGCCTTTATCGGCCGTCCATCCACCTCCCAAGCCTCCAGCCACTACCTCTCCTTCCTCCCTTTTGCCCACCCAGCTCCCAAACTTCCAGTCACAAATGCATTTCGTCCACCTGCCCGCTCATCGCCCATCTACTTGCACCTGGGGTCTATGGAGCACAAGAAGCACTCACAAGGATGCAAAACAGTGCAAATGCTTTCTCTCCCTCCAAAGCTCAGCAGGGAAAGAGCATCCCTCCCGTCACAGCCTCCACCCTTGGATCTCGGAATCCTAGGCGCTGGTGTCACACCAAACCTCTCAGCTCTCATGATCATCTACAAGTGCAGAGCACAATATGGTGTGCGCAAGCCCCGTGTGGCTACTGAGCACCTACACTGCATCCCGGACAAGCCGAGCGTGCTGGACAAGAACACACTCCCAGGCTTTGCAGACTTAGTGTGAAAGCACAAGTGTGTAAAATATGATTACACCATAATCATATAAGTGTGGCTATGTTAGTTTAAATGAAACACACCATTTAAATTCATTTCACCTGTTTCTTTTCACCATTTTTAAATGTGGCTCTGAGAAAACTTAGAATAACGTATGTGCTTCTCATCATATTTTGATTTAGAACAAACCCCTCAACTCACAAAAGACAAAGGGGAGCCTGGACACAAGGTGTCACCTGGAGAAAGTAGCAGGTTTGCCCCAAGCCCTGCCTCCCGGCACCTGGGAACTTCCGCCCCGCCCCAGGATGTCACCTGGACTTCCGCTTGCAGTAGACGAGGAGATTGTCGAAGAGGAAGAAGGCCCGCTCTTGAATGTTGCCTGCAGAGATTTTCAGCAAGGTTCCCTGCAGGAGGAGCTGGGTGCAGATGTCCGTGAGGTTGGAGCCCTGGAGACCAAGGAGGCAGGTAGTGAATCCACCAGCCAGGGCGGGAGGCACTGGAAATATACCCGCCCTGTCCCATGGACAGAACTGACCACGGCCCCCCTACACACCCTTGAAAAGGCTAATGCACATCTACTGGCAAGTCTGTCAGCAGACAGAAGAGCCATACATGTGACTGATGGCTTCCCATCTGCTGAGCATGCCAGCACGACCCCAGGGACAGTGTAGCAGTATGACCCAAGGGAGGTGTGGGGTCCGGGAAGCTGAAGTGATTCACCACGCACATAGCTAACAGCAGCCCCTAGTCCGCCCCTGGGTGTGTTTGGGTTTGGTTTTTGTTTGGGGTAGTTTTTTGTTAACCATAATCCCTGCTGATTTATTTATATCTTGACTTGCTATATATGTTCCCACAAGAATGCCACTTCTGTAATGATAAAACCACTCTCAAGCATATGCCACTGTATTCCTGCATGTACAACACACCCTGGTGCATGGTAGGTGCTCAGTAAATGCTAGCAGAACAGCTGGTGACTACTGTGGAAACACCATCAGCGGCAGGATTGAGAGCGCCTATCCAGCTAAGGATGTACGCATCGGCGGGAACTGTTCCCTTGTGCTACCCAGCCCTCTCTCTGGGGTGCCATTGGGCTGAAACATTACACATGTGCAGTCTGCTGACCATGCACAGTGAGAAAGGCACTAGGCTGCAGCAAGCTGGACCCGGAAAACAATGGCTAAGAGAGAGGCTGAAAGCAAGGAGGGGAAGGTCCCGGATGCATAGAGTCCTCAGAGCCAGGGAGCACACGGGTCAGTCCACAGATCTACAGGACAAGGTTGGGGCAGACCCCAACACACTAAGAGAGAAGAGACTGGGAAGAGACAAGGGTGGGAGCGGAATGCCCACTGAGGCGGCCCTAAACCCATGCTTCTGTCATTTTGGGGAATGGGGGGCCCTCAGCTACACGGTTACAGACAACATTCTGCAGTCCACCTTGTAGCAGGCACAGTCATGTGACCCACTGCCATGTGGCTGCCTTGCGAAGACTGCTTCCCTCAGCTCCCTCCCTTTCCCCTCTCCATCGGCAGGAAGACGAAGACAGCCATCGCGGTGGGGGACTCTGCTGCCACAGACTGCACAAAAGGAGCTGCAAGGACTCAGGCCCAGAGGAAGGAGAGCAGAGCACCCACCCCCAGCCTCACCATCCACACCGCCCACCGCTGCACTGCCAGGGACAAGTGCACTTAGCTTTTAGGCGCTGCCGCACCTCTGCATCACTACTACATGAGCAGAAGGACACAGGCCGTCCCCAGGGGGACAGAGGGAGCCTCAGACACCTGGGCCCAGCAACACCATGCAAAAGCAGTTACCAGAGAAATTCACGCGACAGACCTGCAGATCATGCTGAAGGGAGAAGCAGAGAGACACTATGCTGTCCCTGCCTGGAAATGAACTTGGGGAAGGAAGAAAAAAGGAGAATTATTACAGACTCCCTGCCCCCTAAAAGCTTACCATCCAAAACAACAGGCGCTTATGCCCCAGGAGGATGTGCTGACACCGTTACTTCTCACAGCCAGGAAGGGGAACTGGCTTGAGCAACTCACACAGCAGGCTGGAGCTGCTGCTGGAGGTGCTCTGTGCCCTAGTGTAGCTGGGCAGAGCAACCCCCTCTGCCCAGTGGTTCCAGAGCCCCTTGGGAGCTCCTGTGGATCCTCAAACCTCCTGTGATCTAGAGCTGTGCAACCTGGAACAGCAGTCCCAGCTCATGGCCCGGCAGGGGACCACATGGCCAGAGGCGCATACATGCACGCTGCAGGCAGTCCTCTGATTCTCACGGTGCGGCCGCCAGTGAGGGACCCCAGGGCCTTCAGGAACAGTGAGCCCATGGGAGGTGAGGCTCCATCAGTGGCCTGTGGGCAGCTCAGGAAGACAGTATGTATCTTCCCACTTCGCCTAACTCATGCCCTGCCCACCACCCTTCCAGGCTCCACAGGAGTTTTGGCTGTTCGTCTGAGGAGCTTCTAGATCACCTACCCTAAGCCTAACCCTACAGCCAAGGCCACCTCAGGACCTGGGAGAGGAGTGTGTCAGTGCAGGAAGCTGCCTCTGGGCTTTGGCTGGTGACTACCCAGCAGACTGTCTGGACTCAGAGCATGCTGCCAGGGGCAGGAGGGAGGGCCTTCCACCGCAGCCCTGTGGAGAAGCCCCTGACACCTCAGACTCTCTGGGGCTGGAATTGAGGTCCCTGGAGCGGAGGTCAAGGGGTGCTAAGGACCAGATGCACAGGGCAGAAGCTGAGCACAAAGACACCACCAGATGGATATGGGGGCCTCTTTCCAAACAGAGTCACAACCACACAGAAGTAGTCCCGTTCAGAGCTGACAAAAGTATAGATAATGTTAAAGGCCAAATCGAAGGCTGGGGATGTGGCTCCATAGTAAAGCACTTGCCTAGCATGAAGCTCTGTGTTCAAACCTCAGCACTATAAAAACAATAAAATAAAAATACAAAGCAGTGTGTGCCTGGCACTTACCACATGCCACACACTGGTCTAAGTATTTTATACAAACTCAGTTTTGTTTTGTTTTTTCCTTGGGTACCAGGAATCAAACTCAGGACGCTGTGCTTGCCAGGCAGACGCTTATGCCCCAAGCTATATCCCCAGCCCCTACAAACTCAGTTAATCCTGAGTTTCCTGATGAGGAAACTGAGGCACAGAGTGGTAACGTGACCTGCCTGCTGAGTAAGGAGCAAGCTGGGAGAACCACTCCCTGCCCACCACTGTCCTCCAAGGAAGCCTCTGAGAAGAGGATCTGAGAGGTCTCTGAGTAATCATTAGTCTAGAGCAGGGGTCTCTAGGCAGAAAGACTGCACTCCGCTGAGCCCACAGCCTCCCAGGGCGGGTGGGAGGAAAACACACCAACTTATATTTCAAGGGCTCTTCCACCAACTTCCCATTCACTCCCTTTGGCTTCCTTCCTCACCCTCGAAGGTGAGCAAGCAGTCCGGGTCCAGCATGTGGAAACCCAGGGATTCCAGCCAGCAAGGGGAGCCGCTCGCTCCTTTCTCAGCGAGAACATGCACGGAACTCCCACTACTGTGAACCTCAACAAGACCCTCGGTGGCCCTGCATCCAGAGGTCCTGCTGCAGGACGGCTGGCCCACACCCATGTGCTCCGGGCAAAACTGAAGGAAGCTCTGCACCCAGGAAGAGCAGGAAGGAGCCCCTGCCTCACTGCCCACGGCTCCCAGACACACACCGAGATAGGTGCTGTCCCGAGCACTCTACCGGCATCAGCTCCCCAAGGCGCCCAGAAGGGGAGTTCGGCCACTCTCCAGACTTTTCAGAAGAGGAAACTAAGGCAAAGGAATCTGTCCTCACAGGGGCCTGGCTTGTTCACTCACTTCCAGGTCTCGCGACACGCTGCCATTTCCTCTGCTCAGTAAAACGGATTTATGGCTTAACATATCTGGTTTAGCTAAACCAGTCTCACGACAAAAAAAAAAAAAAAAAGCAATGGCTTATGACAGATCAGGCAAAACCACAACCACATGGACAGGAGATTAAACTAATGTCAAAAGCAAACTGCAAGGAGGGAGTCAAGAGACGACCCCGCTCCGCCCTGTCAGCCAGATGCCGAGAGAGGGGACAGCCACCTATCAGAGCAACAAGAGCGCACATGGAAAGATGGGAGTCATCCAGAGTGTTTGAAACAAGGCCTTGCAACCCCTGCCACTCACCCTGAGTGACAGCCTAAGTCGGACGTCCCCAGGTGTGACTAGGGACCATGTGAGCTGCTGCAGGCAGCTTCACCGTTTCACATTCTTCTTTCTCGCTAAGAGATGGTTTTTTCACAATTCACCTTGATTTAAATCAAACTGATTTTAAAACCTCTCTACTTCGTGGAAAACCTTTTCATATTTTCCAAAGAACCCTCCTGTTCCATGGCTCGCTTCAACCTCAAAATGACCCCAGGAGAGAACTTCGGAGACCTCATCTCTCAGATGCCGCCCACTGCGGGAACGAGGCCCAGAGAGCAGTCACGCTCGCCTGAGGCACGGCCATCTGTGAGTTACACGGCTGGGCCTCCAAATCACGTCCTCATGCCTCAGTTTCCTCATCTGTAGAGCACGGACAATCGTAGTGCCTCCCTTGCTGTGTCGGCAGCATGTAGCAGGTGCTCAATAACTGGTGCAACTCTCGCTGTAGGTTATTTCCTATTTCCTAAGCTGCACGCAGAAACAGTGATTAAAATAAGCACCAAAGGAGTTCCAAATTACAGATTTTCAGGGGCAGCAAGTATTCTATAGATCCTTAGTTCCTGTTTTCCTAGGTCCTTAGCAGAGAGAGGCCTCTGCAAGCCACTTCTGCTCTGGCTGCCAAGGAACTTGCTCAATTCTCTTCCCCAGAGGCACCATGTGAGAAAGTTGTTTGCCAGCTGAGTGCTAGGAAATTCAGCCTTCCAGAAAGACTATTTAATTCTCCCTCTTTTGACAATGAGCGTTAGGTAATTTATCTGAGCTGCTCTTTTTAACTTGGCTATCTGGAAGCTCAAAACCCAACCAGAAAGATGCTTAAATCAATCAGCTTGATTTGTTCTTGAAAGTGGCCATGTAACCCACTTCTGGCCAATGAGATGTAACGAGAGGTTTCCAGAAAATACTCTCCTCCAGTGGAGAGCAGCACTCCCTCTTGCTACCCTAGCCATATCTCTGTCTCCTCGTTTTGAACATGTCACGCCTTTATAGAATCACATAGGAAAGGTCAAGATCAGGAGACAGCAAATCACAGATGTGACATCAGCAGGCTGCAATGAAAGTCCTCAGAGAATGCAACCTAACCAGCAAATCTGAGTATTGGGCAACTTCATTTCAAGCAGAAAGGAATGAGAGACTTAATCACGGAAGGGGCTATAGGAGCCAGAGTCCAGATCAAGGCTTCCCAGAAAACTAATACTGCAGAACCAGCCCAGCAGGGGAGCCACTGTCCTGCCCTGATGTAAAGGAGACTTGCCCAACTTAAAACTCGTACTCCTAGAAACACTGTTCAGCTGCCACCTGGTCACTCAGCAGCTGCTCCCTCAGCTGCCAGTTGCAAAACCACCTGTGCCATGGGGTGTACATCACCCCAGCACCTATGGATGCCCTGTCTTGCCCTCCACACCCAGGACGCCAGGGCCTGGGTCCTCTGCTAATGCTGCCGCCCCAGAAACCAGACACAACCATGGCTGTGCTTTTTCCACAAACAGCAGAAGGGTGGCCTCTGCCCCACCTCCCATGTCTCAAGTAGCCAGCTCTGATCCTGACCAAACTTAAACTCATACTCCAAACCCAAGCTGCAAGGGAGTCTGGGAAACACAGCTCTTCGTCCTCTAGCTTCAGCTGGGGAAAAAGCCCAGCAGCAGGAGGGCACAGCACATGGCAAGTGCCAATGCAGAACACCCTCTTCCTTGTGCACAGTCCTTTCCCATCTGGGGCCAAATCCTCAGCCTCACGGCAACAGAGCAGCACATCTGGGATCCCCAGCACCAGGAAAAGAACGCTAAATCCCTAGCCCAGCAAAGGTGACCAGGACCAGAAAACCCAGAGGGCTCAAGCGAATGATTCAGACAGCAATCTCTGTCCGAGAGCCTTTCATCCGGGGCCCTAACCTCCAGCTCCAGCTGTGTTTACTCTGCGACTGATTTATTTACTCATATTTTCCCATTTCCTTCTGTAGACTCATAGGAAACTTCTAATAACCTAAGAAGGAGTGGGAAGTTAAACAAGTAAGTTACAAACAATGTGAAGAGCAAAAGAACCCTATCCCCTAATAATCACAACAGTAAGGCCAGCACCTGCCCTTTACTGAGTACCTACTACACGCCAGGTACAGATGAGGATCTGAACATGTGCCTAACATCACCTACCAAGGAAGTATTAAGCCAGAAGTCTGTCCTGCAGTAGATCCTTGAAAGCCACCCTTGACCTTGGCCTCAGAAGCTCTAAGGCCTTTATACACCAGGCAGGCAGAGCAAGGCATATGGCAGAACGAGTGGGGAGTACAGGGAGCAGTGGGGACTATGGAAAAACTGAGGCTCTGGTGGCTGTCGCCCTCGAACCCAGGGGACCCCTATTACCAATGTTTCAAGAGAAACTAAACCATTTAAAGTGAATTCAACTGGAAAATAATTAAGCAACTTTTTTCAAACATTCTGTAGACCAAACAAAATACACTGCATATCAACCCTAGCTAGCACCAGGCTGCAGTCTGTCCCCGCTGCCTGGCACCCAGGCCCTCTGCAGCCCAGGGTCCCCCACACTCCCTGCCATGCGCACCTCCCAGCCCTCGATGTGAGACTGCAGCTGCTCCAGGGCTTCCAGCTTCTCCATCTGCCGCTTGGTCTCGTTGATGTTGGAGCACACCGTCTTCATGGCCTGCAGCGCGCTCTGGACCGCAGGGTGGTCTGGGTGCTTGCCGGGCGTCCTCTTGGCCAGCTCCTGGGGCGGAGGTGGGGCAGAAGGACAGATGTCAATCAGAGGGCACCTGGCCTAGAGTCAGCTCCTACCAACAAGCAGAGTAACCTGGGGCCGGGAAGCCCACTCATTCATTCATGCATGCATGCATGCAGCATTCATTCTATAAATGTCACCTGATCACCTCCTCCATATAAGAGCAAGTTGTGATACATACTAGGAAGACAGGTCAAAAGAAGAGACCAGAAAGTGCTATTTCAAACAGGGAGGTCAAGTGAAGGCCCTGGAGGGTTATATGAGCAGAAACCCTGGCTTTAACAAGAGAGGGGGCTCAGCTGCAATCTAAGGGAAGAGTGTCCCCAGCAGCGGGAACAGCGCGTGTCCAGGGCCTGGGGTAGGAGCCCACGTGGTACTTAAGAAAAGCCAGGAGGCAATGCACACCAAGCAAAGCAGACAGAGAGAGGCAGAGGCGGGCGGGTCACCCGGTGACCACAGATACGGCCCCTGCCCTCATTTCCTTAGCAAGGTAAGTATTTTAAAACTGCCTCCTGGGGCTGGGGCTGTACCCAGTGGTGCAGCACTTGCGCAGCATGCATGAGGTCCTGAGTTCAGTACCCAGTGGGAACGGGGTGGAGAGGGGATCACCTCCACAGGACCTGGGCCGCACAGAACGTGGCCAGGAGCTCTCCTCCGTGGCCCACTCCTCTACCACTTCTCCCTCCGCTCCTGGAGAGTCAGAGACCTTCCTGTCCCTGCAGACGCGATGATCTCGGGTGCTGGGGAGGGCCGGTCCCCTCCACCCTGAGCCCCATTTCACAGCCCCAAACCATGAGGATGAGGGTGACGGAGACAGTGGCGGTTAGTGCCCCCCACCGAGCCTTCGCCTTGGCTGTGTGGCAGTTTCGTTACCCTCATTAGCAGACAGACAGACTGAAGCCAGAGGAGGGACTGGGACACGAACTCATCTGCACGTGTTTTTATAGTGAGGAATAAATCAGGCGTGGCGGGGAAAGTGCCTGGGATGTACACAACAAGCACTCGTGTACGCTCCTGCGGCATTCTGGGTGTTACTGTGGGCTTCTGACGGCTCTGGTGGAGGTTCACCGGGAAGATGTGGCCCCATGTGGTGAAAACCCCACCAGGAACCAGAGACTGGACGGGAGCGTGGCCAGGAAGCAGGGAGGCGGCAGATGCCACGCCACAGCTGTGGGCAGGTGCGCCTCCCTCTGTCTCCCCGCAGCAGACCAGCCTGAGCAGCTATCTGCACCTGCGCCCCAGCGGCCCCCAGGAAGCGAGATGCCTTTGGGAGGCTCTTGTCAAGGGGAGCCATCAACACGGAACCAACAACAGCATCTGTGACAGCAGTTAGCCCCACCCCCATTCGATGACACAGGCACCGCTGTATCCTCCTTGACGGAGTACGGGAGTGAGGTATTCTGCCCAAGATCACCCAGCAGATGTGAGCCCAGCCAGTTGGCTCAAGACTTTGTTCTCTGAATGCTCAGTACTGGTTATGGCCTTCCAGACTGGTACACAGAAAATTTTCTGTTCAAATACCTACACCACAGTAATTCTTGATTGGTGCCAGAGGAACACAAGTACATGGAGGGACAGAGGGTGAGGGGAGTGCAAGGTCTCCTTGAGGACACAGGCTTTGTGGGTGGAGCCTGAATGAAGCAAAGGTATGGCCCATAAACCACCAGAAGGACAGCACTCAAGGGTCCAGAAGAGCACATGCAAAGGCCCTGGGGCAGCAAGAGAGAGAGAGCAAGGAGGCCAGCAAAGCTTCAGCAAAGGGAGCAAGAGAGAGAGGGACTGGCCATGAGGCTGGAGAAGCACCTGAGGCCAGACCACAGGCAAGGGCACTTCTGGGTTCTACCTCAAGAGCGAGCAGAGTGCTGAGGGTTAGGAGCCAAGGCCTGACACCACCCGACTCTTCCTGTAAAGGACCCCACCTCGGGCCTTGGGAAGAAGGCTGCACAGAGGGGCTGCAGGGTGAACAGAAAAGCAAGAAGGCCACTTGGTGGCTACTGCAGGCGTCCAGGCAAGAGATGATGGGGGCCTGGGCCAGGAAGCTCGGGCCTCATCATCTGCTCATGGGATCACTGCTCCAGTGTGGTCCCCACGAAGCTGGCCGCATGCCGGGCTCCCTGTTGGGGACAGAGATGACACAGATACAGCCTGCGGCCTCTGGCGCTAATAACCTGCTCACAGGCACAGCCCAGATAAACCACAGTCCCTGTTCCGTTCACTCAGTCCCCTGCCCTGGACCAGGCCAGCTGAGGCCCAGGTGGCCAGTGTGGCTGGTCAGTGGGAGATAGTGCCACCCCACCTGCTTGTCCCAGAGCCCTGGAAGCTGGAGGCAGTGGTACTGCTTTGATAGTTCCCGGTGAGGCCACCACACCCAGCAGTTAGTGAAAATGAGAAAAAGGTTAGTTCCCTTTTCTGCTTGGCTGCCCCCACCTCTATCCCTGCCTCAGATCAGCACCAAGATGGGGAGCAGAAACCAAGTGAGACCCAGTCAGGCTCAGAGCTGGGCCCAAACACCAGGCAAACACTGCCTTTGGTATCTCTGTCCACAGGGGAGTGTTGGCTCCGCGTCACCCAGCCTCAAAACCTGCAAGCCTGTTCCTGCCCCTGGGCCTTTGCACTTGCTCTTTCCTCTACCAGATGCTTCATTTTCAAGCTCTTGTGAGACAATATAGTACTGCATAAGGATGTGCATAGATTTGGATTGTCCAGAAGGAAATCCTTATGTTTACAATCAATGTTCAACAAGATTACCAAGGCAATTTAACAAGGAAAGAACAGCCTTCCTAACATGTGATGCTGAGACAACTGAATATCCATGTGCAAGAGATGCCCTCACACTGCATGTAAAAATTAACTCAAAACAGATGAGAACCTTGAATAGAAGAGCCAAACTTATAAAATTATTAGAAGAAAACACATGAGTAAACCTTAATGATCTTAAGTTAGGTGAAAAAGTCTCAGATATGACACCAAAATGTACAAGCCACTAAAAGATACAGGTAAACCAGACTTCCTCAGAATTAAAAACTCCTGTCCTTCCTTCTAAGACACTATCAAGAAAAGCAGAATGTAAGAAAATGGTGTAAATTCTTTAGGTGATGAGGAACTTGTACCCAGCACACATAAAGAACTCTTATGACAACAAAAAGACAAATAATCCAACTTAAAAATAGGTAAATGGTTTGAACAAACATTTCTCCAAGGAAACTCCTAAGCGATCAATAAGCAGATGAAAAAATAATCAACATCATCAGGAACATGCAAAACAAAACCAAAAAGAAATATAATTTCACACCTACAACAAAGGCTATAATCAAAAGATAAATAATCACAAGTGCTGGTGAAGATGTAGAGAAACTGGAACTTTCATATATTGTTGGTGGAACTACAAAATAGTCCAGCAACTCTAGAAAACAGTTTGGCAATTCCCTTGTGACACATTTATCCAGCCATACCCAAAGTAATATATCCAAGTACTTTTCAGTTATGTAGACCTATATATTTTTACATATATTTTTTACATACATGCTGGTATAATATCTATATTGCTTGAGCTAACTTTTCCATCTGTTTTATTTGGAAGAGTCTCTCATGCTTCACAGTCTGAAGCAGTCTGAGAATGCCCAGTCAGTCTCAGACAAGCATAAAACATGGGTATCTTCAAAGCTGATGGGAGTTTAAGCTCTACCAACAAAGGTCAAACGTGTAAAAGCAGGGAAGTGAGGCAGCTCCTGCTCAGTACAGAACTGAACACACTGAGTAAGTGAGAACAGAGCCTACCTCTAAGGGGACAGTGGTACTGAAAATCCTGGAACTAGCATCCAAAGTGGAACAGCTACAAGAACTTACAGGGTCTGGTCCAAAGGAGGGTGCTCTGGAAGAAATCCAAGAGCTGCACGCTAAGCCTCTTGGGAGTCCTCACGAGGAAGAAGCCCCCTGGATCCATAATACTGCAGAGGGTCCAAGGGGAACTACACAGGGGGCAACTGTGTGCCCAAGTTCATCCATCCTTACACCCGCGGGAGGCAGTGAGCTCCCCCACTTACAGGTATCAATAATAGACTCGGGCCCACCTAGGTCTGATCCTAGCTCCAACAGCACATCAGAGCCTGAGACTGGAAAGCCTTAGGTCAAGAGGTGAGTTCTGGGCAGAGGGAAGCGCACTGCGTCACTGCATCTCTGCCATGTGGCCTTGCATAAGTGACCTCACCTTTCTGAGGCCGAGTTTGCTCACCTGTGAAGTGGACTAACGTCCCTCCTGCGGGTCCATCCAGCGCAATGATGAATGCAGAGAGTAAGAAGGGCGGTAAGAACACAATATCTATCAGCTTCACCATCACCTCCATAGTAATAACAGCTCGCTTTACTCTCCTTTCTACCTAGTAAGAATGACACTAAGCAAAGTCACCGTGGTAGTCATAACAGCCAGCTCCAACTGAGTGCTTGCTGTGCACAAACACTGCTCCAACTCGAAATGTATGAAGTTGCTTCATCCTCAAATCATCCCAGTGAGGGGCTACTATTCTTCCACCCTATATTCAAGGAAACTGAGACATGGAGCAGCAAAGCCTCTGCCAAAGGCCACAAAGGCAGAGGGGCATTCACTGGGAGCTGAGGACATCTGTAGCTCTCTGAAGAATGACAACAGCTGGAAATAAACACTCCACAATCTGGCTCTTAGAACACACATGTCTGAATAGAGGTCCACCCTGAGGACCCCTTAGAGAAACTGAGGGCAAGCCATGTAATCTCAACTCCTCTGGAGGCTGAGGCAGGAGGATCATAAATTCGAGCCCAGCCTGGGCAACTTAGCCAGACTGTGTCTTAAGATACAAAAATAAAAAGGTCTGTAGAGGTAGCTCAGTGGTAGAGTGCTTGTGTGAGGCCTGAGGCCTGAGGCCAGCGGTGGTGAATACATGGCATGCAACCTGCAGTGGGCCGTTTATCACTGAAAGCTCTAAAAGGTTTGCTAACACACCTAGGCTCAAGCCCCCGTACTGCCAAAAAGCAAGGGATGGAAGGGAGGAGAGCAGAGGGGAAAGGTGCAGGAAGGGAAATGAAGGGAGGAAAAGAAAAAGAGAAAACAGAAGACAAGATTGGGGGAAAGTGGAACCCCTCCAGGTGCAGGCTGGTGACCTCCCCAGCACCCACATGCAAGCCGTGTGGTTTTGACAGCTGCCCAAGGCGAGGACTTCCTGGAAAAGAGGATATCAAGGCAGAGGAGCCCAGGCTTCCGCCAGCCACCTCCTCTCCCTGCAACCTCCAGCTTGTTTGCCAAGAGGGTGCCTGCAGGTATGGCACTGAGCAACCCCACTGTGCCCTAAAAGGTGAGGTCCCTGGCACAGCATGGCTGTGCGTGGACAGGCTGGGACCAGGCCCTCCTCTTCCAGGCCAGACAGGGGCAAACATTCGCGGCTGTGGCCAGGGTCAGCTCCTCCCTGCTGGCTCAGCCTTGCTGGAGGCCCAGGGAAGCATGTGGGAAGCACGGGGGAAGACAGGACAGGACACATGGCAAGGCCTGGGCTCCACTTGCCCTCTCCTGGCTGTGGAATCCCGGAGAGGTCATCCCAGCCCAGCTCCCAAAGTGAACCTGTGCCCAAAGCTGGAACCAAGCTTCCATCCTCCTGCCTCAGCAAGGAGAGGGTGGGACCCGCTGAGCCAGGGCGCTTCAGGCTGCAACTCAGGTGAGAAGGCTGGGAAAGACACACTGTCCTTTCCCCAGGAGACACAGACCTAAGGCTGGGGGGACCAGAAAGCCACCATGAAAAAGCGGCCTCCTGAACAGAAAGCTGCCACAGAGGAAAACGGAGTCCAGAGAGACAAAGAGACACCCTAGACAACCTCCCCATCACAGGAGCTGGATGCAGCTGCACCTGAAGCCACACTTGCCCTGGCTTAGTTCTGTTTTCCTTTCTTTTCTTGAATAAGTAAGTTCAAATTAAGTTTTAAAAATTAAGGTTTTTTTAAACATAAAAATAATAAATTGGGTTTCCAGTCGCTGGTAAGCAAAAGCAGATGAAGACAGACCCACAAAATCACAGTGTAAAAACAGAGTTGGATTTGTCACTGCAAGACACCACAGGATCCCCTGAGATTGATGGAGGTTGATGGAGGCCCAAAAGGAGACACTGGGGTTCAAAGTACGCTGTCCTCTTCACAAGGAGGAAAAGGCAGCCCAAGGGTGGGAGGCGTCACCAATGGGGTCTGCATCGATAAAAGCAGCACAGCTTCCTGGGGACACACGGCCAGCGCCAGGGAGGGGCTGTCACTGCTGTGCACACATTTCTGTCCGAGGCTCCACATCTGCACTCAGAAAGCAGAGCGCTCTCCAAAGCTCAGTTCCTGGGCGCCCCTGCCATCCCTAGGGTGACAGCAGGATGCAAATGAAGAGGGGCTGAGGAGACCCACCGCCACTTAAAGAGGAAAAGGGAAAAGAAAACAAGAAGCGAAACACATGTGGAAGTCCAAGAAAACCCAGAACTAAAAAGCTGCCCCGCACAGCAAAGAAAACCTCCACGTATGCAAATCCCATGCAGTTTCATACAAATAGACTGCGACTCTGACTGCCTCAGACCCCGCTCTGTGTCCAGGAAAAGAGCACCTCCAGGGCTGATGATGAATGGGGAAGGAAGGCAGCTTGGGGTCTCTGACACCCCAGCCGCTTGCAGAGGCCAGGGACAGCGGGAGGAGGGCATCGCGGCTGCACCCCGGCTTCGGTGAGAATGAGCCGCGCGACCTGGCCCAGCTGCCTGCCGCTCTCAGCTCAGCCTCCTGGCAGTGTGCCGTGTGCAAGGCAGCAGCCTGCACCGAGGGCCGTCGCCCCCACCCTCCATGCGGCAGAGCCGGGGCTCTCGTCACCCCGGGCTGCACCTCCACCTGACAGGAGCAACTGCCAGCGCAGAGGGGCTGTTGTAGGGAGGGGACAGGTGCCCCTCTCTGCCACACCCCACGCCCACCATGCAAGTGGCATGGGGCTCACTCACTTATCCCCTCCTCCCTGTAGGCGTCCATATGCGTGGCCCTGGGTTAGGAGGTCTGCACTCACCCCCAGCTCCAACCTTCTTAAGAGCATGGCTCACCCTAAATTAGGTCTGTCTACACCCACATTTGTGATGGTGTGTGGTGCTGGTGATGGTGGCTATAAATTATAAGGCAGCAGTGGAAGAAGAAAGGAGACAGAGACAGACAGACAGACAGACACAGACACAGAAAAAACTAAACAACCCAAAAACTTTAAACTATCCAAAAGAAACGGGAGGATGGAGGGCAATGAAAAAGAGGACAGATAAAAATTAAGAAGATATTAGGAATATATATATACACACACACACACACACCCCTATATAGCAATAGCACAATGAATATAAAAGATAGTGACACACCAGATTTTAAAATAGGAGCTTTGTAGTGTTTATAAAAGAAGCACCTAAAATCTAAGGATACAGAAAAACAAAAATAAAAGGATAAAACAAGATATATGAAGAAAGTATTGGTGAAAAAAAACCTAATGTAGTTTGGTTGATAATGAATGAAACGGACTGAGACAATAACCACAGCTCACACTTATTAAGTACGTGTAAGCACTTCACGAGTACTTCCTTTACTCTTCATAATAACCTGTAACAAAGCACTGCTGACAGAGGAGGAAACTGAGGCACGAATAAAAACCACGGCATCTCCACGTGACCATCTCCCCAGAGCATGCAAAGAGCTTCCAGGAGTTTTCTCACGGTCTCGTCTGATCCCCACGGCAAGCCTGTCACAGAGGAGGGAATGGAGGCTCAGAGAGGGCCAGCAACTTGCCCTTGGTCCCACAGTCAGAGGCAGCAGAGCTGCATTTCTGCATTCGGACACAGCGTGGCACAGAGCAGAATGCAGGCAGGACCTGGGAAGGGCAGTCAGGAGGGCTCCTGGGACGGCACACAGAGCCTCACTTTGAAAGGACAGGCGAGGACAGGCCCCCCGGCCCCACAGGAAGGAGCCTGAGCAGGGGCAGGCGCAGGCTGGGCGCTGTGGGCGAGGTGTCGGGGCTCAGCCCAACAGCAGGATGGGGAGGATGCTGCGGTCGGGGAGGACGGCGGAGCCAGGGCAGAAGGGGCCACAGAGAAGAGACGCATCGCTTCCGGTGCCTTCTCAGCAAGCAGGTGACACTGCCAACCCTCAGAGGATGGGAGCTCCCTCCCTAAGGTCAGGGTCAGAGGAAAACCCCAGAGAGACAGCAGCAGTCACCAGAACGATGGCGAGGGTCCCAGCAGCCAGTTCCAGTGGAAGCCGCCAAGGACAGGAGGCAGCAACCCCAGCCTCCAGCCTCGCCCCCACAGACCCCGCCCTCTGGGCTGGCTCCTCAGCACCCAGCCCTCTGCCCACACACAGCTGAGGCCAGTTAGGAGTCAGCCCTCTGCCTCCACCGTTCTCACTTCCCACAGCGCCCAAGTCCCTCAGGGGGAAGATGAGGACCCACAACAGCCTGTGAGCCCTGCACCATCTGGCCCTGACCTCCCTGGCTCACTTTCCCACTCTCCCTCGATGTCCCTCAGAACATCCTGCCCCAGGGCCTTTGTGCTGCTGTTCCTTCTCCCTGGCCTTCTCAGGGGCTTTGCTCAAGCTTGGCCAACTACCCAAAGCTGTAAGCCCTGACTCACCCCGGCCCCTCCTGACCTTTCCAGCCTGAGGCATCATTTCCCACAGGCCTGCAGCGCAGCAGCGAAGCAGCAGGGACTGGGACTCGGGAGGGGCGCTGTCAACACGCTGGGTGCATCCTCTCCTCTCACCCCGCCACCCCCTCAAGGGCCGTGAGGGGCGCACATCCCAGGCTCTGGGCCCCTCCACCAAGAACGGGGGCCACCCTGTCCCAACTATAAGCCTCACTCCACCCTCTCAGGGGCACTGACCCCAGAGCAGCCACACCCCTGCCAGCCGAACAGCAAAGTCGTTGTGCTGAACTTGAGTGACAGCTGTGTCACTCACAGACACAGAAACCAGACTCTGCAGAGGACCCAAAGCTGCACTCTGCACCCTGCCACAATCCCCTCGGGTGACACAGCTCCCAGCGTCAGCCCCGTGGGCCCCACAGCATCTGAGGAACTGAATCCAGCTGACATCCAGGCAGCAGAAGCTGCCACATAGCAGTGCCAATGTCTGGTTTCAGGATCAGTGGGGCACACTGGCGCGGCACTTCACAGTCTTTCAGTGAGTTACCTAGGGGACTGAGTATCCTGGCACATGCGCGTAATCTCAACTATTCAGGAGGCTGAGGCAGGAGGATCACAAGTGCAAGTCCAGGCTGGGCAACTTAGTGAGTCAGGGACACCCTGTCTCAAATAAAAAAGAAAAAGGGCCAGGGCTGCAGCTCAGTGCTCAAGTGTTTGCCTAGCATGCACAAGGCCCTGGGCTCCATCCTCTGCACAGGGGTGAGGATGGAGGTGGGGGTAGGGGGTGGGAGACAAAGGCCACAAAGAGGATGAGGCCACGGCACTAAGTCTAACTAGAGAAAAGACACAAGCACAGAGCCACGGCCACCTGCACTCAGGTTTCAGAGATGAGGAACCAGCAAAGGAGACCACAAACAAGTGGCCCAAGAGGCAGACAGCGGTGGGAGCTGTCCCTCCAGAGAGGCTTTGGTGTCCGGGCTGCCTGAGGACCACGCATTCCACCCACCTCCCTCACTGTGCTGCACACAGGCCCGGTGTCCTCACCGTGACCAGAGCTCCGAAAGCAGGAACCAGGTGACCCCAGAGCTGCACTAGCACCTGACCCATGGCAAAGCCTTGGCAAGACCTGGCCACCAGCAGGAAACAGCTCAAAGGGTCAGGATGGCCAGCTGTGCAGACGGCATCACCCCACGCCCGAACTGTTTCCCTGGACACACTGACGGAAAACTCAACAAAGCCCGAAAATGCCAACTCTCTATCCCCGGCCTGGGATGAGAAGCCAAAATAGAACGTCCCGGCTATTCTTAGGCAACTCAAGTTCAGCTTTTTGCGGCTGCTCCCAAAGCAGGGCTCGCCTGCTCCCTCTTCCCACCCCGGGGCCTCAACCCTGTGCGCTGCACCCTCCAGGGTTGTGCTGGGACACAGGGCACAGGGCTCGGGGACATCTTCGGGGACACTGGAGTGCGGAAGGGCCCGAGAGGCAGGCTGGGGTCTGAGCTCAGCTGCCCAGGCTCATGGGATCATCTCTGTAAAAATGCTGGAAAATGTGACAGAGAGGACTTGGCGGGTGTGAGGAGGCCCCTCAGTCCCGGCTGATGCAAACGTTCCAGCTGCGGTGCCAAAGGTCGGGACACTCGGAGCACTTCCGTCAGGCAGGAGCGTGGCTGTCCCCCCAGGAATCTGAGGGCCAGCTGGCTGGTCCCCAGCACTCCATAAACACAGCTGGAGACAGGAGAGGGTCCCTGCCCTCTGGGAGGCTGAGGCAGGAGGATCACAAGTTTGAGATCAGCCCGGACAACTTAGGGACTTAGTAAGACTCAAAATACAAAATTAAAAAGGACTGGGGAGGGGCTGGGGATTTAGCTCAGCGGCAAAAGCGCCTGCCTGGCAAGCGCAAGGTCATGAGTTCGGTTCCCGGTACCGGAGGAAAAAAAAAAAAAAAGAACAGAAAAAAGGACTGGGGATGCAGCTTAGTGTGAAGGCCTTGAGTTCAATCTCCACTACCACAAAAGAGAGGGAGAGAAAGACAGAGAGACAGGGACAGACAGAGACAGACAGAGACAGCGAGAGTGAGAACCCACAGACCTCTGGCCCTCAGCGGGTTTCCCATGGGCTGTTTCCTTCCTTCCACCCCACACCTCACACAGGCCATGTCCCTGCGGACTCTGTCCTCCTGGGAACCCAGAGCCCAAGAATCCCGCCGGACTCCAGCCCCCGTGGGAGATTCCAGCCTCAGGAAGGTCTGAGCTTCACATCAGGCTCCAGGCCCACCTCTATGCACGAATCCTGCCCGCAGCTGTTAAAAACAGTACCAAATGTGCTTCTCCAAGAGCCCAGTGGGACCCCAGACTCTGCCAAGGTCCAGCAACCAAAGGGTAACACTCCTGCCCAGCTCTGGGGCTGTAGCTGTTGGTTCTTCTCCGAGTCAGATGCTCAAGGCTTTGAGCCCAGGAAAGCAGAGCGGCCACTGGCCCCGTGACACAGGCCCATCGTTCAGTCTCCTCAGCCCCCACTTAGGGAACTGTGAAGGTCCTCGTCCCTGATACTGACCCCAAAATGCTTCTCAACAGACATGCAGCTGTGTGGTTTGAGCAATCCTTGATGCTGCCCTGCTGGGTGGCTCTGGACAGGCTGCTTCCCTTCTCTGTGCTTCATCCACCCCATCTCCAAAACGGGAGTGCCTATCCCACAGCACCACAGTAAGCACATGTTCCCACATTCCCCGGGAGGGCCATTAACACAAACCAGGGACTACAGAAGATAAAGTGAGGTGTAGGACAGGAAGTGACTAGATCAAGGTCACATAGCTAGAAAAGGGCAGAGATAAACCCACACCCTGGATGCCTCTGGTTACAGAGCTCAGCTCTAATCCAAGACCAGCAAATAGTTTCTGTAAAGGGCCAGTAGTAGATACGTGGCTTCTCTGGCCACATTTGGTTTCTGCCGCATTTTCTTCCCTATGCTGTGCGTCTGTTCTATTCTTTTCTGCTCTGCTTACCACCCTTCTAAAAAAATAAAGTAAGCCGGGCATAGTGGCCCACATCTATAATCCCAATACTCAGGAGGCTGAGACAGGAAGATTGCTGTGAGTCTGAGGCCAGCGTGGACTACATAGTGAGTTCAAGGCCAGCCCGAACTACACAGGGAGACACTGACTCAAAATACAACAAACAAAAAAACGCAAACCCATTCTTAGCTCACAGGCTGCATGAGACAGGCCACACACAGCTCACAGTTCTACCAGTGCATCCTCCAGACCCCTACAGTGTTCTACCTCCTAACACTCAACTAACGTGAGTCGGGGAAAGACACCAACAGATCCACTAATGCACCCTGCAGGGCCGCCTTGACCCACAGGTCACCAAGGTGAAGGTCCACCTGGTGCAAGCCTTCTGACCCATAGCGCTCCCACCGCCTGCCTGGGCACCAAGGTGAGAGCATGGCACCTGCAGGGGCTCCTTCTGTGTATCTGGAAGGGTAAGCAGCTCAGCCAGAGAAGAACTGCATCCCACCCCACGGCCACACATGTCAGCAGCCTAGGTCACCAACACAGTGACGTCCCACTGTCTGGTCCAGCTTAGAGGCTCAAGCAGAAAGTGAAGTTCGGGATTTCCCTTGTACCTTCCCCTCCTCTCTCCCAGTTCACACAGCAAGGACACACACAGCTCCCACGAGCAAGTGCGGGATGGAGGCAAATCAAACCCCAGCAGTCAGCCCAAGGAACAGCTGTCAGACACAAGGCCTTGGGACAGAGCCAGCACAGGCTCCAGCCAACGGCACCACTTGCAAAGGCAGAAGACCCTGGGCCGAGAGCAGCAGATGGTGGCAGAGTCCTCACTAGGCTTGGGATCTGCCCAGTGGCTGACTCTGGAGCTCAGGATCAAGCTTTCTTAGGTCCATACATAAGAAGCAGCTCTGCATCAGCAGGTCTGACCAAGACTGGACCAAAGCAGAGGCCAAGAGATGAAACAGCAGGCATGCAGACATTTTCAGTTTGCAAAACTGACACCTACGCCTCTCCACTCCTTGCTTTCCAAAAATCACCCACATGTTGGTGAGAGGACCTATCTGACACCTTTCCTGGGGCTGTGACCAGCAGGCTCCAGTGACCAGCTCAAGGTGGAACACATAACTCAAGTCTGAGCTCAGAGTGAGTAACTAGCTCAGGAACAGAGCACCTGACTCAGATCTCAGCCAATCAGAACACAACACTGGCCTGCTCACTGTCATTGGATCACAGTAGAGTATGGGACCATGTCTCAGCCAATCAGAACCCAGCTCTATCCAACTGGTAATGATTGCTTCAGAGGTAAAGTAGGCTGGAAGATGATAAAGAGTCCAAGCAAAGGCTGTGTATAATTGCTTCAAGGCAAACCGTGTGACCCAGGCCCAAAGCATTTGGAATATTATGTTCCATTGGCCACAGATGGTCAGAGCCTAAGTGGATCTTAGAACTTCCATCACAACTACTAGAAGACAGGTTTGCTCCCTCCTGCTGACTTTAAACTTGAGAGGGTGTGAGGCCAGAGTGACTACAGCCATCTGCTACTATGCTGGAAAGCAAGCTGAGTGGTGGAAGGCAGAGGGAACAGGAGAGAAAGGGGCAGAGGCTTGGTTTAGATCCAGACTGGTCCGAAGCCAAAAATGCTGCTAGACTTCTCAGCTCCCCAAACAAACACATTTCCTTTTTGGCGGATGCCAGTCAGAGCCGAGTTTTCTCTACTTCCATGGTGTGGCTGGGAGCTAGGTGTGCGTCTCACCTTGAGCAGGAGCGGGTACTTGCAAATCCGCTGGATGGGAGACAGCAGGTAGCCCTCCAGCGGGATGTCTGTGGTCTTCCGGCCTCCCAAAAGCATGCAGCTCTGCAAAGGGACAGAAGACCATTGTTAAAACTCAACAAGGACAGCACAGAGACGTGGCCACCCTCACATCACCACAGGGAACTCTCAAATGCAGCTACAGATGGCACTTGGGACACAATCTAGCAAGCCCAAGGAGCGGGGGAAAGGTGCAGGGCTCTGCAGACTGGCCGGTGCACTAAATCCTACTTCCTCTGCTGGTAAAATCTTACTGGGACAGAACCACGTCCATGACATACTGTCTTTCCAGGTTATCACGGGAGTGTTGAATAATTGCTACAGAGAGGGGCTGGAGATTTAGCTCAGTGGCAAAGCGCCTGCCTGGCAAGCGGAAGGTCGTGAGTTCGGTTCCCGGTACCGGAGAAAAGCCAAAAAAATAAAAAAATAAAGGGTAATTGCTACAGAGACCACAGAGTTGCAAAATCTAAAATATTTATCATCTAGCCTTTCCCAGAGGAGCTAGCCAACTCCTGGTCTAGTGAGGCTTTCCTAGAGCCCCACCAGAAAACAGGAATATGGAAAGTCAAAACTGTCCTGTCTAGAAATGCAAAGACCGAGAAGAAACCTAAATAGCCATTAACCGCGGAATGGAAAAATACCTCCGTATTTTAAGTCTGTTTGCAGCAGATTTATACCATGGCACACAAAAGAGCAGAGAAAATAGGAAAGCGAGAGCCACACATCAGGGATAAACTCTCACAACACACTAGATCAAAAAAGGAAAACAGAAAGTTATGTATGGTACAACCCATTTATATAAATCTTTTTTTTTTTTTCAGTACTGGGGATTGAACAAGGCTGGCCTCAACCTTGTTATCCTCCTGCCTCAGCCTTCCAAGTAGCCGGGGTTACAAGTGTGCACCATCACACCTGGCTATATGAACCTTTTAAAAACCTGGAAAACTAAGCCAGGTATGGTTTATGGACAGCATATAGATAATCAGATAGACATGCATGGGGAAACGGAAGTACCAAATTCCCACAGGGGCTACCGCTGTGGAAGGAATCTGGAAAATGAGCTGGGAAGTTTCAAATGAAACTGAAAATGTTTTCTTCCTTTACCTGGGAAATGGGTCTGTGGGCGCTGTCACGTGACTGCTATACTCAGGCTTACAGAGTTAAGGGTGGGGCCCAGAGCCGGGCAGTTGCTGAGGACCCTGGGCTTAGAATCCACTCCTTGCTCAGTTCCCAGGACATTTCCTTCCGGGCCCTCTAGGGATTGTTTGTTCCACGTGGCTGTGAATCACACTTAGGTATTGTCCTCTCCTTTGGAGAGGGTCCAACTGGAGAATCTCTTTGTTGGAGGGCAGGAACCATGAGTTACAGGTCTATAGCCCTCGCCAAGTGAGGTGACATACGCCTGTAATCCCAGCACTTGGGAGGCTGAGGCAGGAGGACCACCACAAATTCAAGGCCAGACTGGACTACGTAGTGAGCTCAAGGCCAGCTTGAACTGCGCAGTAAGACCCTGTCTCAAAAAACAAAACAAAAAACCAAGTCTGTGTCCCAAGGTCCTTGGCTCCTAGGGCTCATAAGTGCCCAGTGTGGGCACAGGGGATGAATTAACAAACTAATGAATTAACAAGTCAGCCATCAACGTGGGAGTTTTTCTCCTCCAAGCCACCCTGGCAGACTGGAATGAGTCAGGACTCTTGGGAAAGGGGTTCACACCCTATCATTCATCCAACTACACACTGTGTGCTTACCTCGGGCTGGGCACAGTTCCAAGCACAGGGACCACCCACTGAAGCCGATTCCCCGCTTACATTCAAGTGGAAATAAGACCACAGAACGGTGCCTGGGGGCACCCCACGTGGAGCTCTGAGCCCGTGCCTCGTGTATATGGAGCGCCCATGCTCACAGCCTCAGGAATAGGCAGGTGGCACTGCTCCCAACCGCCAGGGAAAACCGAGGCACAGAGGCCTGGCCCGAGCCCACACCCAGACTCCACTGCCCTGCAGAGACTGAACCAGGCTCTCTCCTCCAAGAAGCAGATCCCGAGACCCTGAGTCCCTGCTCATGGCTCCCACCCCAATGCGTGCCGCTGGCACAGACGGGGCATCCAGGCTGTGGCAGCTGGGAGATGCCAGGCCCCACGCTGCTCACACTCAGGCCTTTGTCCTCCGAGCCAGCACTCGTCACAAGCTGCCCCGGCTGATGTCAGCTCCGGGCAGAGAACGGGAGCTGGGGCTGAGGGGGTGCCGTGCAGAAGCCCCGGGGCCTGGCAGGAGGAAGGCCGGTCTCTTTGTTGCGGGATCAAGGAGTCTTCACAGGACTGTCCCAGACACTGGCCACGCTCCCCCCGCCCTCCCGAATCGCTAGACTGTTGTTTCGCTCTATTTTCATTTGAAGGGTACAAAAAGCAAACACAGAGCCGCCATTCATCACGCTCCCATTACCCTCCGGGCCCTGGGGAAGAAGTTTGGAGAACGATCTCCTTCATCTTCCTACTTCACAGAAGAGATTCAGGTGAGGCGGCAACCTGGTGGCCTTGCCCACCTCCTGATGGCTGGCGTCCTGCCCTGGCTGTCCTGTCCCCCTGGCTCCCTCCTCCTGGCGGACAGCACCCCGACCCGCAGCTTCAAACGCCATCTTTATGCTGACAGCACTCATTTATTTCTCCGGCCTGGCCCCTTTCCAAACTCGAATCCCCCACTGCCAGCCCACATCCCCACCAGCTGTCACCCAAGCACCTTACCCCGCACACACTGAAAGCAGCCTGCTCCTACCCCAGCCTTCACTGCCTGGGGGACATGTCCTACCATTTTCTCACTGTTTGGGCCCCAGTCAACTCCCCTCATTCATTAGCACCCCAAAGCTGTTATCAGGGCAGTTGTGTCAGCTGGGCCTTCGTACTCCATGGGGCCCCAATATCTGCTCCCGCCAACTACCCAATTCTTAGTTGTCCCAGCCTCCTGTCTGGGCCAGTACAGTAACCTGTAGTAGGCGGCATGGTGGGTCCCAAAATGCCTTGCCCACCTGGGCCTCAGAATGTGACCTTATTTTCCAAATATAATTAGTTAAGCTGAGGTTCAATCTCTCTGACCTCATTTCTACTCTAGATGAGGGGGGCCCTAAATCCACTGCCTGGTATCTGTATGAGAGGAAGAGAGGACACAGAGGAGAAGGCATGGGACAAGGCAGGCAGAGAGGGCAGCGATGCTGTCACCGCCAGGGAACACCTGAGGCCCCCCACAGGAAGCTGAAGAGGGAGGGCAGAGCTTCCCTGCAGCCCTCAGAGGGACCACAGCCCTGCCAACCCCTGATTTCAGGTTTCTGGCCTAAAAAAAACCATGAGAGAGTGGGTTCTATTGTTTAGGCCACCAGCTCATGGCGATCGTGGGTGGCCTTGGGAAGGATCCGAACCTCGCCTGCTCCTGGCCTCTCCCCTCACACGCCAGGGGAGTCTTTCTAAATGCAAATCAGCTCAAGCCACTCCAGGGCTGCCCACCCCACTCAGAATCACAGCAGCACCACACATCCCACTGGGCACAAAGCTCACACGTGCTGCGTGGACCGAAGGATGCCAGCCCCAAAAACATCCTGTCAGACTCCAGCCACACAAGACTCCAGAAGAGGCAGAGCCAGCCCTTGGTCAGAAAAGCACCCTGCCATCCCCCGGAGGCAGAGGACACGGCCGGGAGGGAGCATAAGGGAGCCTTCTGGAGTGATGGGAATGTTCCGCTCTTCATCTCCACGGTGGTCCCATGAGTGTGGCAGATGTCAGCAGTCATCGTTCTGTGACTGCATTAGGCATGAGTACTATACTTCAATTTAAAGTTCTGTGAAGTTTCAGACTCTTTTCAAAGATTAACCACTCCCACACTACTGTCCGCTTTCAATCTCTCTGACCTCATTTCTCCTCTTTCTCTCTGGTCTTCACACGTGGCCTCCCTGCTGCCCCTCAAACACACTCCTACCTCAGGGCCTTTGCACTGCGGTTCCTCTGTCTGGCATGCTTTCCCTCCAGACAACCCCTGCCTCCCCCTCCGCTCTACCTACATCTCTGTTTAAATGTCATCTCACACAGTTTCCCCAAAGACCAATCTAAAACAGCAGCCACACTGCAACTCCTTTAACACATCCTGTCACCCTCTATTCACTTTATTTCCTTAACACCACATGACGTATCATTTAAGTCTCCCCTACTAGAATGACCACTCCATGAGGACAGTGACATTTCTTGCCTTGTGCACTGTTGGATCTGCAGGACTCAGAATGATGCCTACCAGATGACAGATGATCAATGAGAAGCTGCTGAATGAATGAATGACTAAATCGCCCCATTTAATAGACCAGAAAACGGAGACCCAGAAAGCTAAAGTCCCTGGCCCATCACTCAGCTGGTGCGCAGCAGAGCATGAATGGAAAGCCAGACTCTGCTTCCAACGCCTTCACGTCCCTTAACAGACGCACGACAGCTCTTTCGCAGGTGGCCAAAAGCTGGGAGATGCCAGCGAGCAGGGAGACAGATGGTGAGTGTGCTGGCACCGCACGCATCCTCCCCCTGCCCTGCCAGGCCCCGCCCAGCTGCTGCTGGGGAAAAGGCAGTTTGGCCCACCAGGAAGACTGCAGAGAGAGAGGAAGGAAGGAGAGGGAAGTTGGGCTCTTCCCTTCCCATGCCCCTGTCTCACCTTCCTGGCAGCTTCCTGCTCCCCATGACCCAGCTGAGGCCGAAGGACACCCTCAGGAGGGGTAAGGGGGACCCTGGGCAGTGGGGACCGTGGCAGGGTGGTGCTGCCCAGAGGAGGCAGAAATCTGGCCATCTCTGTCTTTGCGCAGCCTTGCACTAACACACCGTCATCTTTGCATTCTGCCGCACGGTTTTACAAACCAGCTGCACAAATGTCAACGTGAAGGTCCAGACAGCAGGGGTAAAAAGGCTCAGTCAATACAACTTGGTACATTCGAGACAAAAACGGAGACCAGTCAGCTAATGCACCTCCCTCAGATGGTCCCGGGAACAGGGTCGAACAGCAGGAACTCACCCCAGAGGGAAAATGCACAACATTCTGAATCAGAATTACAAAAATGCTGTTGTGGAGACTGGGCACTCAAGAGAAGGATGACTGGGAGTTTCATTATATCGTCTAGCTGTCTGGGAACCTGCCACCACTCCTTACGCCATGTAATTTAACCAGTTTTGTGTGCTGAATTCTCTATGGATTGATGGGGAAAAAACCCATATGATGGGCATGAAAGATGAGAGATTCTGAGGTGAAAGATTAGGACTGGGACCAGTGATGAGCTTATTACTCCTCAGGTGTGGATCCACTTAATATTTTGGAACCATCAAAATCACCTTGAGCAAAGCCTGTGAGTCCCCCTCCCGTGCCAATGTATTCATCTTCCACAGCAATAGAATTTTTAGCTGGGCACTGCACTGACCAGAGTAAAGCCTACATTTCCCAGCCTCCCTTGCAGCTAAGTGTGGCCATGTGACTATGCTCTGGCCAATGAGATGTGAGCAGAAGAGATGTGCATAGCTTCCTGCTGTGCTCTTGAAAGGAGAGAGGCTGCAGCCCACCACCTGGAATTAGGACATGGTGGGTTGTCGTTTTAGCCCTTGGTGGTGAGGCCTACACCCTAAGGCCTTGACCCCTGACCACCCCAGCTGTCTACAACCACAATGTCAATGCAAGGGAGAAATAAATGTCCATCTTGTTTAATTTAATAAACCAGTTACTTGGGTGCCTGCAAAGCAAACAAAGCATATCTTAACTCATACACATAGACTGGTCTAGAAGACTCAAAGTACCAAATGAAAACCTAGTTTATCCATAAGAGAAATTTTCTGCAAATGTGGCAACACCATCATGGATATCTTCTGTTGTGCCTGACCAGTATCCACTCCCAGCTTGCTTTCTTGCATTCCCACAAATGCAAACCAATTCTCCTTTTAGGGATCCATGCCACCCTCAAACCCCGCAGTAAGGGTGGAGTTGACTCCATCCTTCATCTCCAGAAGTGACCAATCAGAACATCATTCAACCCCCTCAGCAACTCGTTGAGTGATTATGTCTTGGAGCTAAGCTCAACCAATGAGCATCAGACTCAGGATCTGCACTGTTATTGTGGGGACAGAGAAGCTCTGTTTATCTTGAATTTGCTCCACTTGGAGAGGTAAAAGTGAGAGATTCTGGAGGCCACGCTGCCACCACTTGAGAAGATACCACCTCAGAATGGAGCCAAGAAAGAAAAAAAGCAAAGCCCAGAGATACATTCTTGAAGACATGATTTAAACACCTAAACACTGCGCCTGAAGCCCCCTAAGGTCTTAAACTTAGCCAGAAAAGTGAACCAGTAACTTGGTTTATGATTGCTGCTTTGTTTAGCCAGGTTTAATTTGATTTTCTTTTGCTTATAATTAAATAATCCTAACATTACTAGTAATCTTAATAATAATGGTAATAATAATAATTACCACCACTATCACTTTTATTAGCACCACTACTGTGATGCAGAATTGGCAAAGCCAACCTTAATCCAGCTCTCTGCCTGTTTTTGCAAATAAAGTTTTATTGAGACACAGGCATGCTTGTTCCTTTACGTATTATTTTGGAAGCTAAATATTTATGGCTATAACAGCACAAGATGAATTGTTGGCCTGTACTGTTCACAAAGCCAAAACTGTAAATTATCTGACCTCTTAAGATAAACTAGAGATGACCGCAACTGAGGAAGGGGTGAGGCAGCACAGGCCAGCTGAAGTCCCAAGGGGAGACTCAGGCAGTGATTGGGGACACTCACCAAAAGGAAGGCGCGCACCGTGGGGATCTTGTTGAGCTCCACCAGCAGCCTCAGGGCCTTCTCGTGGTTGCTGCAGTATTCCTCATACACGCAGAACTTGTCCTTCTGCAAGACAAGGATAGAGCTCATGGGGCACAGCGCAGCAGGAATGCAGGCGCCCTGCGAGGACAAGACACTTAGGACCCTGGGGAAGAGGCCTCAGCAGGAGGGACTTCAAGAAAAGCAGCCCTGGCTCACTTCAGGGCCTACATCTTCCATTTTCCCACTTGGGCATCTGGCAGCTTATGGAACCTCTGGGGAAGCAGCACAGACCAGGCCATGCTGCCTGGATCCAGCTGGGCTCTGCATTTCCCAGCTGTGAACCTGGGCAGGTCACCTGCCTTCCCTGAGCCTCAGTGTTCCCAAGAGTAAGGTGGTGTTAAAGCCATGGAGTTTTTACAGCAACACTCAGGTCTCTTGGCCTCCATATGCCCCTGAATCCAAAGCTGGACTCTTCCCAGCCTAAAGGTCACTGGAGGGTCACCAGGTCCATACCCATCAGTCATGGTTTCCGGAAATGGAAGGGAAAGAAGCCTCCTGAGCAGGAAGTTCTTAGCTGAGTGTTCCTAGTTCCAAAAGGTTTACAGACCAGCCGAAGCCCAAACAAGGATGTCCTGGGGGAGGCCCAGGGGAGGAAGGCTGCAGGGCCTGGACCTGCGCTGGGGTGGGCAAGAGACCCTGAGAAGCTACGGAAGGAAGGGGTGGGTCTGCAAAGCCAGCAGCTTGTCTTGTTCCTAAATGAGCCCCCAGCCAGCCTTCTGATGGGCGGCTGCAGGAAGGAAGTAAGCAAAGCGGAGGAGGGAGATGGGCTCCAAAGAAAGCAAGCGCCCGGGGACACCAGCACCCCAGCCAGAGCCGACGGCCACACAGGGCACGCACGGGCCTCCGGTGCTGGCCACACTCTGCTCTCCCAGAATGCGGGTGAACGTATTTGTGCCTGGCCTTAACCACACCTGGTCATTACTGCAGTAGACCCACTTACACAGGGACAGACAAGGACAAGTCACTTGCCCAAGGTCTTACAGCTACAGGCGTGCCAGGATCAAGATTCAAACTCTTCTTCACCCCCATGTGATGCCCAGCTCAGGGTCACAGCCTGGGTCAGGGATCGAAGTAGGAGGCAAAAGCCCAGGGTACAAATCTTAAGTCACAAATCCCCAGACCAAGCTCTGAGGGGCACTCAGCAGAATGGTGAAGCAAATTCAGCTCCACATACACTTAGGAGCAGGTACATGGGGCAACTTGCCTCCCCTCTCCATGCCTCAGTTTGTTCATCTATGAAATGGATGTAAGAACAGATTCAATACTTGGGCTGCTAGAGGATGAAATATATGTAAAAGGAGTAGAAGAGTCCCTGGCCACAATAAGCACAAAGGATATTTCAAAACACTATGAACATGATAGGCAACCGTGAAACATTAAGGGAAAATGCCAAAACAAATAACATCACAATAACACAAAGCACTGCCAGGCGTGATGGCACATGCCTGTAAACCTTGAACTCTGGGAGGCTGAGATAGGAGGATGGCAAGTTTAAACTCAGGCTGGGCAACTTGGTGACTTACTGAGATTCTGTCTCAAAAAGGGGGAGGAGGGACCCTGGAGATGTAACTCAATGCAATGGGCCTGGGTTCAATCCCAGTGCCACAAAAAATAAAGTAACCCAAAATGATTGAAAACGCACACATGCACGCGCGCACACACACACACACACACACACACGACCAACAAACCTGATAGACCCTCCACATCCACCTAACCACCTGAAGCATCACTGCCTATAAGCTACATGCTCCAAACATCACCCTAAGAGTTGCATCTCATTCCCGGATTCTCCATCTTCCCCGCATCCCCAGATGAGACCCGCCTGGGATGAGGTCTGCCTCTACTGAAGCCACTACTGTGGTGCCACGGGTACTATGGTACCCGGCAGAGATGAGGCACCCTGACTATTTGATAAATGGAAGCCAGAAAGTAAAGGGAGGGGAGCCATGACAACCCAGCTCCAAGGTCTTCCAGACTGACCCTACCCCACCCCCAGTACCACAGGGAAAGGTGTGACCCAGCCCTAACCAATCAGAGGGCTCCCTGTCCTGCCAACAGTGGCCATGTAACTCACACTGGGCTAGCGAGGGCCCTCACGCTGGAATTTTGGGGAAGAGAAGCTCTATCTGAAGCTCTGTCTGTTACTGAGCTGAGAGTGTCGGTGCAGAGCTGCTGAGAGCTCCCTTAGGCACAGTGAGGCATGTGTCCCATACACCACCACCATCCTCCAGGAATGAAACCAAGCCCCAGCAAACAGCCCGGGAATGGAAAAACTCAGCTCCTGAAACACCACACGGGCTCTCGGATCCAGCTATGTCTGAAGCCAGCCCATCTCTCTGAACATTGCGTTTATATGCACCTCCAAAAGTCCTTTCTTTGTTTAAGCCTATCTGAGGTGATGTTCTCATCAATTACAGTGAAAAGATCTCATTAGAGGTACACTGAGAAAGGAGGAAGAAGACGAGAAACACAGGTCCAGGTTCCACCTGTACTACAGTGGGGCGGGGCTGGGAAGCAGGGACAAGTCTGTCTCCTCACACACTAACCCCACCAGTGGCACTGCTAGCTGGACACTCTGACAAGGAGCCTGGAGCCCCACGGGGAGCCCAGGGACAGAAGGCCACGATCAGTTAGTGATGTCTGCCTCAGATGCGTGAGGGTTAAGTGACAAGATCTCTCATCCCAAGAGCCTACTCTGACGTGGGCTGCAATGTCATCCTCTCCAGCCCCACACTGAGGCACCTCCCCGCCTCAAAAGCCAGGCAGTCAGGCCATGGCCTTCCACGGAGCTGCCACAGCGGCACCTCTGGCCTGAGACCCTGCAGTCTGCAAAAAATGCTCTGACCGCGATGGGTCCAGGTGTTCCACGTCCTCCCCAGCCGGGTGGGGGTGTGACTGTGTGGCAGAAACGGACACATGCTTGTGCACACACAGATGTGGTCGGCGGGGACCACGTGGCTGCAGGCTGGGGGTGTAAAGAAGAAGAAACGACGGTTGCCGGCAGGGGACAGCTGGGAGGGAATCTAGCACCCCAGGGGAGAGGGGGAAACGCGAGAACTGTCAGAGGTAGGAGCTGCTACTCACAGTGCCCGAGTGGTGACAATGGCTCTGTGAAGACCGCCTGCTTCAACCCACTCATTTCACAGCCACAAAGACTGCCAGCAGGGGCAGGAAGGACCTGGGACACGCAGGCACCCCTCCGGCAGGGAGGGGACAAGAGGCAGGTGCCCACCCTGCAAGGTTTCCCCCACCTGTCACTGACTCATCTCCCTAGCACAGGGAGGGGGTGAAACACAATCAGCCACCCCACTTCTGTGCTGAGGCCCCATTGGCTTCCTGTGGCTCTCAAAACAAAAGCTATACTCCCGGCACACAACGCCCCTGACCTCTCCCCACAGCACCTCCCTCTGCCCTCTGACGTGCCAGGCTTGCTCCTGGCTCCGGGCTGGTGTCCTCTCTTCTCCCAGCCTGGACACCCTCCCAAGATCCTCCCATGTCACCCCTGGGACAGGCTGCCCCTGCCTAGAGATGCCACACACAACCTAGGACACCCAACTGAATGCTGAATTCAGAGGCACACCTGATAACCACTTACGTATGTCCCGAATACTGCGTGAGACGTACTTGGATAAAAAAGCACATCACTGTGTGACGTTTACCTGAGATTAAAATGTACTTGCGTGTTGTGTTTTTATTTGCTAAGGGTAGCAGCCCTGACTTCCTGATTAAAGCGGCCTCAGACACAGTCATGCTTGAGGACATGTTCGTTTTGTGTTTGTCACAATCCACACAGCCACCTGGAGTGACCTCGAAGGTTAATTACCATCCATCTCTCAGCCTGTGAGTCTCCCAGCAACAGAGAGCAAGTCTGTCCTACTTTGTGCCGGGTCCTTTTGGTCTAATACAGTGCCTGCCGCTCAGCAGATGCGTAATGCATACTACAGGAGACTTTACCATGTAGGATGCCAAGCCACAATGTCCAGCCTTCATCCCAGCTCTGACGCTTACTAGCTATGCAAATGTGTGTTATAATGGAATCTGACCTCAGTTTCCTTGTCTGTAAAACAGGCACAATTACAGTACCCGTCGTTAAAGGCTGTTGCGACCTTTTAATGAATTAATATGTGTAAAGCACTTAACACAGTACCTGGAACAAAGGAAAGGGTTCCTCAGTGCTGGTTTGTGATAAACCCTGCAGGCAGTGCTTAGCTTTGGGGGCAAGGAGGTGAGGGCTTCTCCCCGTTGGCTGCATCTGCACAGCTCTACTCCCAATTACCTCTTCCCCAGCCAGTCCAGATGCCACCTGGGCAGCCGCGGGAAAGCGAGTCTAGCAGGCAGTAAATCCTGGGAAAGAGACTGGATACGGGGCCTCGTTCCTTTAGGGTTGTAGGGGGTACTGTGGCGCACCGTGTAGACCCCGTCATCGAGGGCAGAGACGCCCATTCCTCCAGGCACTGGAGTTGCCAGGCCTCAGCTGAGTCTCCCCCAAAAGGACCCACTGCCCGAGGCTCTCTACCCTTTCCTGGGGGAGCCCCAGCCCAAGCTGGGCAACACAGGCGCCAAAGCCCAGCTCCCTTCCTGCAACTGTGCACAGCCCCAGGCCTTCCATCCCCGGGGTCCCTCCAAGGGGCCTCAGGGAGGCAGGTGGAGCCCAGCAGCCTCACATCTGCTGCTCCACGAAGCCACCTGCGTGCTGATCGCCAGCCTCCAGAGACTCAGCCCGCCGCAGGGGCTGCCGTTCCAAATCCTGAGACAGAATGACTCAGTGACGCCCTCCGTGAGCATGGGGGCAGAGGGGGTGATTTTAAATTTTAAATTAAAAATATGATTTGAAATTAAAAACACTGACTCACACAGAGAAAGCTGGCTCCTTTGCCGATTGTCACAATTAGCTCAAGGAAGGACTCAGAAGGTGTGACGTGCCAGGTTCATGGCAGTCTAACACTGGTGGAGCCTCCTCTTGAGGAACCCGAGGGCGGGCCTGGCGCTCAGACGCGAGTGGGCAAAAGTTTGGGACAGAACGCAGTGACACAACTTGGAATCTATGCGTTTGTTCTTAGGAGGACTCTATTTATAGCAGGAGCCATTTTCCATTTCCATTTTCTATTTCCAATGATGATGAAAATTTCCCTTTTTTAAGTTTGTTTAAAGTTTCTAAGTGAGTCAACCTTTAAAGGATTAAACAAATAATACAAGGGGTACAGAGACAGCCGAAATGACAAATGCAGCACGTGAATCAACCTGACCTCTGGCTTTGCCTTTAGGAAGGTCCCCAGTCCAGCTCTGCCACTTATGTGTCCTAGCGCTGAACCTTCCTCCGCTCCTTGGAGGAGGCTCTACTTCTGATGCAGGGACAAGACAGTGCACATGACAACGGCCCTGCCTTCCTGCTGCGAATATTCCAGGAGATACGAAAAACAAAGGAGCAAAGTATCTGCTAAGTCAGATGGAAAAGGACCACAAAGAATACCACGGGGCAGGGGTAGTGCCAGAGGGCAGGGCCCTCCCGCTCCAAACAGCTGGATGTGAAAGGATTCACAGAGAAGGGCGTTTGGAAAAGACGCTGAGGCAGAGGGGGACCACAGGGATCGGAAGGCGACGCTACTCAGAGCCCTCCGTGGACAGGCTCGGCACATTCCAAAAGAGGAGGGGACGGGTGTGGCCAGCCGGGAACCAAGGTCCCATGCGTGGAGCAGACAGGCCAGCAAGGATGTGGGGATTATTCCAGCGCGGGGGAGCCTTTGAAGGGGTCCCAGAGGAGGAGTGAAGAAGCCAGGATTATGTCCCCAGCAGGTCACTCTGGCAGCTGGAGGAGAAGCCATCTCCAAAGCACGTCATTGCTGTCACCACCTTGGACACTCATCGTGTGGTTGGGCCTCACGGCAGGCAGGAAGGACAGGCTGAGCGGGGACCTTGGGCAGCTCGTGATACACCCCCAAGAGCCTGGCACGTGGCCCAGCAAGCCCCGTCCTGGGAACCCTGCACACAGTTGCATCCCAGAGGGCCAGGTGGTACCAGAGAGCGCCGGACCCCACAAACACACACACAAGATACAACTGGGCAAACACTGACTGAGCGCTTATGATGTGCCGGCTGCTATTACCTCGACTGGGTCTCTCAAGCACCCCAGAAGGGGGTTCCACCATCCCTGTTTTACAGATGAGGCAACCGAGGCACAGAGTGGCCAGGGACTGCACCCTGAATCACAGAGCCAGGAAGCAGCAGGGTCCAGATGCGAGGCCAGGGAGGCAGACTAACCTGCTGAACCTCATGGCCCAGGTAGGAGGTGTGCTGGGTCCTCAGGATACCAGGTGGCTTCTCCACCGAGAACGAAGTCTGCCTGACCCAAACTTCCCCCGGACACCACGGCACCGGTGGTCAACGTGGTGGAGGCTCCGTGAGGAGGGTCAGGGCAGCACGGGGAGGTGTGGGCAAGAGGCTGCCCAGTGTGCACGGTGTGACCTCACTGCCACCCACACCTGCCTGCTTAGGAACTTTGCAAAGGGACAGAGGTGTGGAAGGTCCAAGGGGCCTCCCAGTGCAGAGCCCCTCGCTGGCCTCCTGCCTAGGGGCTTAGGCAGGAAAGGTGGGATCCCAGGGATGGCGGTACTGGCCAGCTGGAGAATGCACCACAAGGCCCCTGATGCACCACAGACCATCACACCCCAGGCACAGGCCATCACCTCAAGCCCAGCCTGGTGCTACCTCCTCCCAGGCACCCACGGTGCTGCTCACAGGGCATGTGTTATCATGTCCCCATTTCACAGAGCTGAAGACTGAGGTCTGAAGAGGCCCAGGGTTGCTCAGCTGGTCAGCAGAACATGGACCAAAGCTTGGCAGGCAGCTCCAGATGCACAGCCCTTTCCTCCCTGGCTTTCATTCTCTTTTTTAGAACCCTCTGAGCTTGCTTCCCACTTCCCCTGTGCCACAGCCAAAGGGCCCTTCAGCGCGGGGCAGATGCCCCTCCTCTGTGTCTCTCCAAGCAGGACCTCAGAGCCCCATTAGCACCACCCCCATCATGGTCTCCCGCACATCCTATTGTGACCAGAGCTGCACTGAGCACTCTCCTTGTATCAACTCCCTCACACATGGTGCGTTTTACCCATTTACAGATGAGAACACTAAGGCTCAGGCACACATGGCTTATGTCTCGATGTCCTCCCAAAGCCTCATGCAGTCATAGGTGGGGCTTTTTCAGTGGTGGCTGGATCTAGAGTGTAGGATTCTGGGATTGACTCATGGTGCAATGCTGGGGTCAAGGGCACTAAGATTAAGGGTGTGAGTGCTACCGGCCCTAAGTAGCCTGGAGAAGATAAAAGGGACAGAAAGACACTGTTAGGGTCCCTTGTTGCCTCGCTACCTTCTGCCCACCGTGAACTGCTCTCCTCTGCGAAGACACTCTGCCTTGGAACCAGCCAATGATGAACTGAAACCTCTACAAACTATGAGCTAAATAAACCTCACCTCGTCAAGTATTTTGTCTCAGCAATGAAAGAAAAGTAACTAAGACACACAGGAGCACAGCGTGTGAGAATAACACAGCTAATGAGCAGTTCATCCCTGCCAGGAGTGGGCCCCCATGACTGTCATCACCTCTGAGCTGTCACGCCCTGGGAACAGGGCTACCCACGCCCAGAACCCTGGACTCTGACCATCAAGAGACACCCTGGAGAAGAAGTGAGGTAGTGATGACGGCAGTGACAAGAGCTAACATGGGCCAAGCGCTCACCGTGTGCTTCCAGGCTCAGTCTCAGCACTGCGGAAATAGAGGCTGGAAAATTCTCTGCTGCGGCCTCACGCACACTGTAGGGTATCTGGGGACATCCCTGGCCTCCACCCACTAGAAGCCCTGGGCTCTCCCAGATGTAACCAAAAAATTTGTCTCCAGACAAATTTTAGTGTTTAGTGTTCCCTGAGCAGAATCATACACACACACTCACATTCACAAACACACACTCTCTTGCACACACACTCTCATACTCACTCATTTCAGAACCACCACCGTCCGATAAGCATTTTGTTGCTGTATTTCTCTGAGTCTCCCATCAACCCAGGGAGGAGGGTGTGATTCTCCCTACGTCTCAATCAGAGGAAGACCCGGAAGCTGAGAGTGGCAGGGTTTGCCCCGAGTCCCACGCCTGAAGCGAAGGTGGGCTTTTCTCCCTTGAAGAGGATCCCATCAGCACAGAACCAGGAGGTATAGAAAGCAGTGGCCTTAGGTGGCCTAAATCCCACCATTCCCAGGGACCTAGGACCCCACAAGAGGGGAGAGGTTAGGGTTACAAGCACCAAGAGCACACCGAGTATCAGACACCTCGCTGGCCAGTGGGTGGCCAAGCCCAACTAAACCCAGGTGCGTCTGATGCCAATGCCAACCCCTTCGCCACTGGCTGCCTCTGTTGGTCCTTCTGTGGCACAGGGTTTCTGCAGGACAGTCACTTGGCAAACAGGACACTCCATGGCAAACAGAGAAAGGGATATGCAGCTAAAACCTCCTGGAGTCTGCAGGTCTGACCAGCTTCCCTTGGTCCTGGGGTGCAAGGCTGGGCTGCTGCCCACATGGCCGCTCCCTCTCTGGACCTCCTCGACTCCCCCAGGGGCTGGTGCGTTATACTCACGAATTTCAAGAAAACATTCCCGAGTTCATGCTGAGACTGAGGCTCCGGATGCAGACAATATTCCAGGGCAGCCAGGAAATCCTTGTGAACCTCCAGGATGTCTTCAATGTTTGAGAACAGGATCTACGAGCAAACGTGAGCCCAAGGATACCGTTAATCACAGCTTAAACCACACATGGCTGGGGGTGTAGTTCAGGGGTACACGCTTGCCTAATATGAGAGGGCCCAGGCTGAGGAGGTGGATGATGATGATAAGAAGAAGGAGGAGGAAATAATACCCAGTGTAAGTGAGCTCACAGTCAAACAGGCATTCACAAACACTATAGCCAGTTTACCATTCAGAAAAATAATTATGGCAGAAATATGACAAACATGTATTTACTAATCAGGATCAACCACTGATCCTATGCTAAGAACCTTACATTCAATTATGGCATTTAATCCTCACTAATCCTCCATGACATAGAAACTATTCTGATCCCCAATTTACCAACAAGGAACTGGGGCTCAGAGAGAAGAAGTAACATTCCCAGAGCCACACTGCTCGGCAAGCAGCAGACAGGGAAGGCCTGGTGTGCGGAGGTCTGTCACACCCTGACACCACTGTGTGTCCAACCATGGGGCTGATCTGTGACGATGAGTTCCCTGCACACCCCCATGGCGATGACAGGTCAGGAACATACGGTAAGGGAGGATGTTTCAAATGCGCTACTCAAACTGTCACACAATATATGAGACTGTCTGCTCTCTGGATTCAATCTAAATTTTTTTTTTTCCCCCCCCTCCGGTACCGGGAACCGAACTCACGACCTTGCGCTTGCCAGGCAGGCGCTTTCGCCGCTGAGCTAAATCCCCAGCCCCCCAATCTAAATATTTTAAATGCACAGATCATTTGATCCAGCAACTTTACAATTTATTTGCTTTTTTTTTTTTTTTTTTTTTTTTGAGACAGGGTCTCACTATGTAGCTCAGGCTGGCCTTGAACTCAAGATGATCCTCCTGCCTCAATCTCCACAGTTCTGGAATTACAGGTGTGCACCACCACACCCAGCTCTACATCTTAGAATTTAACCTTTAGATCAGTCATTTCCAACTAGGGGGATTCTTGCCCCAGCAGGTATGTGCAGTATTGGGGAACTTTTTTTGGTTGTCACAAATTAGGAGAGAGAGAAGAGAGTGCTACGGGTGTTTCACACAGGTTGAGAACACCACTGAGGTCCCCACAGCGGCAGGGATGAGTTAAGTTATAGTTCAATGAATTCTACATGCTGGAATGCTATGCAGGCTGTAAAAAGCATCTGTAGGTCTATATTCATGGTTACAGATTCCTATAATGATCCTCAGTACATACTGTTAGGTGGGAGGATAGAAAAAATCCAGGTTCTGGACAGGGTTCCATTATGGGCTTATTTGTGTAAAAGAACACTAGAAAATGCTAGTCCTACTGATGCTAGGAACAGAGACTTCTTGGATGATAACTTAGCAAATGTGGGGCCTCTGGGGAGGACTAGGAGAGATTCTCTATTTATTTAATGTGCCTTTAAACTGCATAAATTCCAGTTTGCTTTTGTTTAACCTGTACATTTGAAATTTAAATTCTGAAGTGCTCACGTAGTTCAAAAATCAAACACAGTAAATAAATACAGAGAGAAGACTCTCACCCAGTCAGCATTTACTGAGCACATACTATACACACGGCTCCGTGAGAGGCCAAGTTACCACCTCCATGGAAGTGGCGTTCTGGTGGAAGGAGACAGGCAGCAAAGAAGTGAAATAAGAGTTTCTGAGGGGGTAAGAAACAGCGAAGAAAAGAGTAAAACCAAGAGTCTAAGGACAGGGCAAGAGGAGACACCTGCAAATGTAAGTAACAGCGGCTGCCAGGGACAGTCACTCCAGGAAGGTGACCAGTGAGTCAAGACCTGAAAGCATGAAACCCAACCCCAAGGGCCCTTCAGATGCACCAGAGAGTCTGCAGAATAGGACAGCCTGAGGGTGGGCAGGCCGAGCCCAGGAGGTGGAGTCCACTCACTTCTGCTGGTCTGAAAGAGCCCAAGCCGCTTCCTCTCTGAGCTCAAAGGGGGAATGAAGGGGCGCCCATCACAGAAAGTGGGCCCAAGACACCTGCACTGCTCGTTATGTTTCCCTCTCCCCCCAGCCAGCTCTCATGGCTGAATTCTGCTTTCTGTTAATGCCACATGTTTGGGGTGCTACTGTAACACTTACTTCAAGGAAGGGCTGCAAATTTTCAAAATATAGTAATTTTAAATAAGGCAATTTCAATACCTGCCAATATATCCAAAAGAAATGAAAAGTGTCTACCCAAAAAGTATATATGAAAATGGACATAATGGCCAAAAACTAAAAGTAAGAAATATCCACCTATCAGAGAATGGTAAACCATGGTCCATTCACACTATGGAATACTATAGAGCAATGAACAAGAAAGAGCTGAGGCCACACACAGCAACATGGGCAAATTTCACAGGTACCCTAGCAGGCAAGGGACATTAGGCATGAAAGAGCTCACTCTGACATTTAGTTCAAAAGCATGCAGAACAATCAATGGCCCCAGAAGCCCACGTTACTTTTAAAGAGGGAGGGCTGGCCAGGGAAACACAGAGGAGCCAGCTGTGGGGAAGAAACCCTCCCTGTCTTCACTTAGGCCATAGTCATCCCAGTATGGTCATGTGTGACCACCACACATCCACACTTAGAATTTGTGCCCTTTACTCTACGGGAATCAGCCCTCATGAAAAGGGTAATTTCTTAAAAGCTATAATAAGTTGCAATTTAAAAGTACAATAAAGGCCAGGCATAGTGACACATGCCTGTAATCCCAGCACTTGGGAGGCTGAGGCAGAAGGATCATCTTAAGTTCAAGACCAGCCTGGGCTACATAATGAGTTCAAGGCCTGCCTGAACTGCATAGTGGGACCCTGTCTCAAAAAATAAATAAAAGTATAATAAAGAACTTTTAAATTATAATAAATTATATTCTTAAGCTATAATAAATAGTAGGTGCTCAGTAAATATTTGCTGAATAAGGGGCTGGGGATTTAGCTCAGCGGCAAAAGCGCCTGCCTGGCAAGCGCAAGGTCGTGAGTTAGATTTCAGCTGTACCGTAAAAATAAAAAGTCAGAGTGACCTGGAGGAGTACTTTAAAATCAAGAAAAAAAAAAAAAAAAAAAAAAAAAATATTTGCTGAATAAATGAATGAATACACGAATATATAAAGAGCTTTGACCTTAGCGTGCCTGTGTGCACGCACACACACACACAGACACACACACACAGACACACACACACCCTGTCCCCCAGGACCAGCTGTGCAATGACACCGTGACATCTCTGAGCTCAACTTTCCTGTACAAAAAGTGGGTTTGGAATTACCAAGGGCAGGTGAAATGAACTGGGGCGTGTGTGTGTCCTTGACCAAGTGCGCTGTTAGCTGCTGGGCACTTGGATACCCTTACCCCTCGTTCTTCCGTTCCTCCAAGCACAAGGCCCTCTGGAGGAATGAGGACAGGAACACAGCTTCCCAGGGAGCAAAGCCACTGTGACAGCCAGGCCCGGGCCGGGGCCTCAGCCAGGCACACAGAAGGCCCATTGATGCCCGCCTCGGCGTCCCCAGGGCCACGGCCAGGAGAAGCCAAGCCCGATTACTCACCAGCCTGCCTTGACACACTGCAGGGCAGGGAGTGCAGCCGGGGGTGCCAGGCTCCCCAGGCACATGCGGAGGGGATTTCCACTGGCTCTAGGCCAGGGGCTGGACACAAGGACGTGGGAGTGAGGGTAGCCACGCTGAGCCCAGAGAGCAGGTCCTGCGCTGCAGCAAGACCTGGGGCTGACACCCCTGCTGGACACCAGCTCCGGCACAGAGGCCCGGGGCTGTGGGGGGTTGGCTGGGGGTGATGCGCCTCCCCATCCCACACCGCCCCCCAGCATCACCCGGGAGAGGCCTGGCACCCCCAGCAGGGACCACGGGGAAGGGCTCAGCCCAAGGGCCCCCACCTTGACATTCTCCTCCGTGAGGCCCTTCTCCACTGAGTCCGCCACATTCTGCCGGATGCGGTGCAGGAATGCCTAGGAGAGAAGCAGGAGAGGTGAGCGTGCGCCAGGCACAGGAGGGGCACCCGGCCCACGGTCCCCCGCAGGCTACAAGCGATCTTCCCTTTTCAATTTCTCCTTTTTCTTCAAAACTTAACTTCCCAACTAAAACATTCACGTGGCTCAGAAGTCAAAAACATAAAAGTGTCAAAAACATACACAGTCTCTCTCCTACACCTGGCCTGGTCCACTGAGGCGCTCCGCGTACCCGTGAGAACCACAGCTGCTTTCTTCAGTTTCTGACCAGAGAATCTTTATGCAAAACAGAGGCACGTCGGTGTGCTGATACGCGCCGTGCACACACACCCCTCTTCTCCTTTTTTCTTTCTTTTTTCGTGGTACTTAGTACTTCATGGTACTTTTGTGGTACTCTGTGATGCTAGGTGGTACTTAGTGAGTCACTAAGTTGCCCAGGCGGGGCCTGAACTTGCCATCCTTCTGCCTCAGTCTCCCAGAGTGCTAGGATGACAGGTACGCGCCACTATGCCCAGCTTCATTTCTCCCTCTTTTTATACAACAACAACAAAAAAGGCAGTGTGCACGAGATGCCCTGTTCCTGCTGTGCCCGGTTCACACAGCGCAGGGTCCCGTCCTGTCCCTCCAGGAGACACCTCCTGCCTTCGGGCAGCTGCCCGGGACCCACTGTAGGGATGGCTCGGGGCCTCCTGCCATCTCGCAGAGAAAGCACCCCCTCCCCTGTGAGATGTGCAGTGTGGCAGTAAATGGGCAGAATGGCGGGGGTCATCTAGGGGCAGCCGTTCGTCTCCTCCCCGTTGGCACCACATGGCAAGGCGGCAGCCAAGTCTCACCTGACGTTCTGATTTGGGGGAGGGGCAGGCATTAGGACAGTTTTCGGCATAGTCTCCCAGTTTTAAGTATTGATGAAAGAGGCCAGTTATCAGGGAAAAAGCGATTAAGAGGTTAAGTGTAAGCGGGTACAGTGTGCCAGTGAGAGACGCCACAGCCTGGCCCTGTGGTGTGGTAGGACAGGGTGGGCCGAGGGATGAAAGATGACGGGGCAGCTGGCACCCAAGGGACACTGAGGCCAGTGCCCACAGCAACCTTTGCCTGGTTTGCTCCAGCACACAGGCAGGGCCTGGCCCAGCTTGACCTGGAAACAGTGGAAAAGGAGTCCCCGGATCCATCACAGCCACAGGCATGAGCATCGATAGGCTGCCAGCCGCCAGCCCTGCCAAGACTGGTTAAGCTGGCAGGAGGCCATGCCGTTGAGCACATGGCCTCCCTGTCACAGAGCCCGGGTGCAGGCCAAACAGGAAGGAGTGTGTTTTGTCCCACCACGCTCGTCTGGGGAAATCTCTGCATGCTGGAGAGATGGCACGGAGTTGGGGGCCAGGCAGGTGGCAGAGAAGAGGCTGGCCCCTGTCAGATCCTTTCCCGGCACCCGGACTGACATCCACGGTGGGCACCACAGACCCAGCTACTGCCCAGGCTCGGGTCTGCTAGGACAGGCACACTGGCACTCCACAGGGCAGTGCACACAGCAAGCTGGGACACACAGGAAGGCAGTCTTGTCTCTGCCACTCCCAACGCAGGCGACCATAGCCAGCCTTGGGCTTGTTGGCGATACGCCGCCTCCAGTTTACACCCCCAGCCTGGGCTCCCCCACTGGAACAGTCTCATTTCCAGCTGCTGCCTCAACATCCCCCTGGGGGCCCAAGGAACGCCCCCAACCTGACACAGCTGAAACCTAATTCCAAATCTCCCCTCCAAGCCCACACCACCCTTGCTCCTCCCCACCTGGTTAATGACACCTCTGCCTTCCAGGGCCTCCAGCCCAAACCCTGTCACCCTCAGTCCCTCTCAGTCCACTCATCAGCAAGTGCTATCCTATGTGCCAGGCACTGCCACTGTCCCTGAGGAGAGAGGGCCTCCCATGTACCTCCTACCCATCAGCAAATTCAATCTGCTTTACCTGAAAAACTTGATCACGTCTCCTACCTGCGTGGCCACCATCCAAGCCACCACTCACTCCCCCCTGGAATAACACGGTCACCTCTTCTCTGCTTCCCCATGCCCTCCTGAAAGTTTATTCTATGCATACACAGTCAAGGGGGTCCTTTTAAAACAGATAAATCAGATCCTGTTCACCCACTGCTTAAAATTCGCCATGGCTTCCCACTGTACTTAAAAAAATAAATCTAAATCCTTCCCTGGGTCCTAATGTCTCCATGAGCTTGTCCTTGTTAAGCTCCTTGGTATCACTTTCCAACACTCCATCTTCCCACATGTCAGCAACCTTAGCCAAACCTATTCCTACCTCAGGACTCTTGCGCATGTCATTCATGCCAACAGGAAGTTCTCCCCCAAGCCACTCTTACCCATTTTCCTTCTTATCTATCAGGCCTTGGTTCAAATGTCTTTTCCTCCAAGAGGTCCTTATCCCCTTCTTCAATTATGGGCCCATTTGATAAAAGATGAGAAAACTATATTTCTGCAAATCTATACTTCCTACTCATGGATAGGCCAAGATAAGGCACCTTGGCTGGGATGAAACCTTAATTCCTAACCCAACCAGTGTAAGTGATATACAGGAAATAACATGTAACTCCTGACCTGCCAGGTGTCAGATACGCCAAGTCATGTTCCCCAAAATTAAAGAATGAATTCTAAGGAACAATGAAGGTTAAGAGTAGGAAGGACTTGTTAAGAGAAAGAGACAGACAGAGAGAGAGAGAGAGAGAGAGAGAGAGAGAGAGAGAGAGAGAGAGAGAGAGATTTATTGAGCTATTTATAGCTCCTAAGAGACAGGAGAGGACTCCAAAGTGAGTTACCAATGAGCCATCTTCTCGAAGGAAGTTTTATAGAGCAAAATCACGAGGTGGCTCAAAACTGTGATTAGCCGGGGGCTGGGGATTTAGCTCAGTGGCACAGCGCCTGCCTGGCAAGCTCAAGGTCGTGAGTTCGATTCCTGGTACCAGAAGAAAAAAAAAAAAAAAACTGTGATTAGCCAATAAGATTACAAGTATAGCCACTCAGATAAAATTGATCCAATGGGGGAGCAGGTCACGTAGCAAGTACACATGGAAAGAACAAAGATCTTTTTTAGGAAAACATGAATCAGTCACCCAGCCGGGTGACTGATGTCTATCTAGACTTTACTGGACCAAGTGATTCCAATTATAGTATATTGCTTATCTCTCGCCAAGATATGTAGGTCTGATCATTCCATCTTTATCTTGAGGCCTGACCTTCAACAGATACACCTCCAGCCACAGTTGTAATATGTTTTCATCCTCTGGAAGTGACTCTCTCAAGGGCCTAGCCCTATTTGATTGCCTATAATATTTCTACCTATCTTAGCTATCTATAACATATGTAGGTTGGGAAACTTGTGGATTTTGCAGGGGGTGGTTATTTATTTTTTCTTCTTGAGACAGGGTCTCGCTATGCAGTTCAGGCTGGCCTTGAGCTCATTTTGTAGCCTAGGCTGGTCTCGAACTTGCAGTGAGCCTTCTGCCTCAGCCTCCCAAGTGCTGGGATTACAGGCGTGCTGGCTTTAGGTTTAAACTACAGGTTTTCTTCCTGCCTGCTGTGTGACCTCAGAAAGGTGTACCAACTTCTCTGAATCATAGATTACCCTTCCGAAATACAGGGATCATAGTAATACTGGGCCTACTTTTCAAACGTGGTAGGATAAAGAGGACGGACAGGCCAGGAAAGCAGGGGCCTTTCCTCTCTTGTTCACAACTCGATCCTCAGGGTTGACAGCAGTGCCTGGCACACAAAAGACACTCAGAAATCACAGCAAGTATGGAATCCACCTGGTCTAGGACCTGACACACCAGGCAGGAGTCTGCTGATCTTGCTTTTGAAAGGATGGCAGGGGGAGGGGACAGAGGCCGGGAGTTCTTCAAGGATGTCTTAGCAGGGTCTAGGATACTGACAGGAAGTCCAGTCTCAAGGGCCTCCCTCCCCAGACAGGAGAGAGACAAAGGCAGCCTCGCCCCACAGTGGGGAGGGCAGGAAGCAGGAGTGCCACTCCGCTGGCCTAGATGGGGCTTCCTGTCCCGGTTTCTCCACAGGAGCTTGGCCACCACTATTGTGCTGGGACAATGGGAGGCTCAGGCCACCCACAGAGGAACTGCAGACAAGCCAGCATGATGGCACCGGGAGCAGCTAGCAGCTCCCGAACTGCAGAGAACGGGCCAGCAGGGGTTCTGGGCCCAGCCCTTGAACCAGACACCCGAGCACACACAAGACAGGACTGGCTTTTCCAGGGAGCCAGGGCGGTAGAAGACCATCTAGGGTGACAGCTTTGGAAAGCTTGGGGTGATGCTGCTCTCATCTTCAAAACTGACCCTAGACCCGACACCATCCTTGGGATTTCCAGGGCTCCCGAGAAGCTACAGCCAGTCTCAGATGCTTGTTCCATGCCTGGACCACCACCCCACCTGCCCCAGTCTCCTCTTTGATGACGATGATGATGATGGTGAAGAAGAAACACATCCAGGATACAGAAAAAGAAAGAACCACCACCCACAAACTCATCACTATTCAGGTTTGCCAAATCTTAATATGATGCCAAGTTTTCTTGAAACCACTGACAAAAGGAAATCCCTCGTGTCCGAGACAGGGAGGGCAGACCAGAAAAGGGCACAGGGGGTCCTTGTGGGGGACCTGGACACGGCTGTCTCCTGGTCAGAGCTGTGTTACACAGGTGACTGGGTAAGCAGGCAGCATAAGCATACACTTGAGATCAGCTCACTTTACTCACATTACTATGTGAATATCAAACCCCAGTGTAGGAAAGGAGGAAAGATGATACCACGGAGCACATGCCACCCACCCGACTTCCACCCTGCCAGCTACCCACCCCTGTGGACGGATCCCCACACATGACTTTGCCACCTTCCATGCTGCTCGCGTGTATGCATTAATACTGTCCTGCATGTTCATAAGATTGCTACGAACGACGTGCTTTTAGCAACTTGCTTTTCTTGCCTATCACTCTGTGT